TATCAATCTCCAAGCTCATTGATATGCCTTTTAGATAGATATGACCTATAGCCTGTAGTGAGAAATCGTAACCAATGGGGGGGGCGAGGATCCACCATGTATGCCATTGGTTGGTTGAAGGTAGCGCTTTACATCACAAATGCATCACCATATGGCTAAAATTCACGGGTCATTAAATCCCACTGTAAGTGGCTACCGAGAATGGTCAATGAGTTTACTCGGATAACCTGAAGGTTCTAGGTGGGGGGGAGGTACCATTATTGGATAGTACCAAAGTAAGACTGAACACCTATTCAGTACTCCCTAGTTCTTAATGACCACCCTAACAACTGATGAAATCTTACAATTGAAATTTAAGGCGTTTCATCGATATTTTTTTGTTTAACACAACTGAAATATCCATTGTCTTGTAACAATTTTGCTCCATAGACAATGCGCGAAAACGCCCTACGGTGGCTATTATTTTTAGTCTTTTAAAAAAAATTTGAATAACACCCGTTGTGTGAGCGCTTGCGTGCGTGCGTCTGCATTCTTACTCCATGAGTGTTTTAATAAGTATTTGGTGAACATCTTTTTCCTGTCTTTTATCATGTGTGTGTTACATGTATATGCGTTTATTTCTTACAGTTTAGTTGGTGTCTTTTTTAAAATAAGCTTCTTTGTCTGAGGAGCAACACATGTTTGTATATATTCACATGAAATGATAATGATTGACTGGTGGTGAATTAGTAGTATTTATTTATAAATATATATTGATTTTTATTAGATAATAAACAAACAAAAATGCATAAAAATGTACTTAAGTAAAAGTACTTCAGCGGGAGATTAGAATATTATTGATTTCATTGACAACCTCCCGTCCCGTCTCGCCCTGTGTAAATCATTTTTAACTGATTAAAAATGCCCATTAAAATTTTCAAAAGAATGCATACTGAACAAAGAGTACTCTTTTCGATAACCCCTTCATCATCAGGCTCTACAATTATATATACATTATAATGAATGAATGAATTAGTCTTATGTGCGTCGGTGGCACAGTGGTTAGGACTGTCGCCGACCATGCACATGGTCCGGGGTTCGATCCCCTACCGGCGCACACCCGATATCTATGGTCGGCCTGACTTTGGGCTACCGATATCCATGCTGAAAATTCCACACTTGTACTGAAAATACGGTGTGGAATCAAGCTGTAAATCAAAAAAAAAATGTTGTTTAAATAACATCGAATCAATAATATTGATAAATTACAGCTCAATAGCATCCACATAACAATAAACTGAATGTCAGGAGAATTAGGAAAGGTGATAGTACAAATTCATGAGTTTATAGTTTCTGCTGAGGGTCAGGGCAATAGTAGGGGCTGGACTTGTTTCTTTTGAACACAGAGCACTGGTTGTTTGAGGCGAATTGCAATAGCGTCTGCTGTTTGGCGCATGCAATGCTTTGATGATTTTGGCAATTTATTAGGCACCTGGTAGATGATAGAGAAGGATTCTTCAGTGCTGGCTTTGTGGCCTGTTTGTACCAGATGGTGTGATATTGCACTGTTGATGGTTTTCACTACACCTTTACTTAGCCACACTGGTAGATCTTCCTGAGCGAGCAGAAAAAATCAGGTTGCTAGATCAACGGTCGATATAACTCGCTCCACAAGCGCAGTTGAATTGGTAGATACCTGATGATGAAGTTATCCAAAACAGTATTCTTTGTTCAGTAACCATTCTTTTGAAATAAATAAAGACTAACAGATGAGACAATACCGGGAATTGTTCGAAGTGAAAATACCAGTACCTGTGATAATAATAATAAGGGTTGACTTCATAAAGTGAATAAACAAAACGATAAATTAAGTAAAACCCAAGCTAGAAGTGTGTGTGGGGCGGGGTACGGGAGCAGCAATAATTCAACATAGACCTATTCGATCCATGGAAGCGAAAAAGTGGTTGAACAAACTTTGTTTCGGTTGTTGATGACAAAATAAAGGACACACACACACAAAGTCACTATGAATATGTAGGGAAGTGAAAGCTGGAGAACTTCTGTTGTGATATTTATAAATTCAATAAGTTCTTTTATTAGATAGTTAAAGGTAATCGGTAGGAAGTCCTGCATCACCTAGTTTTTGTACTTGTTAGCACGCACCAATCAGCAAGGCGTGTCTGCAATCTTGAAGGAACCCGTCTCATTCAGTGGTGCAGTCAAAGACGTTGCCGTCAGGGGTTGCACAGACAGACGCCTTGCTGATTCGTGGGTGAGTGCCAACAAACACAGAACCTAGGTCAGGTAGGGCTTCCTATCGATTGCCTTTTGAATGCACCATGATGGCGAGCCATATATCATAGTGGCCATATCGCAGATTTGATTGATAGAATTCAGCCTGCACAAAACAGAGGATTGGACACATCACAACAGTTACTAACTGGTGTCCAATCAAAGTATCCGATACAGTCCCCAAGGGAGGTCAATCGCGAACCCAAATAGCTCAATGGTAGCGTCTCTGACTACCGTACTCACTGGGTGATGCGGGTTCGAATCTCAGAAGGGATATGAGTTCCTTCAAGTTGGGTGCAGATACGCCTTGCTGACTGACTGACTGGTGAGTGCCAACTAGCACAAAACCTAGGTCAGGTAGGGGGGCTTCCTGTGGCTGATTGCCTCCAACCATCTCATAACAATCATTCTGAGTGCACCATGGTGGCCATATTGCAAATTTGACTGATAGAATTCAGTCTGCATGGAACAAAAAGGACTAGATGCCATGATACTAGTTACATACTACCTAGTGTCAAACCAAATAACAATGATAATCTGTTGTATTCCCAAACAGTACTTATGATACAGTATGGAATTCTCAGCATGTGGTACAGCATTGCATCTAATTTACTCGACGACAACAGGAAAAACAAATCTGAAAGAGTAATATTACAGGACTGATGACAGCAGCATTTTCGTAACTGCTGTGACAGTAAAGTCGAAAATGTACAAAAAGTGTAAAATAATGATAATAATGTTAATAGCTAAACTGTAAGTTGATTGAAATAGTGTCGCCATAGATTGTTAATAGGAGAGAATAAAAGCACTGAGTATTTTTCTAATAACATAGAGTAAGTTGTAGGTTTCGCTGCTAACATTTATCCCTATCACACAGAACGCGAGCCAAATAGGGCATTGTTGAGTTTTCCGACTTGGTTAGACGAGCATATAATCTTTTATAATGACTTTTAGTCCCCTACCTGATGTGATGCAAGACGGGGAGAGGGTGTTGAGAGTTGAACAGTATGGATTTGGACCATTTTTCACGTGAGTTCAGGTGTCTACCAACTACTGCATTAACGAGCTGGCTAAGTGGCACACCATCTGCCCTACTGACAACCTTTAATACCCTTCATAATATGACATAGTCCTTTTTGAGTAGTCCAGGAAAAACTAAGGGCGAACATTTAAGGATAATAGGTGAGATGTAAGAGTTAGCAAACTGTAGAAGTACAGGTTGAGTGATGACCAAGATAGCTCAGAGGGTAGAATTGTTCCAAGGTATTTTATGCTTGACTTAGTTTCTCTCTGTTTCAGTGCATCAGGAGCATCATGTGACCAAAAAGACTTCTTGTAGATCAAGTTTATGCAGTAAGGTGAAGTTAATAGTTGGACATTTATTGGAATTTAAGATGGAATCATTTAGTTTAGACCACTGGCTGATGTTTGACAAAAAGATATTCAGTCAGATTGGAACGTAAGTTGTCCCGAGACAGTTAGATTATCACCGTATTTGATGAAGTTGATTTCATCCTAAAACTTTGATTTCCTTGTTTTTAATTATTACATTTCCTGTTATCCAATGGTACCCTCACTCTCTCTTTTCGTTATCATCTGAAGTGGTGTCCGTCAGGGGTGCCCATTTAATTTCATCATAGATGTACTAATGGAATTAACCTTAAATGACTTCAGCGATTGACTTGTTATCATTAGGTAATAATCTTGTTGAGTTAGAATACGCAAATGATATAGTCCTGATAGGTGAAGATGCTGACAAAATCTAGCGGAGTCTTCTGAACACCTTGAGCAACAATCTTCAAATGTTTGGGATGCGATTCGCTCCCGTCAAATGTAAGATGAAGCTCCCGGACTGGAGTACATTCACTCCTAACTTAAGGATAGGTAGTAAAGGGGTTGATAAAGTGTCTAGACCACTTCACTTATTTAGGAAGTTGCATCAGCCAATGCCAGCGGGTTGATCACTGATCAAATCTCAGCACAGATACAGAAGGCTCATTTGACATAGGCCAACTTACGCCATCTCTGGTATAGTAGACGTGATATCCGATTGTAGACCAAAAGGCGTGTGTACTGCTCAACAGTCCGCTCCATCCTCCTTTACGACTGTGAGACATACTGGCCATTGAAATAGAAGACATGAAAAGGCCAGCTGGCTGTCTTTGATCATAGGTACTTGCGTTCTATCTCCCATGTTAAGTGGTATAATAAGGTAAACAATATTGAGGTTAGGCGTGGGTGGAGTGCTAGGTAAGTCGGGGAAATCTATCAATGAGATTGTGAAGATGGTTATGAAATGTGTTACGAATGCATTCTTCGTCATGAGTCGGCCTCCTCGATGGGTAATGTCAGCTGACTGACATAGGATCGATTAGGTTGGAAAAGAGTTAGAGGTGGCGCAGATGCATTCACTCTTCGTGCTTTGTTACATCCAGTAAAACTCCACTTTTCTTCCATATTGCTACTCTTTTTCCCTCACTCGCATTTCTCTTTATTATCTCTCTCTTTTGGATCTATCTTCGCTCTTCTCTTGTTTTGTATGTTACATGGAGGGAGTGTGGTAACTGGAACTGCTGCACATCTGTGCAAAGTTCTCCGGTGAAACAAGTCAGTCAATATTGTATACATGCTGAAAATCCCATATTTGTACTAAAAGTAATATTTATAATAAATCTGTTATTATTATTATTATGTTCTCATCTAATAATTTTATTTATTTTCATTTGTAGAACCTATGGAAATTTTAAATTCAACAGATTTTAATTTAACTTCATCAAGTATACATATCTGTTTGTTGGATAAAATGAATACACCTCAGTCTGTACCTGTACCACATGTTTTTAGTCAAACTCATATTTCACAAATTACATCACATTCCTTACCGTTATACAACAGTCTTTCTTCACTTCGTTCTACTTCTACACCATTATCATCATTATCAAATCTAACATACTCATATATTCGTCAATTGCCTAGCTTAAATGAACATTATTGGGGATATTTATTATACATACATGAAATAGATATTTGGGTAAGTCTATTTTTCTTCATTTTCTTCTTGTCGTTGTTACTCAAAAGTTTTTCCCTCTGTTCTGTGCTTCTCTCCTCCCTCCCCTCAGTGATTGATCACGTGCTTTTTCGTGCGTTAGTAAGAGAGATAAGTGAATAGATAATAATTTCAGTAATAAGCATCCATCACCCTCTCACGTACACACGGGATCGAACCTAGAACTTCTAGGTTATGCGGTGAACTGGTCGATGATTGAGTTACTGAGACCAGACTACAGTGGTCTAGGAATTCTAGATTCTATCCATTACTCCCTGATTTCTAGTGGTTGTCTAACTGTTATGTCAGCCAGCTCCTGATCCAACTTGAGAATACTTGAATGTAGTTTGGATAGTGATCAGACTGAAAAGTTGTTAACATTGTAGTGTAGGTTGTTAACACTATGTTGTGGATGGGATGCCTCTGGATAAAGTTGTACCGCTGTGGTGAGTAGAGATTTGATAGCAGTAGGGCGTTTCCTTCAGCATTGCCAACTATGCTGCTTTTCGACTCTGATGAGGTAGGTTAGAATAGGTCGACCATGAAAATTGTACATCCTGTGGTACATCCGGTGGTTATATCTTCACACTGACATAAGTCTAAAAATCACTTCAAGTAGGTCGCTTGTGACCGGCTTGAGACAGTTCTTCTCTGGGTTCAGCTGTGTCACGCAACTCTCCTCTCCTAGTTCTGTTTGTTTACCTCAAGGGGAAATCAGCTTACACAGTTTGCGCAACCGGGAATTAACAACCAACCCACACATTTCCATGAATACACAAAAGCTTTCCTGACTGTTATTCACTTCACTGAGTATACAAGTCTATGTAGAGTGAGAGAGAGTCGTTAATCTGCGTTTGATTTTCAGAATGATATGATAAATGTACACCGCACTATGTGGCTGAATAAGGTTTGATTTGTTGGAACAGTTGTTTTGGCTACTTTATGGTTATTTCATAAATGACCATTAACATCATGACTTAACCATTTGTAATGAAAGTCTAAGACGTCAAACTTTATCTCTTTTGTTGACTCTTGAATCCTTTTATTCCTTGGCTTTGAAATAATGCAGAGGATTTGTATGTAGCCCAAATGAATGTCTTGGTGTCTTTGTATTCGTGGAGTTGGATAGTTTATTTGTGAATTTTACAACGTAAAATTTCTCAGGGAATTGAAGCAGTTCAAGTTACCTCAACTCTCTCAATTGGTGGATGGTGACTGGCAGTGTAATCCAGGATGCTCATTTCGCCCTATATGGACTCGCCAGCTGGATTTCCCAGTAAGTTATTGATGGTGTTCCCACCGGGGTTCAAACCCAGTGCCCATAGTTTCAAATGCCAAAGCAATGTAGGAGTAGAACTGGGGAATGCAGGTACATCCAGGGGACGAGTCCCAAGTAGGACAAAATGCGCATTTTCGATTCCACTGCTATTCATCATCCACCAATTGACTTCATGCTTCATACATACTCAGATTATTCAATGATGCACACACCAATTTTGAGTTTACTATGGAACATGAGAGTGACGGAAAGTTTCACTACCTCGACATTGCATGGAACGCCTAGAAGACGGTAGTCTTCAGAAGTCAATTTATCGAAAGCCTACATGGAAATGACAATACTTACATTTCAATAGCTTTTGTTCAAATAGCTTTAAACGTGGTCTAGTCAAGACTCTGTATTATAGAGCGAGAAGAATATGCTTTATAGAGAAATTAGAGGGAGAATTTGAGTTTCTTGAAAAGACATTGAAGAGCAGTGGGTTCATCAACAAGTATAGAAGATCTGAAGTCTCAAATGTCAATTTAATCACAGTGGGTAAAAAGCCAATCTACATTCAGCTTGATTATAAAGGTGAAAACATTGCACTGATGATCAACGGAAGGCTGAGTACATCACTAGCCATAGCCTACTCTGCAGCTAAGCTCGTCCCCGTCTATCGAACAACTTGCTCTTTGGTGCAATAAAAAAATCAATAGATATCCTTCTCATGTTAACTCCAACTGTATATACAAATTTACATGTATCTGCGGGAGCAGTTACATTGGAAGGACAGAAAGAAGGGCATATCTACGAGTTTCTGAACATGTACAAAAAAGTTTACGTCTAAAGGGAACAAATGCTTCAAACATTTCCATCGCCATTCATTTCCTCGACACGGGTCATGAGGTGGACGTGGAAAAGTCATTCAAAATTATCAATAAGCGAAAGAGTTCGATTCTCCTTAAGTTTGCTGAAGCCATTTCCATGAAGCGCCTGAAACCTGATTTATGCGTCCAGAAAGAAGCGGTTATCAGTCTTTCTTTGCCCTGGTAACTGGATATTTTTCATCTGAATGCGAAATGCTGAAAAGTTTTCATTGTGTATGATTATTGTTGTTCGGAATAGTGTTTAATATTGCATAGATATATGTACATATTATTACTGTATGCGTATATTGATCAATTGATTTTTGTTTAAAATGAACTCTGTGCAAGTGTGTTAAAATTGTTTTTGTAGATACATTGAATAATGTCTTTTCCCTGTAAGCAGCTGACGAGAGGGCAACGAAATAAAAGATGATGCCACTTTATTCTGCTAAAACTGTAGTTCTTGCTTTGTTGAAAGTCTTCAAGTTACATGACCAGACATCGTCGAAGCATCTTCACGAGGAGCCGACATGTCTACCTTGAGTCCAAGCTTTTCGGTCCAATCTATCAACGGGAAAATCTAAATTGCATTAAACACCATACTCTGTATGAGTACACGAAGGTCAAGGCATAAAATTTAACGGAACTGTGATGAACGTAAATATTCGGTGAAAGATTATGTAATATGAACAATTATGAAAATTTGACGGACCTGAGTAGATTACAAATAGTGAATGTATCTGTGCCATTAAGAACAATTTAGAGCCATATCACCAGCTGTCCTAAGCCATTGAGTCTCAGAGTCTCGAAGACTCCAGCCTGGTAGTTCACACCTTCCTGTGTGAGCCAAATCAACACTCAAAGACTTTATAGATTGTTCGATAAAGCTTATTTTGAAAATATTTACATTGGATGGAGTTTAAAATTTATTATAAGTTTGTAGTTGATGATTTATCTTGACTATTTTCTTTGCAAACACGAGTATATTCGCGATAATAATGTCGCGACAGCTGTGTCAGTGTAATCTGAAACGTTTTAATTTATGGGAGATCTCTTGTAGGAGATTGTGGCTCACTGGTTCATCATCTGTAGGGTACCAGGTTAGTATCCTCTCCATTTAAATAAATGCATGAGAAATAAGTATGATTAATGCAAAGTTGTCAAGTTTACTGAGTAGTAATCAAAATCTAATGGAGGTGTATGTTAAAGGTGGAATAATTAATTCTAAATAAGGAATTGTGTAATAATAAACATGAAAAAAGACAAAACAGGTGGTATTACGTAAAAGTAGAATTAATATTTTTTTTGTTTTATCTATTTCACCAATAATTTAACGGGTTAGGAGGTTGTGATGATTAAATGCAGACAGGATGTTCAATTATTGCACTTCTTCTAGTATCACTGCCATCCATACACGTGTGTTGTGTTCTTGCAACATTCTAGATAGAAATGGCGTCGATCGTGTCGGTCGGTCTGTCGGTTTTTGACATAGAACTTTGCACATATGTGCGGCAGTTTAAGTTGCCACACTCCCTCCTTGTACCACACAAAGCAAGAGAAGAAAGTAGGAGAAATGCATAATGTAGACAGTAAACAGAGGTCTGAGACAAAGGTGTAGTAATAACGAAGAACAAAACAGTTTCATTGGAAATCATAAGTCACACCTTCCTAGGTGGCTTAGACTAACTGTTGTGGATTCCATTGACTGGTGCCATGTTTCCGTTTGACCGCCGCTAGCTCTTTTCCAGCCTGGCCCTATATCAGCTAACATTGCCCATTGTCGAGGAAGGCGATGACTAGGCATACGTAACACATGTCCTAACCATCTCAGTTGATGTAATTTCGCAACCATTTCGATTGATTTCCCCTCCTTACCTAGCACTCGACGCCTAACCTCAATATCGCTCACCCCATTATACCACTTCACACGGGAGATAGAACGCAGACACTTGTGATCAAAGACAGCTAATCTTTTCATGTCTTCAGCTCTCGATGGCCAGATCTCACAGCCATAAAGGAGGACGGAGCGGACTGCTGAGCAGTGCACCCGCCCTTTGGTCGATAGCCGTATATCAAGTCCACGCCAGAGACGGAGTAAACTGGCATATGCGAAACTAGCCCTCTGTATTCGATCGTGCTTTGTACTTCACCCCCACTAGAGTTGGTAAACTGGTAAACACATATTGAAGTTAGTCAACTTCAGGATTTTGTTCACGAAGTTTTTGAGAAGAAATGTTCGTTTATAGGACAATACTTTTGAGGATGCTTTAATGAGTGTGGGGTGGTTTTCAAGGACTGTGAGATCCTTCTTTAAAGAATGTCAGCACCTAGACCATCTTTGAATTGAAAGTTTCTTGCTCTTGGTTCCAGAAGACTAGTCATACTTCGTAGACTTTTAGTTCTATCTCTTTGTCTATGAAATCTGGTAGGTATTCATTTTTGATCAGGATTTTTCCCCAAGAGATTTAACTGTTCATAGCATTTAGGGTTGTATATAGGCCAAATACGATTGGCGAGTGATCGGATCTGTACCCATGGTATACTTATCAAAAGTTCACCAGCTTTATGATGTGCGTTATTATTTCTCACGTTTACCTTTTTGGTTGTTTTTTTGTAGAACCATAAATGTCAAATTGGTTTCAAATTGACCAGTACACGAATAGAATGGCCATCATTGGCAATCAGTCGGTTAGCGCACTACTTTCAATTGCAATGCCAAGATTATGCGCTTACTCAAAGTACCAGCTGTAAGCGTCATTATAGTACTACTACTCACAATGGTAATAGTAGTAGTAGTAGTTTCACAAAAGGCATTGATCATTATCATTCCCTAAGTGGATTCTCTTCTTCACTGCATTATCATATCACTGAAGATTATTCATCATCAGTAAAGAATTCAATACAATTTGATGGAGTTTTAGAAAATATCAATCTTTTTCTTGTTAGTAATAATAACAGTGAGTTTGGATACCTTTTTGTGAATTATTATTACTTATATCACTTATAAGTAGTTAGATTTATTCTAGTGTTGGTTTTCAGAAATTCGATTGCTTCTAAAGTTAATTCACGAACTGACGTCAGTTAGAGAATCATTGGAAGCTAAGGTGCACTGAAGGTCTGTTTCACCCTAATGTGTGGAGCCGCCCTTTTGGTAGTAAGCACTCATGACCTCAGCCACAGGAGGTATAACCGAGAACCTTCAAGTTATTGTCCGCGCCCGGAGATTAGTCAGTCTTTAGGCCATTGAATTCCATGCCAGACAGTGACTTTCATTAATTCTGTTTTTAATGGATGTCAGCTGGTGGTAGTGATCTAACCTGAGATTATTCCGTTGTTTCTTAGTTAGATTTAAAAAATGGCATGTGTGTGTGTGGGGGGCACTTGATGATGCATTGGTGGTAACAACCAGTTAACGAGTTCTGTCTTCATAAAGAGTAGGAATACAAAATGCATGATACTGCCAACCACGGCAACTTTGTTGGTCATCTAAACAAGGACGCTTATCGTTCTGGTGTAGTTGCCTGCCAAATGTTAACGTAGTGACATTGGAGATATTTCTTAACTGCTTGCAAGTCTGTATACGAGTAATTGATACTTGATACTCATGTAATAGTAATAGCTTTATTCCAAACAGTACTTTTGGTACAGATATGTTATTTTCAGCTTATACTTCGGTATTCATCATCATCATCATCATCAGTCCCTTGACTTTCGTCGTGGGGGTGCTATGACAGTTCGCGCTATCAGTCTTCGCCATTCTTCTCGGTTTAATGCTATTTTCTGTAGCGTATCCAAGGGCATTTCAGTCCACTCTTTTATGTTGTCAAGCCAGCTCTTATTCGGTCGACTTCTCTTTCGTGCTCCTCCTACTGTGCCTTGTAGAATCGTTTTGGACAATGTGTCATGTCTTACCGTGTGGCCGAACCATTGTAGTTTCCGTTTCTTTACGATTGAAAGGAGTGGTTCCTGTTTTCCTGCCAGTCTATGGACCTGGTGTAAGACGGTATTGCATCTAATTATCTCATTGCAGAAGTAATAATTAAAACAGGGCATTTATATTGATTATATTGTTAAATGAGAAAATGAGTATAAAATTAAAATTAACTTGAAAATACTAGAAACAATATAATAATGAAAGGAGGAATAAAGCAGGTCGTTTATTTGGTGTTTCTTAGTGAGTTAGTAGTGTCCTGTCATACACTTTTCTCATCACATGAAATGTTTCCCGGCCAAATAAGGCATTATAGACTTGCTGTACTTAGTCCTCCGAGCATGAAGTCTTCTATGGTTGTTGCTACTTCTCTACCTGATGAGATGCAGCAAAGAGAGAGAGAGAGTGAGTTGTGTATAAAGAGGATGTCCAGGGTTCAACAAGGTAATATTTCTTTAATTACTTGCATGAGGTCATGTGTCTATCTACAATAGTATCAACAAGTTGGTTTTGCGACACCCCACTCACCCTACTGACGGATTTTGGTGACCTTCGCAGTGTCACAAAGTCTTTCTCAAGTAGTCCAGGAAAGATTAGAAGATGGGGAAAGTGAAGAAGGATAGGTAGAATACGAGAATTAGTAAACTTGGAATATAGAAACTGTGTGATACCAGATTGTCTTAACTTCCTTACATAGAATGTCGAATGAAAATATCTTTTTGGGAACTAACATGATGTAGGAAAACCAGGAAAGACATCCGATTTAGTTTCAGCGTCTGTGCCATCTGTGAGAGTTGAATCATGAGACGAACCAGTTCATGTATTTCGCGACTCCCTCTGAGAGTGGAATTAACAGTCTGACACTTGTAGGGATTTATCTTAAAACCATTTGACGAGGACCACTAACTGATTTCTAATAAAAATTTATTCATTTTTGAACAATCTGATTGAGATTTAATAGGCATAGAAACAGTCAGATCATCGGCACACTTAACAAAATTGGCTTCGTCATCAGACTGAGCCGGAAGTCATGTAAGTAGAAAGAAAACAGAAGGTGGAGAGGGAACAGCACCTTGAGGGACCACCATATGTTGGCTATATACTGAATTGAAGTAGGCGATGAGTTCCATAGAGACCTTTTGTTTTCATAAAGTAAATGTATAATATAGCCGGTTTTACGTCCTAGTCGATTCCGATCTATTCAAGCCTAATGTGTATCGTAGCGTCATCCAGAACAATAGCAATCCTACCGCCAGGATGCATAAAGATGGGAGTCAATCGATCTCTGACAAAGAAAACTTGTACTGTTACAAACAACAAGCGAAGTCACTTGTCTTCAGTTCAAAAGCTTCACAGATATTTTTGTTGTAACCCATGTGGCATTTGGTATCATTATATAGCTGCCTACCAGTGGGCCCTAAGCCATGAAAAAGTTGGAATGCTGGGCGTGGGTCTAATGACACTACTCATGAAAACCAATTTAATCATTACAGAAACTTCACAGCACAGAAATAATCTAAAAAATAAATTTATTGTCACAAAGTAACATAATATCTCATCGCCTGGTGTCATGATAACTGCTTAGAGATGCTAATGCAATTTATACGTGAAAATACATGATTATTCATATTTCTGTGTATGCCATTCCAAAGAAATATCTAATCTCCAGTAATCATCATACTACTTACTGTAAATGAGTAGACTAAATAATTTCCTAAAAGTGACTGACTAACTGGTTTCAGCATCGAACTTTGCATAGTTGTGCAGCACTTCCAGTCACCACAGTCCCTCCATGCACCACACAAACCAAGTGAAGAGATTAAATAAAGATTCAAAAGAGAAAGAGAGATAAACAGAAGTGTGAGTGAGGGAAAAAGAATAGTAATATGGAAGAACAATAGAGGTTTATTGAATGTGACAAATCACGAAGATTGAATGCATCTGCGCCAGCCTCATGACCTCAATCCCGTTTGAAGTCTACACCTCCTTACGTGCCTGGCCGGCTTAAAAGAACTGTTATGGATTTCGTTCACTGATGAAGCCAATTTTCGATTTGACCATCACTGTTTCTTTTCCAACCTGATCCATCTTATATCAGTCAGATGACATTGTCCATCCATCGAGGAGGGCTATCTATGGCTAGGGATGCATTCGTAACACATTTCCTAACCATCACAATAGATGTAAGTGTTTCACAACCTCGTCGATTGATTTCCCCTCCTTAACCAGTACTCGACTGAGGCCTCACCTCAATATATTGCTCACTCTATTATACCACATAACATGGGCTATAGAACTCAGACACTTCTGATCAAAGACAGCTAATGGGTATTTTCATGTCTTCCACTTTCAATAGCTATTGATATATATATATATATATATATACGATTCTACAATTATAAAGTATTAAATTATTTGTTTGTATGTCCTTTATACTCTTCTCTTTTTTGCTTTGTGTCTTTTTCCAGCATTTCTCATGTTACGCATAGACAGTCAACGTATCTCATCCCAATTCACTTCACCAACTCATCAAACAGATAAACTAGCCAATTTGAATAGTTGTTCAACACGTGTAACACTGACTGGTAATAAATTAATTTACAGTTCACATGTAATAATGCCTAATACCTATTCAATGGCTTCAATATATCCATATAAAATATTGTCAAGTACTGAAATCATTATCAAAGATGAAGATGATAATGTTGGTGGTGTGGGTGGCGGTGTAATTTTCTCATTGCCTGAAGTTCATGCGGATATAAGATTACCGCATAAGGTTGGTGGTTATGCTTTTGTTGTTGTTGTTGTATATCAGGTACCTTTAATTCCTTTATTGCCTCCTGAAATCTAAATATTCGAATTTTGGATTATTATTCTTTTGAGTTCCTAGTGGAATATAGAGCTTCAGTGGCACATGTATCCATCGCATTTTGTTCTCTACCTACAAGCTTTCACTTCGTTCACATTTCATCTCTTCTATGTTTTCTTCCAAGCGTCTTCCAAACTTGTCGCTACCCATTAAGACGCCTAGCGTATGATTTCGCTTGTAGGTTTCTTCAAATTAACATATGTGTAAAACTTGGGCACTGTGGTAGTAAGTAATTCCATATTAGTTTGTTTATTAGATGTATCACACAGTGAGTGAAACAGTATTATTACTTACTGGATGACACAGTTTCGAACAAAATTTGTTATTGTTCATAATCATATCATCAATTATAATCACACGACTTCGAAACTTGAGTTTTATAGTTTTCTTTGTTCTCTCCTATTTGTCGTCGTAGGGGTAGTAGAATTTTCCAGATATCTGAGTGGACAGGTGTTGAATCATTCCTATTACACGTGTTGGTTTGCAGTTGATTCGATAAACAAAGCTTCTGTTATCAATCTCTCCCTCCACCCTGTGACATTAGATTTTAAAATTGTAATCTTATCCCATCAACCCTTTTGTGTGTAATTGCATGTGGTGTAGTGCTATAGCTGAACTATTCTCTAGATTTCTTATCTTATTTGGGTAAACCAAACTAGATTTCGCTAGGTTTTTATGCTCGGCTAGTCTGACTGCCCCTGTTCTACTAGTTTGACTTATATATCTGACCTCATATGATTATGAACAATAAATTTTGTTCGAAACTGTGTCATCCGGTAAATAATACTGTTTCACTCACTGTGTGATACATCTAATAAACGAACTAATATGGAAGGTCTCTTCAAAATTTGTCCAATCCATCTCAGTTTCCTTCTACATATTTATTGGGCAATGGATTGTTGGCTGTTCCATTACTTACCGTAGTTGCTTGTTTCTTCTCCGGTAGACGATTTGATCTTAGATGGTTGGAGGCAATTAGCGGGAAGCCTTGGAACCACTAGGTTTTGTGCTAGTTGGCACTCACCAGTTAGCAAGAAGTATCTGCGACCTTGAAGGAACTCATGTCCCTTCTGAAACTCGAACCCGCATCTGACTGATAGAATTCAGACATCTGTAAAACACAAAATAATCGAGCAAAGAATATCCTTTTCGATAAATTCCGCTTCCGGCTCTACAATTATGCATTATATGTTTATGTACATAGAATATTCTAGATTAGTAGTTAATAACAATATTAGTGTTTTTTAAAATAATATCGATTTGTAAAGTATGATCAATGCAATACAGTTCATTAAAGATGCTTTAATTACAATAATAATAATAATAAAGGTATAATAGCGAATAGAATATCAACTAAAATTAGGGAAATTCCACAAAAATTCAGGATCATTCAAACCTGGATGGCCAAGGTAATGATAATGTCTGAACTAAATTCCTTTGGATGCATAAATTAGGCTTATTAATATGGATCCCCACAGCCTCAACAATATTTAGTAGTCGAATTCTTAAGGTGAAATTGAGATTCGTAGGTATGCGGTAAATGGCCCTGAAAGCATGATTAACGTCAATCTTGTGTTCTGTCTCCACGAGATGAGACAGAATAGCGCTGCGAATAGATTTTGTTTGTCCTTTGCTTAACCAGGCAGGGTGATGTTCGGAAATTCGACGAGAAACACGCCTAATTGTACGGCCTATATAACTGGCTCCACAGGAGCATTCCCTGCTGCTGAATTACTCTGTATCTTTAAAACCACTCCTCTTCTGCGTTCGGGAATAAAAGGCAAACTGCCTAATTTCGCCTCTTCCTTGTGTATTTACCAATTTAACTGCTCTGTCAGAAAACTTCACCATACGATCACAATAACAAATACGATGAACAAGGTTGTTTCATAACGAAAAACGAGGAACAAGAACGTGAAGAGAATTGAATGATAAACCCAGAGTAATAAAAAATCTGAAGTGTTGACTTGCAGGCATGATGATTGGTTGCAAGTTAAGTCGTCATAGAATCAATCAAATCCCCTGCAAACCACAACACATTAGACCTAATCTAATACTCACTGGTGACTGACTCTAGGACGAAGTTTGCCTGGAGTTTTGGTCGTGTCCAGCCAAGTTCATCAAGTTGGATGTGAGGAAAAATAATTGGCTATGACTTTGGCTGGCGTGGCGCTATATACATCATCAATTAACAGAAGTTTGAGTTCTTGGCCCATTGCATTGCTTCTCAACAGACTCTCCTCGTAACCTCAACGTCCTGGCCACGATTCCACATGTGTGAGGTCATGTGTAGCGACTGCTGAAGAGACCTAAAGTAGGGTGAAACAACTGTCTAGTACTCCCGGGTTTTCATTAACTCTCTAACTGCTGTGAATCCATGATCTAACATAATGGTTATTTATTAAACAAGGTTTAATGGTACACATATCACTCATATGATCGTTAATACACTTGTAGTTGCGCTAACGAATTTCTTACCTAGTCGATTCGCTAGCCTATTGCTCTAATCACTATTAGCAGCAACAACACGATACAATATCACAAAAAAACGCAATGCAAGAAGACAAGAAGAGGAGGCACAAACAGCGAAGAAAATTTTCTTTTCGACGATTCATTTTCATGAGCTGTACAATCGTAATTATAATTAACAAAGAAATCTTTAGACCAATCAGATACTGGTAAATTTTGTCCTTGGAAAATTGTATTACATAATGTAAGGTGTAAGAAGGGATGACTAATTGTAAGTTAGAAAGGAGACAGAAGTTGGCATGACGTAATAAGTGTGAGATAGTGAATAATCAATAATCTCGTGTAAAATGGACAGGAACTAGTGGAAAGGCTAATAAAGTGTTTTTGTATAAAATATGTATGGAAAACAATGTTATTAATAAACAGTAATAGAGTGGTAATAAAATGTGGATGATGGGGACAAAATGATAATAAAAGTATTAATAAAAGCCGACATGGACTGGACAGTTTATCAACTTTCAGAGCTTCGTCCCACTAATCCGAAAGAGAAACCTGATACGTACGTTGAGCTCAAGGATTAAAAAAATCTGCTCGGAAGACATGGTGGAGAATGAATTAAATTTATTACGTAAAAGCCTACTAGAGAATGGATATCCACCAAGATTTATTGACAAAAACATGAAGGAGAAGCCTCCGATGTCAAACATCGCAACGGTTCCTAAGAAGACTCTCTTCATGAACCTAGAATTCAAAGGTGATGTCGCAGCGGAAATTCTCAGAAACCGCCTTTCTAAATGTCTGAAGAAGACATTTCCAACAGCCACTCTACGTATCACATTCTCCTGCAGATAGTTAATCCAGTCTAACGCTAAGGACAAGATACCGCTTTTGGCCACCTCAATGTGTATTTATCAATTTACTTGCTCGTGTGGAGCAAAGTATATTGGCCGTACGCAACGTCAAGTCCAAAAACGTATTCTGGAACACTGCCCCGCTTGGCTGGCCAGAGGAGAAAAGAAGAATAGCAACAGCTCGATCCTCGAACACCTTGTCATCTCTGGACATCGAGCACCCCCACATGAATGCTTCACAGTGTTACACAGAGTCCCTCAATATCGTACAAAGGGACTTCGGATTCGCCATCTTTACATAGCTGAAGCATTAGCTATTCGAGATCTAAAACCGGACCTCTGCATACAAAAGCGATACATACATTCTCTTGTCTTACCATGGCCAGAGTAAAGTTCTTATCACAATTTTGCTTCTTTCCTTTATTATGTAAGTTCACTATTATTACCATTATTATTTTATTTTATTAATACTTTTATTATCATTTTGTCCCCATCATCCACATTTTATTACCACTCTATTACTGTTTATTAATAACATTGTTTTCCATACATATTTTATACAAAAACACTTTATTAGCCTTTCCACTAGTTCCTGTCCATTTTACACGAGATTATTGATTATTCACTATCTCACACTTATTACGTCATGCCAACTTCTGTCTCCTTTCTAACTTACAATTAGTCATCCCTTCTTACACCTTACATTATGTAATACAATTTTCCAAGGACAAAATTTACCAGTATCTGATTGGTCTAAAGATTTCTTTGTTAATTATAATTACGATTGTACAGCTCATGAAAATGAATCGTCGAAAAGAAAATTTTCTTCGCTGTTTGTGCCTTTTCTTATGACTCAATATGGGAATATTTCGTTCATTGAAGAACAAGAGGAGGAGCCAGACCGTTGACATGGTGAGCTCTTACTGTCTCGTTTCGACGGTTAAAAAGGGTTGTCAGAGCTTACGCTTATATATGCTCTAAAATGACCTTGAGAGACACTGATTACATTGATAAATTACAACAATCAACAACCAATAAGATTTCAAGGTGTGAGTGAGAGAAAAGGCACATGTGGGAAATTAAGTGTATTTATATCAGTTACCAATCTCTGGATAAAAATGAATTTAGCAAAGTTGAATAAACCTTAGCGGCAAGTAAAGCTCTTAATTCAAATCTTGTGTAACCCTCAATCCCAGTTATTAGTTCATTACAATATTTATTTTTTAATTGCATAATGAAATGTATTGTTTATTTGCTTATTTTTGTGTCTTCATACTTTTTTCTTGCAATATTCACAGTGTATTGATATCTCACCAATTGGTTCTTGTGAATTTGTCTGGTCATTAGCATTTCATTTATGCTTACGTAGTATATTACAATCATGGAAAGAAGTTAGTGGGAAATTTTCATCAGGATTCAATCAAGTAAGTTGAAATAACTGTTATTATTATTATTAGCATTGTTATTCTACATCATTGAGTGATTAGTAGTCAAAGTGAGATAGCCGATAGTAAACTACCACCAGTCACACTTATTGTGCGACGTGCGACTTATGCTCAGTTAGGTGGAGATAGATTCGAAATGTGGATTTGTTGGCTGTAAGTCGAACGTTTTAGCCAGTGGGAATGTTCTTCTTTGTTGTATGTTCATTCTGGAGTTGCTTTAAATTAAAATGGGTTCAAACTCTGGTGAGTAGAGTCATGTATGCGTACTGTTGTTGTAGAGTTTCAAATTTGAACGAGAAAGCTATTTAGTACTCTCTGGACTTCAGTGGTTCCTGAATTACCCGTATATAAAAGACCTCTCGAAATTCTTCCAAGTGACCATGTGTTCATACACTCTGCCAGATAAGTATAATTCACCGTCTGCCTTCATGCAGCACTTGGGTGTTCCTCACAAAAGTGAAAGGGTGAATGCGAACGTCTAGCACGCTTACAACCGGACTGTTAAACATGCAGGTCTACCTTGTGCAGCTGGAAAACACTGATGGCAAACCTATGGTGTACATAGGCTCCAGATTCTGAATGGATGGAATAGTGTATGAATGTATTTTGGGCATTGGAAACTATGGGAACGTAGTTCTTGACGCCGCTGAACACTGGCTTTTGCCGGGATCAAACTTGAAGTCAAAGGCTCTGGGAGTTCGGGCAGTAAGTATCACAGTCCTCGCATAAACTATGAGATTTTGTATAGCGTATCTCCCGGTGCCTATAATTCACCAAGTTTTTGTTTTAATAATAACTGGTGTCACTTCATTATGTAGCTTGAAAGATGAAATTTCTGCAATTCTCTTAACCGTAATAATAAGTGTTTCCATGTTAAATAATGTTGAATATATATCGAGTAAATGCCCACATCCAAAGTAATTTGGAGGCAACTAACATTGATCAGATGTTACGTTCTCCTCTGGTTGAAATTTGTCAATGAGGCGTACAGTAAGTATGTTTATTAAGTTGACCGACATATATCTGTTATGTACTGCTTCAAACACTCAGTTTTCGTTTTATATGTTTATTTGTTGGTTAGTTAAGTTAGGAAGGGATGACTCATTCTCTACCGGGCTATAAGTCGCAGTTGTGTGAACCTGATGTCACTAGATGTAGTTTGCTAAAGCTAACATGAAATTCATGACAGTTAGTTTTAGCCACGTAGGGAGGTGTAGATCACCAATGTGGTTGATGTCCTTAGAATGGTAAGAACCAATAAACGCTGGAAACAGTTGGTGGATCAGGTTGGAAAAGAGCTAGCAAGTAGTGGTCAAACCAAAACACGGCCGCACCGGTCAATTAAATCCACAACAGTTAGTTTAGTCTGGCCAGTCACGTAGGGAGGTGTACACTTTCTGTGTGGAGTCCTTAGGATGGTAAATACCAAGCAATGGAGGCTAGAGACAATTGGTGATGATATAGTTCAAAATCGTTCTCGGTGATGGTTGGTGCAGATGCATTCACTCTATGCGATTTGTCATATCCAATACAATTTTATCGTTCTTCCATATTACTATTCTTATTGCCTCATATTTCTGTTTATTATCTCTGTCTTTTGAATCTCTTTTTACTGTTTTCTCTTGCTTTGTGTGGTACATGGAGGGGGGGGGGGTAGGCAACTTGACCTACTGGACATCTGTGCAAAGCTCTACTTTGAAACCAGTCATTCAAAGCTGAAGCTGGTGAGGCGAGATTCTCCCCGGGGTTACCCCACTAACTGACTGACTGGAACTTGAGTGCTTACTCTAATTTAGTCATATCTCCATTTTATATGTGAAGAATTTCTTCAGCAGTCAGATTCGTGCTCTGCCTTTAAATTTATTATATGTTGATACTTGTGTAAAAACGTTGAGGAGATGCTTATTCTTTCTGAGGCTTTCCGCCATTCATTTCTTATATCATCTTTACTGACTGACTGACATACTGACAGCACCACTTCAGGTTCCCACATTCCATGTAGTACACAAAGGTAGAGGAAAGGGACGAAAAAGAAATTCAGAAGAACTCTAATGATGAGAAATGTACATGAGAAAGGACAGTAATATGGATCTTGATGATCACAAAGAGTGATTGCATCTGTGTCATTGACAACGATTTTAAGCCATATCACCAACAGTCTCAAGCCATTGGTGTTTTCCATCTCGAGGACCAAAACTAGGTAGTCTTCACCTAACTATGTGGCTCAAATCAACTGTAGAAGATTTCATACATTGATACTAAGTTTCGAATTGGCCATGCCTAACACTTTTCCAAGGTTACTTCATTCACTTATCTAGGGAGCATTGTCTCAACTACAGGAGGAGCGGACGAGGATGTCAAATCGAGAATCGAGAAGGCGAGAAACACATTCATCAACCTGAAACCAAACTGGAAATCTTCGTCACTCAGCAACACTCAACAACAAAATTCGGATTTTCAATACAAACGTCATGTCAGTCAGTTCTTCTATACGGATGGATCAGAAACTTGGCGGGTCACAAAGAATATTTCCAGCAGCCTGTTGCAGACCTTCATCAACAACTGTCTTCGTCCTATACTGAAGATCAGATGGCCGCCGGAAAGAATGACCAACAAGAAACTATGGGAACAAACAAAACAAGAACCAATCGCCCAACAACAAATATGCAGGAGGAAGTGTAGACGGATTGGCCACTCGCTGAGGAGGCCAATGGGTGACATCGTGCGTCAGGCCATAGCTCGAGTGGAACCCGAAAGGGGAGTAGTGAGTGGGACGTCCAAGGGTGACATGGAGGAGATCGTGTGAATAGGAGCTGAAACAGTATGGACTAACATGGATGCAGGTGGAAAGTACAGCAGAAGACAGAAGCAAGTGGAGACGTGCAGTTGAAGCCCTATGTTCCACTAGGAACCCAAGGGAACAATAGTAATACAATAATAATAATAATACTTTTCCAACTTAATAATATGTCAGCTAACATTGCCCATCGAAGAAGGCAGCTGTTCAGCATGGATAACACGTGTCTGAGTCATCGATTGAGATTAACCTCAATATTATCATCATTAGGCTAATGACGTGTACCACAATCGATCCGATGTTCTTTCGAGGGAGAAATCCTATTTTTCTGCATGGTATAATTTTATCCTGTTTTTATGTTGATATATATGTCATCTATACGTTACTGATGATCTTGGTGGAAACGACTGACCAGCTAGCACTACCGGTTGATGTGAGTGGGTATGCCACTACTTATATCAGTGAACTAGTAGTATGTAGTGCCAGGCATTTATTCGTGCCGTCTTGATTACCATTTATGGTATCAAATGTGTGCAGTTTCGGGTTGTCGCTTCGCGCGCTTGTTGTCTATTCAGAGTGGATCACTGGTTGGAAACCCTCTCCATGTACACTGAGATTTAGACAGTCAGGTATGGCATCAACAACCTATTTCACGGTAGGCGTGTTTCATTGCTTCAACTTCCGTTGGTTGTTGAGTTAATATTGCATTTTTCGATACATAATATCGATCAGATCATACATATTGTGATCTGAATAATTTCGATTTCCAAAGGGAAGCAAATTCAATCATTTGGTTTTATTTTGTCTTTTTCATTTCTACAGTTATTCTCTACAGGGATGACAAATTGGTCTAACTGTAATTGTCAACAGATTCAGTCGGTCAAATCACCGCCGTTGCCACCACCACCACTGCCGCCAACTTCATCATCATCCTCCACAGCAACAGCATCACTTACAACCACAGGAATGACGTCGTCCACCTTCATGACACTCTCCGGACTACGTAAAACAAGTAATACGACGACACCGACTCCGATCACTACTAGTAGTAGTAGTAAAGATAATCCTGCTGTATGGAGATTTAACTTGAAGACTAATGAGTCAATTATTCAATTGTATTTCAAATTATTATCTAAACAGCATTTTATTTTACTGCATGTAGACAGTTTATCTTTTTCGTATATTTCAAAACTATCAACTACTACTACTGCTACTAACTAATATCAGTAGTAATAACAGCATGAATGACAGGGGTGTTAATCTCGTGGATAGTAACAGTGTTGTTGGTAGTCGTATAAAGCTGAATTGTGAAAGATTAGTGTTGAAATGTGAAGATCAAACAATTGCTGTCTTTCAGGTAGGCTTTAGCTCTCTAAGCTTTTATCTTTTGGTCTTTGATAAACTATGAAACTATGATTAAAAAGGCACATTAAAATTCTTTTCTCGATAACATCATCAGCATCTACAGTTATATATATATAATAGAACAACACATTTAAGCGAACAATATTGCTGTTTTCAATTAGATCTCATCAGGCTTAACTATTATATATATTTGTATATACAAATAAAAATTCAATTATAAACCAATCATGGTGTTTTGTCTATAGGATAATACGATGTTGAATATAAATTGTGCAATTAGTCATGATAGTAGTAATCATAATAACAATAATAGTAATAATAATGGTAATAATAAAAATGGTCTTATCAATAATTAGGGTGAAAAAGTGAGGCAATCTGTGATAATCTCACGTAAGAAACCTCTATTTATTAAGTTACAATTTAATGGTGACTTATCAAGTGAGATTCCATTCCAAAGACTTTCAAGGAGTATACAAAGAACATTTTATTCAGCACACCTATGTTTGTCTTTCTCTAGCCGACGAATGATTGTGACGCAAACGAAGGATAAGCTTGATAGTTTTGCCACATCTATATGCATTTATCAATTCAACTGCACCTGAGGTGACAGTTATATTGGGTGTACTACTAGACAGCTTAGCCAACGTGTTAGTGAACATCTGCCACCGTGGTTTGGCAAAGGACAGACAAAAACAATTCGTAGCTCAATTTTGTCACATTTAATTGATAGTGGTCATGTAATCGAGAAAACGAGAGATTTCAAAGTAATCCATCGTATCCCACCGAATCTTTCCAGTAGACTTCGTATTCGTCTACTGCACACATCTCAGGCGATAGGCATTCGAACTATATTAAACCTAAACTATGTATTCAAAAGAAGTTCGTACAGCCATTATCCCTCCCTTGTTGGCCTATTAAGATATAACCAAATAATGACTTCTACACCACCCTTTGTTTATATTTTCAACCCCTTTCTTATCATCCCTTAATCTTATCACATCTTCATTATAAACGTGTTTCATTTCCTTCCCTTACAATCTAACATTACTTAATCGGTTCATTGTTTTTACTAGCTTTTATCGACTACTTCCACCTGAATAGTTGTTTGTTTATTCATGCTGTTTTTCATTATTCGTGTTATCACAGATTGCCTCACTTTTTCATCCTTATTATTGAAAAGACCATTTCTATTATTACTATAATTATTATCATCATTACTAGTATTATGACTAATTGCACAATTTATATTCAACATCGTATTATCCTATAGACAAAACACCATGATTGGTTTATATTTGAATTTTTATTTGTATATATAAATATATTTAATAGTTAAGCCTGATGAGATCTAATTGAAAACAGCAATATTGTTCGCTTAAATGTGTTGTTCTAAATTTTACTATGGGAATATCAAATATATATAGAATAGTTAGTAAATTAGAACTTTTAAGGCTGGCAAAATACAAGTCTTATTTTCTGCACGACTAATGGTGATTCGTCGATTGAAATGATGAAGTACCTAGACTAGCTAACCACTTCTAATTGTATCTGCCTATTCAACTGCACCTTTTGGTAGAGCGAGTTATATATTTGCCGTTGCTCTAGGAACTTGATTTTTCGTGCTTCCTCGGAAACATCTACCAGTGTGGTTAAATAGAAGTGTAGTTAGAAGCTTCAATAGCTGGTATATTAGGACACCTAGTCCAAAGTGACGCGTCACAAAGCCAGAATTGAAGAATCCTTCTCTGTCATCATCTACCGGGTACCAAGTAAATTGATATCAATTAGAGAATTTGTATTATTATTATTTTTCCTAATTTGCCTGTCTGATATTCAATGTGTATTGTTATGTTGATGCTATCGAACTTGTAATTCGTGGATATTATTTTTATTATTACTGTTGATTCGATGTTATTTCAACAACATTAATGTTTTTTAATAACACTAATTCATTGAATATCATGTATATATAACTGTATAACCTGATGCAGAGCAGGTTAGATCTCTCTGCTAACCAACACTTGAGTATTGTTTATATGCGATCATTCATATATTTGATTTCTATTTAATATTGAGGTATTTGAACATTTTCATGCGTTTACCCTGCTGTAATATATCAATGGATGCATCTCTTTGACATTGTCTTATTACTCTAACCGTCTATATAGTTATTGAATTACCAATGTAGGGTGAACTGAGTCAATCCAGACTTAAATAAACTACAACTCTCACTATTCCTGATTTTTATTGTATGAGTTTCTCTCTGGGTAACAAACAGATGAGGAATAGGGTTTCATTAAGTTTTGCAGAAAAAAGCAACAACCGTGGGTGGGTGGGTGTGTATGCCATCCGAGCAAGCGCTGAACTGTTCCAATCCCGTCCGTGTTGATAATAATAATAATAATAGCTTTATTCCGGAAAATTACGTTTATACGTAGTACAGAATTTTCAGCAAGTTCCATTGCAAGGTATTTACCTCATTGTGTGTCGAATCTTCAGATGATATAAAATAATCGATAATGTTTTATCTAGAAAAACACATTTAAACGAATAAATATTGTGCTTTCAATTAGATGTCATCAGGCTTAACTCTGATATGCCTACCTAACTTTACAAATAAATATTCAAATATAAACCAATCATGGTGTTTTGTCTATAGGATAATAATAAGATTGTGCATATAAATTGTGCAATTAGTCATAATAATAATGATAATAATGGTTATATCAATAATAAGGATGAAAAAGTGAGGCGGTCTATGATAACAAGAATATTGAAAAACAGCATGATTAAACAAACAACTGTTCAGGTAGACATAATAGTCGATGAAGGTTAAGAAAAACAAATGAACCTATTACGAAATGCTAGATTGTAAGGGAAGTAAATATAATACGTTCTATTAAAGCTACGATAAGATTAAGGGGTGATTAGAGAGGAGGGGTTGACTTCTTTTGAATCAGCATAGTTTAGGCTGAATAGTTGTTCGGATGCCTATCGCCTCATCTGTGTGCAGTAGACGAATACAAAGTGCATTGGAAAGATTCAGTGCGATGCGATGAACTACCTTGAAAGCTTTCATCCTCTCCACTACTTTATCTGCAGCAATATTATTCCATTCGAGGTATGTGCTTCAGTGCTGCTTCACCAAAATGTTCTTCGATTTCCGTTGAAAAATTCCCACCGGTAGGTGGTAGAAAATTGTTTGAAATTCTGTGCACGTATAAAATCGCGACTCATTCTGCTATTTAGAAGACTAGAACAATTTGGAATGCAATAAAAACGCTGTATTTGGTTTGATGGATAGGAAATTTAGGTAGCCTAACGATATACATTTAAGCATGGCTCCATGGGTTCGAACCCAGTCAAGTAGTTCTACTAGTTCAATAGTATCTTGTTACTTTGAAGAGGGAAAAAGTTGACAACTTCCTTGTTGAAAAGCTATTCTGTTTTATATTGTGATAATTCATTTATTTCTTCTTCTAATATTTTGTTGTTTTCCTTTATTTATATTTAATCAAAGAATTTAAAAATTCGTCGAAGACCAGAAAATATTCAACATCGTGTAGAACACCTTAAAATGGGTTTGATTAATCAAGAAAATTCTTCTTGGTATGTTGCATGAATAGTGTTCACATTGTGTTGATATATGCTTGCTTCTGAATTGTTTTGATTCATGGAATATTTTTTTCGATAAAGAAAGGAAGACGAAATTTGCAGTATAAAATGATATCGTCATCACTCTATTTCACAGGTTCTCATCAGCTGCACACCCCTGCCTGAAATTACAATGGTTATATATAGATGATAATAACATACTTTAATGTTTGAGTGGTTGTAGAGAAGAAATGCTATAAAATTGACGCATCCAAAATGAAAGCATTACAATTTTTAGTTTAAGTTTCTGCATCATCAATTTATACGCTTTCAACGTTGAAAAGAGCGGGGTGGAGGGGTAAGACAGAAAACAGAAAAGATTAATTAACAGAACAGTGTTAGCTTGTAGGTTCGTTCACATAGCAACTGAAAAAACAAAAGCGGTTACAGTTTATGAGATTAAGATTTGTTCAGTGAGTTGAGATCACTGTGAATGTGCCTTTAAGACCAATCTTGTCAATGATTGACTCACCATGCCAGAAGCCTAGCTCGATGGTTAGCTGATTCTATAGAGCCAATTCGAATTAAATTTGCAACCCATAATCTGAAGGATAGCTATCAATTTTCCAAGGAAGTTGACAATATATTGACATATCAGACAAACTCATGGTATCGTATGACGTGACCTCCTTGTTTACAAACGTACCACTGATGGAAACGATTGATATCATTTGTAAACAAACGGATCTACTACCATTACCCGAAACAGAGATGAAGCGACTACTGCTGCTCTGCACAAAAGATATAAAATTCAAATTCAACAATCAGCTCTACCGACAAATTGATGGGGTCGCGATGGGCTCACCTCTGGGACCTATCCTGGCTGATATCGAAATCAAAATTCAGTTACCAAGGTAGTGAGAGGTTAATCACACTCTCTTTCTGTATGCATAAGTCTGGTTTACCTTGAACAGACACAATTAAGTTCTGCTATCAATGGAGCAATCTACTATCGCCGATATGTTGATGACACATTTGTTGTTTGCAACGACATGGATTACGCATCGGCATTATATGGTCTCCTAAATGAGACCCATCCGAACATCAAATTCACCATGGAATATGAACATAATAATGAGCTCAATTTCCTTGATCTAAATGTAGAAAGAATAAACGAAGGCACAATCGAAAAGTTCATGTATACAAAAGAAACCTTGACTGGGCAATATCTTCACTAAAACAGCTTTTGTCCTATAAGCTATCAACGTGGATTAGTGAGGACTTTGTACGACAGAGCCAGGAAGCAATGTTCACCAAACAAGGTTGAAGAAGAATTAGTTTTCGTCGAGAAATGCATGAGGGAAAATGGATACCCTAAGGGATTTATACAGAAGTATGGCAGCGAAAAAGATAAGAAGGAAAAACACCCAACTGTAGAAAAGAAAAAAAGTGTTTACTTGTCTCCCAATCAAAGGAGATGCAGTGTCACAAAAGATTGACAAAAGACTGAAAGGTGCAATAAAAAGAAGCTTCCCGGCAGCTAAACTCATAACATTATACAGCACCACTTCTTCTATAAGCCACTCAAAACTGGATAAATACCCTACTGATGTCACCTCCAACTGCGTTTATGAATTTACGTGCACTTGCGGGAGCAAGTACATTGGAAGGACGGAAAGAAGGGCTTCTATCCGGTCTTCTGAACATATTCCAAGAAACCTATGCCGGAAAGGAAGCAAATATTCTCAGAGCGCAATTACCAAAACATATTGTTGACACCGGACATCTCGTAGAGATTTCTAAGTCCTTCAAAATATTAAATAGACAAATGACAGCAAATTTACTACGATTTGTCGAAGCGATCGCAATCAAACGATTCGAACCAACCAGATTTATGCATACTGTATTCTCTACTACCAATCAAGCATTAAATTATGTTATTATCACCTATATAACCATTGTATTTTCAGGTAGTCAATGGCAACTGATGAGAACCTGTGAAATGGAATGATGATATCATTTTATACTGCAAATTCAGTCTTCCTTTCTTTATCGAAATTTATAGAGGGAACCAAATCTATGAAGAATATTTTTTCATTACCGAAATATTAGATGAAATGTAGAAAAATATATATGTGTCCTGATTACAAGTCTGTTTATCGCATTACAGAAGACTAACAGTTTTGTTGAACCTGTCTTACGCGTATTGCCTAATTATTAGCAACTATGATCAATTAAAACTGGACTTATTGTTTTCAATTAGATCTTCTTCAGGCTCTTTAGTCTAGTGGTCTATTGAGGTTAGGCGTTGAGTGCTAGGTGGTAAGGAGGGGAAATTAATCGACCAGTTTGTGAAGTTACATCGATTTAGATTGTTGGAACATGTGTTATGCATTCCTATCCTAGCCATCGCTTTCGCCGACGGATGGGGGCGATGTTAGCTGACTCATATAGAATGGATCAGTTTAGAAAAGTTAGCTTGTGGTGGTCAAAGCAAATACATGGCTTCATCAGTTAATGAAATCCACAACAGTTGGTTTAAGCCAGCTAGCCAACCATCTGGGCTGGTGTAAACTGCCAATTTGGTTGGGGTTGTCGGGATGGTGAGAACCAATGAAGGCTAGGGACGACTGGTGATAATGCTCAAAATCCTCATTCTCAATGACTGGCGCAGATGCATTCATTCTTTGTAATTTTTCATATCGAATAAAACTGTATTGTTCTTCCATGTGACTATTCTTTTTGCCTCATCCACACTTCTGTTTATTATCTCTCTGTCTTTTGAACCTCTGTTTATTCTCTTCTCTTCGTTTTTGTAATACATGGAGGGAGAGTGGGAACTGGAACTGCTGCACAACTATGCAAAGTTCTATGTTGAAACCAGTCATATATATACATATATATAACCTGTAGCTAATGGCAGTGAATTTGTGGGTGAAGAATAATATGTTAAATGTCAGTGTTTTCATGAGCTGGCTTGTAGGGATGTGATTTATTTCAACATGTGATAGTCATAGGGGGATCAGCCTAATGAACATAGTTTCTAAAATCCTAGGCTCAGTAATCATGCACAGACTAAGCCGAACTCGGGAGGAACAAACGAGGGAAAATCAAGCAGGCTTTAGGCCAGGTAGAGGGTGCATAGATCATATCTTCACTCTCCGACAGATCCTAGAACATAGACACACTTTTAGGCGTCCAACAATTGCCATATTTCTTGACTTGAAGGCGGCCCTCGACTCCGTGGATAGAGAGGTACTATAGCAATGTTTGACTGTGAAGGGAGTGCCAAGAAAGTATATTGCACTAATCAAGGCACTCTATTCAAACTCACGTAGCAGTGTAAGGGCTTGTGGGGAATTGTCATCTGAATTGATAACAACCAGTGGTGTCCGTCAGGGATGTCCACTTTCCCCTTTTCTGTTTAACTTCATCATAGATATGCTAATGGAAGTATCCTTAACTGAACTTAGCGACTTAGGAATCGACCTGTTACCAGGGAATAGTCCCATGGACTTAGAATATGCAAGTGACATTGTCCTGTTGGGGGAAGATGCTGACAAAATGCAGAGTCTTCTTAACACCTTGAGCAGCAATCTTCGTATGTTTGGCTTGCGATTCGCCCCTGTAAAATGTAAGATGCTGTCACAGGACTGGACTACGTCTACTCCTAGCTTAGTGATAGGGAGTGAAGTGATAGAACATGTTGACCATTTCACCCATTTGGGAAGTTGTATCAGCACCAACGGACTGATTGGTAACGAAATCTAAGCACTGATCCAAAAAGCTCGAGCTGCTTTCGCTAACTTACACCATCTCTGGCGGACGTAGGCGTGACATCCGGCTATCAACCAAGGGACGTGTGTACTGCTCAGCAGTTCGCTCCGTCCTTCTCTATGGCTCTGAAACATGGCCAATACGAGTTGAGGACATGAAAAGGTTGACTGTTTTTGACCACAGATGTCTACGATCTCTTTCTCGCGTTAGGTGGTAAAATAAGGTAAGTAATGTTGACGTTAGACGTAGAGTGTTGGGCAGAGAGGGAAAATCAATCGACGAGGCTATAAAGTTACATAGATTGAGATGGCTAGGTCACGTTCTGCGCATGCCTAACCATCGCCTCCCCCGACGGACGGGCATTACCAGCTGATATAGGGGCAGGTTGGAAAAGAGTAAGTGGTGGCCAAACAAAAACATGGCCTCATCAATCCATGAAATCCCTTACGGTTAAACTGAGTCAGGTAGGGAGGGAGATGCAGACTTCCGGGTTGGGGCCAGTCCTCGGTTCTCTAAGAATCAAAGGCTGGAGACAATAGGTGACATGGCTCAAAATCGTTGTCAATGGCTTACGCAGATGTATTCAGTCTGTGTAATCTTTCATATTCCTTTCTACCATTACTCATTCATTCTGTTTCACTCTTATACTTGTCAAAACTCTATTGATTCTCTTCACTCATTTTTTTGTATACCTTTGTGTGATATTTGGAACGTGGCAACTGGAACTGCTGCACTTCGGTGCCAAGTTCTGTGTTGAATCCAGACAGACAGACAAATCTGTTTCAAACTTGACTACGGATTGGTCTCATTTAGAGAACCATTAAAAAGTAACATTAGAGTACTGAACAGCTGTTTCGTCCTGGTTTGGGAGTCATCGTCAGTGGGCACTCACCACCAGTGCTTAAACCCCAGGACCTTCCGGTTACAAGGGAAGCTAGCGCGTATACCATTCAGCCACTGGAACCCAACTCAATGGCCAGCCGATGAATTCTAACTTCTACCAATTCCTTATTTTAGCGCAACCACCAGCCACTGTCATCGGCAGCGAGTATTTGTCCTCACTCTCCTATTGATATCAATTAGGAGAACCATTGAGAACCAGCAGGGAGTACTGAACAGCTGTTTCATCCTAGTTTGCGACTCAAGTAAACTTACTTTTGAAAAATAATATTTTTAACATACATGAAATGCTTTTTGAGGAGGGGGATTTGAAAAGCTCACTTATCCAATGATAATAACCCCTCGGGAAACAGAAAGGTTGACCATGAGGCTAGGAACTGCATCCCATACGAAAAAAAAGAAATAACACCACAGCTATTGAAAGTTGAAAACGGGATGCCTAGTGTTCCGCTTGGAACTTAAGTAATACATTTATGCATTTATATGGATTATAGTTGATAACATACATTTGCTTTTTCCACATCAAATCACATTACATCGTATCTTTTTCTGTCCTATTTTTTTTCTTTCAATATGTCAGGGAATTTTATATGGACTTACTCTACATAACATTTCCATATCGATATAAATTTCGTGATATCTATCAAGAGGTGAGTGAGTGTTGATGGGTAATAATAATTAGTATAAATCAGATATATATGTTGTTATTAAAACACATTTTATGAAAATGCTTGTCAATCAATGGATTTATAATGAAGGTTGAATGATTATTTGTATTTCCCGTTGGGTTGGGATGCTCTCTGTGTGATTTGATTTATATTGGTACAGGGTTCGAGTCTCAGTGGGCTAAGTACAATCACCCGCTGAAGATACAAGTCTATCCATAATTCGAGCCTAGATTCCATCACTGACTGCCATCTGTCAATCAAACAACATCTGCACAAGAAGCCGACATGTTAACCTGAGACCGAGCACTTCGGTCCAATCAATCGATGGGAGAATCTAAAATTTAATTAAAGAATTAATATGACCCGTTGTAGAAGAGGTGGTGTCTCTCATTGCCGCCCAAGTGGTCTAGTGGATAACCGGCTTTGGCGTTTGAAACTATGGGCACTGGGTTTGAGCCTCGGTAGGAACATCATCATTTACTGGGGGATGCAGGTACATCCAGCCACCAACTAGTCCCAAATGCGCGTTATCCTGGATTCCATTGCCATTCACCATCCTCCATGGATGATATCTCCTAGGTATTTGTTTTTCATTCTTAGATATGACCCAAATGAGGTTTGTTGTTTTAGAGATTTGATTAGAATGAATAGGATTGTGTAGATATTCTGTCAATAAAAGAAAAGGCTCAAATATGAGTTGTGTACACTTGCTATGTCGTGTTTACTCCATTGTGTGTGTGTGTGTGTGTGTGTGTGTGTGTGTGCGTTGTTAGCTAGAGAGTGTAATATAACTAGACCAAGACGTAGTATTGTTTGTTGGTTCTCATTCAACTATATATGAACTTGGAAGTTGGACTGGTTAGGGGGTTTATGAGACAATTGATCACAAATGCATAGATGCATTCAGATATTATCTTTATTGGTTACAGGATTTTATCATGAGCTGACATCGGTTATAGAGAACCATTGGAAAACCTGCAGGGAGTACTGGATAGCCAGCTGTTTCTCCAGCTTAGTTTGGGACTCTTCATCAGTACGCACCCACACTACAGTGGGGTTCGAACCCAGGACCTTCTGGTTACAAGGCCAGTTTGTAGACCATTAAGCCACTAGGACGCGTACCAATGGCCAGGTACTAGCGAATGTCATCTCTGGCGAGTATTTGTCCTCATTCCCGATCTGCTGTACCCTACTGGTCATGACTTCCCACTAGAACCCCAGGTAACTACCTACCTGAATAGGGCCAGTCGTTAGTGAGCATCTCATTGATATTGTAGGGATTTGATTGACTAGTTAGAGGATTTCATCCCAGTACTCCTTGCAGCAGGTTTTGCAATAGTTGTTTAACCGATGTCAGCTCATGATTAGATCCTGTGACCAATCAATCAAATCCCTACAAACCAATACTTAAATATTATCGTTATTTTTATTGGAATGTCAAGTTTCCTTGGGTTTATATATATATATATGTATCCTCTTTGGGCTCACGTAACTGAGGCGAAAGATGGTCATAGTAGGATCAGCGTGTCTGTTGACCAGAAAAGAATATTGTATGAAGTTGTGAGACATCTGGCGAACTGCATGTACTCCAGAAGCGCCGTGGCAAGCTGTTTAACAGTCTTAATGTGATATCAACAGTTTGGCTTGACATTATCGGATGGTTATTTGCGTCAATGGTTTATAGTAGTACAATGTTTGTATAACACATGAGAGGTTCGATTCACAACTGACAACAACCACCCCCCACCCCGAAACCTCGCTTAGTTTGGCGGCTACTAGTCAGCTTGGAGAAGATGGTGCGTTGGTGTGATGAGGCTAGGAACACACTACTCCATAAAAACATCAGAATCTGTGATGGAATTTCAAATTTAGGAGCCATATATTTCACATAGAAATCAAGGAATAAGAAGAAAAGGCTTTTAAATTGCGTCAATTGTGTTAGTTATTTAGTTGTTAGGTTGCATCAACACTACACCCACCTGTTTGTTTGAAAGCATAATAAGGTTTTTTCTTCGCGAATGTTGAATGTTGGTTTGGCTTTCCGTAAACTTATATTAAGTTGAACACAGTTTAGGAAATTTGTTTAAATAGAAAATGTATCGGATTCGATTCCTGACTGGCGGACTCCTTAACCTCATGGCTTATCGATATATCTGCTCGTAAAAGAGGGTGGTCTGGGTGCGAGACTAGCTGCCTCACCCTGTGGAAAACAATGCCACTGCTGCTGAAACTTTAGTGTTTTTGAAAAAACCTTAGGTTCCATTCACACAATTCAAGGAATGAAGGAACATAGGTGTGTCAGTGAGAATGAAAATCACTCAACAACTGTATCACACTCATATTTGAATTTAACACATTATTATTATTATTGTTATTTCTATATGAGTGTATTAACCACGCATTTCTTTACCTTGTTATTGTCTCTCAGGCATCATCTATTAGAAGATTTCTACGTAAATTACAGTCCGATGAAAGTATATATCATGAATTGGATGAATTAACAACTACTGATGAGTTAACAGATTCTTCTTCTATTCATACACCAAATGACACACGTACAGGATCAAGTAAATTTTTCCTTGAATCGCCTACTGCTACGTCACCACCACCACTAACAACAACAACAACTGGAATCCCGAGTACTACTACAACTACTTACTGCTTCAAGAATGCCGTCAAATTTACTGTTGGATTCTGATTCTGTTTCAAAAACTACACCAATCATTAATCATGATCGAATTCTACATATTAAAGTATGTTCCTGTCTCTATTTCTCTGTCTGATTGTCAGGGAACATTTCGCTCTTATTCCTTGTTATTTTCCAACTTACCCCATTGCCTAGGTCGTTTAGTGTGGCTTTCTCTCTCTCTCTCTATCTCTTTTCATCAATGTGAAGTGTACTCACCGCGGAATGAAGATGATCGACTAATGGAATGTGGATCATGTGTATTCCTAAATGCGTAACGCTATATACTACTATTGATTAACTTAGATGAGACTGTCTGTCTGGATTCAACATAGAACTTGGCACCGAAGTGCAGCATTTCGAGTTGCCACGTTCCAAATAGCACACAAAGGTAGACAAGAAAATGAGTGAAGAGAATCAATAGAGTTTTGACAAGTATAAGAGTGAAACAGAATGAGTAATGGTAGAAAGGAATATGAAAGATTACAGAGACTGAATACATCTGCGTAAGCCATTGACAACGATTTTGAGCCATGTCACCTATTGTCTCCAGCCATTGATTCTTAGAGTCCCGAGGGCGGACCCCAACCCGGAAGTCTGCATCTCCCTACCTGACTCAGTTTAACTGTCAGGGATTTCATGGATTGATGCCATGTTTTTGTTTGGCCACCACTTACTCTTTTCCAACCTGCACCTATATCAGCTAGTAATGCCCGTCAGAGGAGGCGATGGTTAGGCATGCGCAGCACGTGACCTAGCCATCTCAATCTATGTAACTTTATAGCCTCGTCGATTGATTTTCCCTCTTTGCCCAACACTCTACGCCTAACGTCAACATTACTTACCTTATTATACCACCTAACGTGAGAAAGAGATCGTAGACATCTATGATCAAAAACAGTCAACCTTTTCATGTCTTCAACTCGTATTGGCCATGTTTCAGAGCCATAGAGAAGGACGGAGTGAACTGCTGAGCAGTACACACGTCCCTTGGTTGATAGTCGGATGTCACGCCTACGCCAGAGATGGTGTAAGTTAGCGAAAGCAGCTCGAGCTTTTTGGATCCGTGCTGAGATTTCGTCACCAATCAATCCGTTGGTGCTGATACAACTTCCCAAATAGGTGAAGTGGTCAGCATGTTCTATCACTTCACTCCCTATCACTAAGCTAGGAGTTGACGTAGTCCAGTCCTGTAGCAGCATCTTACATTTTACAGGGGCGAATCGCATGCCAAACATACGAAGATTGCTGTTCAAGGTGTTCAGAAGACTTAGATGAGTAGTTTTATACTACTCACGTCAACCACCGAGAGTGTCTGCTGGCCAAGCCGAAGTGATTTAAACACAATGGATGGCTCGTTTGGGCCTGACCTCATCAGCCGTGTAACTCGTATGACTCATCTTCTCAGGGAGCCGAATCAGTTGAAATCACCCAATTTATGTGACTAGTTATTTCGGCAACTGGAAATAACATAAATGAAATTTAGACAAAGCAATAAGAATACGTAATTTGTCTGAATCGTGTGTGTATTGTGTATTTGCGTAGCACATTTCGAACAATCTGATCCATCACACATGGACTTGTCATAGGAATATATATATATATATATATATCGAAATTAATAAAGAATTAAAAGTTGAGGAAATAGACTACTTATGCCATGTTAAAAGGACATATTGAAGGTCAAAATAGCAAGGAAGATCAGTAAACGAAATAAGAGAGGTAGTAGTACATCCGTCCTGGCTAGTATCAAAACAAAGTTTACCAAGGAAGGTTTAGTGTGATGACGAATTGTTGCTTTGAGCGCATAAAGGTGGTTTAAACTTCCTAATTGGCAGCTAGGGCTTCCACAAACTTTAGGATACACCCTCCCACAAGCACGTTTTATAGATAGGTTTAAAAGACGTGTGTAAACATCAATTTTATGTCGTGTCTCTATAATATGTTTCGCAATAGAGGAGCTAGATCTCCTGTTCTCACCATTAATTAATGGGTTCTTGGGATTCCATTTACTTCCGAAGCCCTTTAGGAGTATGTTCCGAAGCCCTTACTTGGAGAGATCGTTGAGTCCTCCCTATGTATGTGTGTCCACACGTACGTTCAAATTGGTAAATACAGTGAGAGGATGTGACATCATTTTTCGCATGTTCAAAGGGTTTAGATGGATATATTGGCTTCACATTCTCAATTATAATGATCTTAGCTGCATAGAAAGTCTTTTAACCACAGACTTCAACCGTTGTCGAGTTACCAAACCGATATGATCCCCCTATTTAGGGTAGCTTGATGTGAACGTCTTTCATAGTGGCGAGTTGAAGAGTGGGTCTTGGTGTTGTGACTACTTTATATCTCCTAATGAACTTGTCTGGATAATTATTACCAACCAGAGTTTGTGTCAACTTTCTTTCTTCCTCTTCAAGTGTGTTTTCAGTGCATATTCGTTGGATTCTACTAAAGAGACACTTTACGAAGACTGTTTTGTATTGGACAGGATACTGTCCTTTCCGGACAAGCTTTCTGCAAATAGATCATTATACTGATTCATCATGCTTTCATGAAAGTACCTTGTCATATGTGTTCAAACTTTATCGTTGAGAAGCTCATTTCACTTTTTTTTTCTTCTTGAAGACATTTAGTATGGATAACATAAATGCACGCAACCTATCTCTTTTGTTATGTATAAAGAGATGGTACCATCTTCTGTTCCAAAATAAGTGCAGATAGATTGTGTGTGAATTAACATTTGCTTTGTATATAACATTCGGCAGTCAAAACCTGTACCTTAACTTCTTTCATCGACTTCGAAAAGACCTTCGACAGCTCCAACCTTGACCGATAATTAATTTGGAAACTACTTCAACACTGTAGTGTGCAGTGCCCAAGTCTTTATCAACCTTATTCAACAGTCGGCTATGTGACTACGCCATGTGTGTCAGGTGATCCACAATGGAAAACTCAGAGAGGCGTTCGAAGTGAATATAGGAGTAAGACAATGCTGACTGGTTATTGCCACCTATGATATTCTTAATTTTGGTGAATTGGATTATGCGTCAGACTGTGAGTATGGAGTAAGGAGACAGGAATATGTTGAACTGACCAATGAGAAGACTCTAGAAGATCTGGATTTTACGCGTGGATGATTTGTATTTAATGTCATATAAACTCGCAGACTTACAGGCAGACAAAAACCAACAAACTGGCAGAAGAGGCTGGTCGGCAGTCGAGCATAGGGAAGACGGAGGTGATGAAGATAACCAACCAACAGCAACAACAACAACAACCATCACCAATCCAACCACCATCAACGCTAGATATTTGACAGAGATTACTTCCTACCTTCACTTATCTAGGAAGCATCGTTTCAATCACAGGCAGTCGGACAGCACGGATGAAGATATCAAAGCCAGCTAGTCAGAATCGGTAAGGCAAGATACGCCTTCATCAACTTGAAACCAGTTTAGAAATCTTCTGCACTGACTCAACCAGCGTGAAGAACAAGATTCGAATTTTGAACACAAATGTGAAGTCAGTTCTTCTATACGGGTGAGAAACTTGGCCAGCGTGTTACAAAAAAGATTTCCGACACGTTACTTCCCAATTCGCAGGCTGGCTCCACCCTGAAGATCAATTGTGCCTGCTTGTCAGAAAGAATTAGCAACAAGAAACTCTGGCTGAGAAAAAAACCAAAAGGCAAGAGCCGATTGCTCAAGAAATATGTAGGAGAAAATGGAGATGGATTGGTTGGGCATACACGCCATTGAGAGGAGGCCGTCGAATGACATCGCGCGCAATGCAGGCCATCGGTTGAGTGGAATCCGAATGGGGAGCGAGTGGGTCGCCGGTGCTAGGGGGACATGGAGGAGGAGATGAGAGATTATGGGCAATCGTGGAGCGAACCAGCTGAAGAGGACAGCAAATAGAGCAAGTGGAGATGTGTTGTTGAAGCCAGCCCTATGTTCCACTCGTAACCCAAGGGAATAATAATAATAATTTATATATAACATTCAAGTGTTAATATTATCATTATTGCTATTGTTTGTTTTGTATATAAAAAGACAATTGCAGCGAAGAAAATTTTCTTTTCGACGAAGTCATCATCTAGGCTGTACATTCGTGTATTTATATCAAATGGATGGGAAAGTTCCAGAATAATTTCCGGTTAAGGGTCAAATTAATAAAAGTTACAATTAGGAATTAGAATGCCATAATAAACAGGGGGACGGATAAAACTCAAACAAAGTAGCATTATAATAACTAAGAAGATTGACATTGTGCAATTGTGGGTTAGAAATGTAGAAATAACAAAATATACACGATGTTTGAATAAAAATAATATGCTGAATAATTGTTTATGCAATCAGGGATTAAACATGTAGAAATAGTAAAATGACAAAATAAACAGGAAGTGTGGATATGAAAATATGGTAGTGTAGACAGGGATCAAGAAAAACTTAAAATAACATGAATAAACAGGAAGTATAGATAAGAAAGGCGATAGGATGGTCATTACTAGAAAAAATTTACCTGTTTATGATGGCCATGTCAGGGACAGGGTTTGGACGTAATTCTTTTGGATACAAAGCGTGGGTTTGAGCTTTGGGATAGCTAGCGCCTCAGCTATGCCCAGATGTCTTGATTTGACTCCCTTTGATAGGTTTGATTGAATCTTGTATATTACTTTGAAGGATTTTTCGAAAGGCGCTGAATGTCCTGAGTTGACCAGATGTTCTGTCACTGAACTGTTTACACGTTTTTGCTCTCATTTTACCAGCCAGGCTGGGTAGTGTTCACGAGCGCGTTTTCCAAGTCGGTGCATGGTACGGCCGATGTACTCAGCTCCACAAGAGCAAGTAAACTGGTATATGCACGTTGAGGTGGCCCAATGCGACGGCTTGTCTTTCACGTTCTGGCTGAACAGTTTTTCATATCCACACTTCCTGTTTATTTTGTCATTTTACTATTTCTACATGTTTAATCCCTGATTGCATAAACAATTATTCAGCATATTATTTTTATTCAAACATCGTGTATATTTTGTTATTTCTACATTTCTAACCCACAATTGCACAATGTCAATCTTCTTAGTTATTATAATGCTACTTTGTTTGAGTTTTATCCGTCCCCCTGTTTATTATGGCATTCTAATTCCTAATTGTAATTTTTATTAATTTGACCCTTAACCGGAAATTATTCTGGAACTTTCCCATCCATTTGATATAAATACACGAATGTACAGCCTAGATGATGACTTCGTCGAAAAGAAAATTTTCTTCGCTGCAATTGTCTTTTTATTAACTCCTATGACCCAATGTGTATATTCCGTGTTTTGTATATCTTTTGAATTAAGTTAATTATGCCCTCTGTAATTTTCTCTCTTCTTTTTGTTTTACAGAGACTTATTATTGAAATTAAAGATGATCCATTCGAGTGTAAACTGAATGATATTCATACTGTAAGAATAGTGTTTTTTTCCATTAGTTTTCCTTTTGTTTTTGTTTTAGTTGATTTCTGTCCCCGACCGATCGCTGCTACCTACCTTGACATGGTGGTCGGGCTTACACATCGCGATGACCCAGCAAGCTGCACTGGCTGGAAACAATGTTCCTGCAGCTCCTACCATGCCAGGAAGCCTCCAAAGCCTCAGGATGGTCGGGGGTGGGTGCCTTGCGCTGCGGGTTGGCCACCCCTCCGCACACCTCTTGAAATGCTCCCATATGACCGGGCGTCTTACATAGCCTCTCCTGAGGAAGTCCTACTCACTGCCCTCACGTGGTGGAGGTGCTTTTCACCAAAGTGAGAGGGCGAAAGCGGATGCCCGGCGCTCTTCACCGGGTTGACTGTCCATTGGACGACAGTCTAGGGGAGATGGCTAAACCCTGATTCCAAACCTCCAACGACTGGCGTATGAAGCTCACTGGAGCTCACCGGCAGACGTATGGACAAAGGGCTTGTTGGATGTCCTGGATGTCTGGCCCCATTCAAAAAGGCGTATGAACCGAACTCCGGTCACCGGCTGCCAATGGATAGTGGACTCCCTACTCCACTCCTACTGCCTTGTAGGTCACACTTGGTTGTGTAAAGGCTAGAGCTGCACTCTCAAACAAAAGGCCGAGCAATTCCGGGGACATGACGCGTACCAAATTCCCATGAAACTTCGTGAACTCTCTTGTTCGAGATGTTCATGAAGCCGGCTCATCCTCCCGTAGGAGATAGCCGAAGCAAAGTACGTAAGTAAGGAAGGTTGTTAGGATAGCGATTCGACTAAAAGCAGTTATCGGTATTGTGTAAGAATCTCTGTTACACTATGCTGGGGGTCTGAGGGCAAAGTCGCACTGCTGGGGAACTGGGGTGTAACAGCAGTGAGGTGTTTTCCTCAGATGCCCAGCATGCCGGCTGTGCTGTCTCTCCACTCTGCTGGAGAGAGGGGGTTAGAAAAGGTCGACCCTAAGAATTGTGCATTCCGACTTATATTATCTACGGTGGTCCGTAACCGGCTGTAAGTTTACTAATACGGAACCAATCCAAGAAACCAATTCATACAGGCCGTGTGTGACCGGCCTCAAGCAGTTGTCCCCTGGGCTCTGCGGTCACGCAACACTAACTCTCTTTCTGTTTCAGGTACCCGAAGAATCAATCAACTTCCATGTTGTGGGCAGCCGGGAAGTGACAACCACCCACACACTTCTAAAAGCACACGAAGCCTGATTTCTGGTAGTTAACAGAATCCAGTTACCCATATTATCAGGGGATTATGAGCCACACTCACTCACTCACTGATTATGTGAGGGATGATGAGATACTACCTAGTTGCCTGGTTGTCACTTCCAGGAGTTCTTTAGACCCATAGTATTGTTGTCGTATCTGTAATTTAAATAAAAGCCAGTTCTCTACACACATCTTTGCCAGGTACTATTTAGCATTATGCGAGTGGAGAGAAAATACCTTTCCAGAAATTTTCGTTATCGTCAACTGAAGAAGTATTTTTGTTCTTGTATTACTAGGATCTGCTTTTACCTTCTTAATTAAGATAACTCCATTATGGGTAAAATCTATTTTGATAAAGTCTCACAGTGTTATACAGTAATACTGTGGTGAGAGCTCGCTGCTAGCCAAAGTTGGTAGACAGTAATTGACGTCAATGTTTATGTCCCCAATATTGATGGTGAGAAAATGAGACCAAAGGCTTTGCGTAGGCGGATACAGTTAGCATATGGATGATCTGACACAGTCACAAAGAGATGCAATGTTAACTTTCTGTTAGAAACAACCAATCAAAAGGCTGTATTTTCTACTAACAATAATCTACAATAATGTACACTGAAATCTATAAATATGTGTTGATTTTCATAATAAACGATCTGTTACCTGGCCCTTGTCTTCTGTCGTTACAATACTACTTACTAATGACCACGTTTCGAGCGCAATTTATTGATACTCATAATCATATCAAGACACTACTCATACAACATTCTAGCTTCTTTTATATAATTCCATTATTTCAATTCATCGTTTGACTTGATTGGTAGTAGTATTTTCCATATTTCCGGTTTGAGTGATGAGTCATTCCTATTGCATGTGTTGGGTGTAGTCTCGATGAACAAGGATTCGGTAATCAACCTCTCTCTCCTTGTTCATCGAGTCTACACCCAACACATGCGATAAGAATGACTCGTCACTCATACCGGAAATATGGAAAATACTACTGTGGTGATGACCCGACTCGTGGTCATGAGGAAAACAATAACAAAGCTTAACCTTGAGGAACTCACCAACCAATCACAGCAGACTTAACGTGTGCAAATACGATTCGCAGATATATGGCTTAACTTTCTGAGAAACGACCACAAAGAGATGACAGAATAACCTTCAGCAAGAAAACAACCAATCAGAAGATGTTGCTTCTCCACTGACAATAATGTACATAAAAATCTATAAATATCTGTTGATTTTCTCAATGAGCGATCTGTTGCGTGGCTCTTGTCTTCTTTCGTTACATTACTCCCAATCAATTCAGACAATAAAAAATAATGGAATTATATAAACGAAGTTAGAAAGTTGTATGAGTACCTTGATATGATTATGAGCAACAATAAATTGTGCTCGAAACGTGGTCATCAGTAAGTAGCATTACTGTATAACACTGGGAGACTTTATCAAAATAGATTTTACCCATAATGGAATTCTATTCTACCACAGTGCACAAGTTCTATTCTTATGTCAACTTCTAAGATAAAGTTAAATATAAACGAGGAAGAGAGTCATCTTTCACAAAAGAATTTCACCTACCTCTGAAGTGTAACATCATCTTAATGATTGTTTTGATATTGTTCACTCGGTATCTTTGAATTAAAAATTATTCATATCCACTTTATTTCAAAAGAAGATGGTTGTTGTCTGCAGACTAGATGTTCTTGGCGTCACCTCTGGATGGCCAACACTCCGCTTCCTATCCCAGTTCCCCTTGAGGGCGTGTTTTTAATGTACGATGTCGCTTGAAGGTCTTCTTAGTGAACATCCAATCCATCTCGCCTTCGGTCTAAATATTTATTTGATTAGGTATAAGGTTGTTGGCGGGTTTTCTTCCAGAGTTCCTTGTGAGCTTATCCTTTCTGGCTGGGTCATCTGATCCTCAGCATAGAATGAAGGTAGTTAGGTGTTGATGAAAGCCTGTTTGAAATGCTTTTCGTGTCGCTCGTGCTAAGTCTTTGAACTGTACCACTTTATGATTTATTTTAATAGATTAATGATTGTTTTCGATTGTATGTCTATATGTATTCATTATTTCTTTTAACTCATTCTCCTTAGATTTTATTGGATGAATTTGCTATGCATGAAAAACGTGTGAATAAGCTACGTGAACAGTTAACAAGAGCAGCACAATCAGGAATACGTATTTCCGGTTAGTAGTTAATTGTTTATATATCTTCCTCTATCAGTTTGTTGATTTGACTTATGACAACATTTTGAAGTTGTTTCTTTTTGTCCTGATTGGATTGTGTACTCTGAACCGCGTGGTTTAATTGCGAAGCTTACTACTGTACATTATGTGCACCAGGAGATGCTAACCTAACACAGATACTCTTCATCCCACGGTTTCACGTCATAGACTGACTACCTCTCCACTTTTTCCATCCAGTCCCAGGGCTAGTGAACAGTGACTGGTATGGGAGCCCCTAGGATGACATTCGGTATTTTCGGGTGACAACATTCAATGAATGGAGACCTCCAAACTCACGTTGCCGGACATGAGAATTACCCACACCATGATACGATCGAACACATGCGATTCTACGAAGACAGTGGTGATCGAATACACAGAGTCGCTGGAGATCCTCACCTGGGAGAGGCAAAGTTTCACATGTGTATAGCAAGACCCAACCCTTGACAGCCAGGCTGATGGCACCAGAGGTGGCTCAAATAGACGTATGTCACCCTAACTTTCACTATACGATTGGAGGTTTCTTCCTTCACACCTCCGCCAGCACTCATACGACTATCTAGATACACGAACTTGTCGACAAAATCAAACGATTCACCTACAAGAGTGATTGCAGATACAGGCTCCTGCCAGCTGTGCAACATTACTTTGCACTTAAATGGCACCAAGCACATATCATACTTAAAGACACTGATTGCCAACTAATTTAGTGCGATTTGGCATTCGATTTGTTATCATACAGTAAGACTGAATCACCTGCATATTCGAAGTCCAAAAGTCTTTCTCCAGAAAGAAGATCTTTATCACCATCACACACGTCCTTCACAGCTGACTCAAGAATGTCACCGGTAGCATGGTCGATGAGAAATAGAGGGGTTGAGCAACCCTGTCTAACCCCACTGTTGACTGAGAATAATGTTGATAGCTAGTTTTATGCCTTCACTGTACCCCCGAGGTATTTCTGTATAGGGTTTTCGGGATGTTAACAGACTTCTGAGGACCACCTCTCTAACAGACAGTTTCAGAGAGCCGTTCTTTCCAGCGAATCAAAGGCAACCCTAATATCAAGAATCGGAATAATTATTGGCTTCTAATACGAGTGATGATGTTCTAGCCGCTAACGAAGGGTGAACAATGATCAGTGTATCCACAGTGTGAACGAAATACAGCCTACTACTCACGAATCAGTTCCTCATGCGTCTTCCTCAACCTAAGAAGCAAGACATTAACCAATATTTTGGACGCAACTTTTAGCAACTAATTGTCGCACATATTATTTCGGTCGCCTCTAAAGATTCATATGGTAATGGCTGCATTCCACATTGGTGGAACATTCTACCCTTGAGCTGATTCAGTCCTCTGAGCTGAGTGAAAATAGGGTAAAGTTAAACTTTCGACACCAATAACAACCAATCAGCAAACGACCTTGAACGGACCAATCACATGTAAGAGACGTTTATGATAAGCGGAAACGTATATTTATAGAAAAATGCATAAAAAAAATGATAAAACGGTTACAATGGGTATGTTTCCCGAACATGGGAGAGAAACGTTTCTCAATTCAGCATAGCACTGTCAATAGAGTAGTCACACCACATTCTATACATATGTTCATCTAAATGACTACAAATGAGATTTTTTTGAGGTCCATTTATAGCCCTTACTCTATTTTTCAATCGACCCCAAAATCCTTCAATGGAATTTCTATGAGTCCCTGTAACTGGGTCCACGAAATCACTGGAGTGGTTCACTCTGTGATGAATGTATCCCAGGGATGACAATGAATCATAGCCTTTCCACTCGTCGGTATGTACAATTGATCCCGGTCTCACGAGTCGCTTTATAATAGGTACCAGGGTAGTCGCCTTCCTGTCTGCTTTTCTCTCAACAAATCCTTTTCGGAGGGACGTGTCGTATAAACCTATGACCCAAATGTTGTTCGCTCTCTGACGACCGCGGTTATATTTCTTCACCAACACTGTCTCATACACATGGACTGCTACGTCGTCCCCGCCTAACAACGAAGTAATTCTGTCCATTCTCTATGAGGCGATGTCTCTGCAGTGCTGGTACCACTGAACTGTTAAGACGAGGCTGTTCTCCGTCTTGGCAGCAAAGGCTCTCACGGGCTGTTTCAGTACTCAGTAATTGCAAATGTACAAAATATGGGTTAGGGAGAGATGCGACCTAGCAAAAAATGTTCCTACGAAAGAACAGCGGAACAGCTGTCCTGTGTGTGTGTGTGTATGTGACCACTTCGATCCGATCAGTCAGCAAACACTTCTGGCTGACACCTGAGTGCTATCCTACTACTTATTCATATCAATTAATCAGTAGTATATACTATCCCGCATCAAAATGTTTCTTCCTTTTTACTTTTACATATTTTCTTTTCATATTCATTAGACGAAGAACGTCAAGCGTGTTTTGCCCGCATAGAAATACAACGAGCTAATGAATATCGGAATCGGTTAACTCGTTTCTATCAAGATTATGCTATATCTGATGAGTTATTCATATTTACAATGGATAATTTAAAAATTAAAGCGCTAGCTGATGGGAGTTTAACTACAGGGGAACAGATTATTGAACAAATGAAAATGATGGATAATGAAAGGTGAGTATTGTTGTTGTTCTTGTTGCAGGTGGTGGTGTCAATGGTGTCTCTTTTCGCTTTAGCTTTGTCATTTTTCTTCCAATGTCGATTTCGTCACTAAGCATACATCAGTTCGACAACCAGCACTGGACATCTCTTACGTCCTAGTTGGGGAACTCTTCAGTAGTACGCACCCATCCATCATCCCACCCACCCGCGACCGACCCCGGGACCTTCAGATTATTGGGCGATTCCGTTCACCTTGAAGAATCCTTCTTTGTCATCTACCGGGGGTACCCAATAAATTGCCAAAATCATCCAGGTACCGAAGACTTCAAGCAACAGAGTCTATTGAAACCCGCCTGAAACAACCAGTGTTCTGTGTACAGATCCAACCAATATTTCTGCCCTGGCTGGCCTTCATCGGAGACTATAAATTCACGAATTTGTATTATTATTTTTCCTAATTTACCTGTCTGATATTCAGTGTATATTATTATGTTGATGCTATTGAACTGTAATCCATTGATATTGTTATCATTATTATTGATTCGATGTTATTTAAACAACATTAATGTTGTTAATAACACTAATTCATTCGGCATTATGTATATATAACTGTAGAACCTGATGAAGAACGGGTTATCGAAAAGGTGAATATTCTTTGTTCAGTAACCGTTCCTTTTCCGTTTTTCTTTTTGTTTCTTCCTTTTACAAGTCCTTGGCCAAATCTAACTGATAAAGATTTCTGTACGCTTTGGTGTCGTATCATTACACTGAATGTTGATCGTTGGCGTTTTCAGTTAAGAGATTATCCTAAACCATGTTGGGATGTGACAGATTTATTTCTTTGGGGTAAATTAGTCATTGCTGAACAGGTAGCTGATGAAAAAGGTAAGGAATTCTTGTCACTGTTGTTGTGTTTCTTTTTATTCGTGTTCTCTTTAATATCGTCTAGGATTAAAGTGTTAGGTAGAGAGAGAGGAAGTCAATCGATGAGGTTGTAGAGTTGCATCGATTGAGCGGTAGTTAGGGCACGTGTTATGCGTATTAAGTCATTGCCTCCCTCGACGAACCCTGTTAGCTAATATCAAATTAGGTTAAAAAAAGGGAAAGAAATTAGGAGTGGTCAAATCAAGACATATGGGACCGACCAATCAATAAAGTGCTTGACAGTTTGGTTTGATTCGAATGTAACTGCTTGGGATGCTTAAGATACAGTGACTGGAGGCTGTCGGTGGCATGGTTCGAAATCATACTCAATTATTGCATATTATGAATTCAATCTTTATGAACTCCCAGATTCGAGATATTCTTATTATCCTCTATGCAATTATTCTTTTTCCGTTTATTGATTATAGTTCCTTTGTGTATAATCCGATATATAATATTATATATGCCATGTTTGGTGTAGACGTGATATCCAGGTATCTATCCAAAAGATGTGTGTACTGCTAAGCAGTTCTGTGTATCCTTCTCAATGAAATGCTTTGCTGTCGGTGAAGTTGTGTGTCAGTTACTACTAGGTAGGTATTAATACCTTTCTCAGTAATACCAGCTTCTTATCACATTCCTCCAATTGAGAAACTTTTTGTTATCTGAACGAAGAATATTCTTTTCAATAATTTCTCATCTTCAGGTTCTTACAATTATAAAATATAATATTTGTTGTCGTTACAATAAAGACCAGATCAGATGCTTAACATTTAGAGCGAGGTCTATTTGTTCCGAAGACTGCGTAGAGAAAGAATTCCAGGTCATCCGAGACATTCTAAGCGAGAACGGATATCCAGAGAAGCTCATTAAAGCCAACATAGGTTACAATAGTCGTAAACATGAACTGGCAACGGTAGAGAAAAAGCCTCTGTTAATACGTCTCCAATTCAAGGGAGATACTCCTGCGGAGATTCTATCGCAAAGTTTAACCAGGGAGGTCAAGAAAAGTTTCTACTCTGCACGTCTGTGTCTATCTTTCAGTAGCCGTCCAATGTTCACCCAGCAACTCAAAGATGTCTTACCTAAGCTTAGATCTTCTTCATGCATATACCATTTCAACTGTTCCTGTGGTTCAAGTTATATAGGGCGCACGATTAGGCAGGTTCGTCTACGGGTTCGAGAACATTTGCCAGCTTGGTTGAGCAAGGGGGAAATTAAGTGCATAATAAGCTCGATCCTGTCACACTTGGTCGATACTGGACATCATATCGATGTCAACACAGCTTGCAGGGTTATATACCGAATTCCGAAGTCCTGATCACGTACAGTTCGCTTACGTCCGCTACACATAGCTGAAGCTTTTGCAATAAGATTGACTAAACTCGATCTTTGTATCCAAAACGGACACGTCCACACGCTGTTCCTACAGTGGCCAAACCTGGATTGATGATTCTTCTTCGCACCAAGAGTGATTCTTCTCCTTAACATTCTTGGTTTTTTCCTGTCTTTGCTTATTATTACAATTATCATTATTATTATTTTTATTAGTCATCAGTTATGTCTTTCATGCAAACATTCCCTCAGTACTATCGAATATTTCATTTATACAATCCGGACTTATGATTAGTGATATTATCTCTTTTCTCAATATATGCCTCCACCTGTTTCATTTCACGCATTCGTTATTTCACATTATCAACCTCTCATTGCAGTCTTACTATCTCCTCCTATTTAGTGCAAACTACTTTGTCCTAGCCAGTGACCCACCTGACACCTTTTATAACCTTGAACTGATTTGTCAATTTTTCTACCCCACATTCTACAAATCTGTTATGACTAATCACCATCACTGTCTCCCATTTCACAATATTTTGTAATCGATTTCAGCCCACAGCACGTTTGTCACACAAATACGACTATTTATTTTGACACCCCATAACTAATCTGTTATTCTACGATAAAAATGTGTCCGTCGCATAACTGGCTGTCATTATTGTAACGGCAACAAATATTATATTTTATAATTGTAAGAACCTAAAGAGGAGAAATTATTGAAAAGAATATTCTTCATTCAAACTGACTTTTAATTCATAATATGGGAATATTCCACACTATCAAATTTTATGGTATCTGTAGTTCTGTCATAAATAATTGTAAAATCATCCATGTCATATCTTGACCTTCAGCAAACACTTGTATCATTAATTGCGTCAAACACGTTATATCCTATCATAAGTACAGATAGGTTACATATAAGATACTGTTTTTATAGCTGAATATCTGTATGAAAGATTTAATCTGTCTTTTGTATTTAGAATTTAGAATTATTTTTTTTTTTGATTTTTATGTATATAGGTCAGCGTAAAGTTTCAATTGAACCTGGTAAACCTTGGCCAAAGTACACGCTGATTCGTGGTAGTTCACCCACAAAATTTTATTATGATTTGAATGCAGGTAAATTAAATCAGTCATTACTTTTTTGTCTATTTGATGCTTTATTCTTTCTCATTGCTTTGTTGATTCGTTTATTTTTAAAAGGGGCGCTAATAAATTACGTCACTATATGTGTATCTTTCAGTTAAATGGTGCTACGTGAAGCTTTGTTTTTCAGGGCAGACATTTAGTATATCTCTTAGGGGCGAGTAGATAGATAAAGGCAAATATTGAAATAATAGCCGAGATTTGTAGCTGAGGTAGATAATTCGGAATTAGCTGTGTTCTGTGATCTGTTTGATTTAATTGCGAAGCTTTCAAAGTGCCAGAGAATTCCTAGAAGCCTGGTACTCAAGTGAATCAACCACCGATTAACAAACATATTAATATAGACCAAATTTATCAACTAATGAGAAGTAAATCATGTGATAAATTCCAAATTCCAAGGCAATAAAATATGATCAATACAGATGTAAATTGACTACCGGTCACGAAGTTGGTTGCCAGGAGACACAATTCTATGATTCATGGGGAATTTAAATTTGTTTGATTTTATGCAAAAACTTGAGCCGAAGATGTTGTCCAGAAAGACTACGAAAGCTTCACAAGTAAACCAACCAACCAGCTCAGAGAACACAACTAGTTCCAAAGGCCAATATTAGCTCTGATACGACTAAATTAAAATCCACCAATCAGAGAACGATTAAGTTGCCTACATGTACGTGGGCGTCTGTATGGCTATCTAGTGTACACAACATACGCGTTGTCTGATTGGTTGATTATAGGGCTAATCACAGCTGATTAACGCCTTTATTCACTGGTACAGCAAATAATCTAAGCCAATGATGAATGTCAATGGTTCTTTCTAATACAAATTAAGAGTGCGAAACAGATATCTGAGCAATTATTCTTCTCAGCCATCCTATGAAGACATTGGCTATTGTCACAGTTCGAGTCATCAATTGAGGTTTGTTTCGACTCAATGACCGGAAATAGATTTTTCAGGAAACAGGCCTAGGCCAGTTGCCAGTAGGACAGGTATTACAACTCGGAACCTATTGTTTGAAAGTCGAATGCTTCAGTCAGTGAGCCACATGTTCTCATGAAAGAAGAAATAGATATACCAAGTGAGACTTTTAGATTACTAAGAATCAACAGTAGTTGAAGATTTTTGATAAGATGACTAGAAATCACTTCTGTTGGTGCATATATATATATATATACATATATATATATATATATCACCAAGTGTCTCCAGTCATTGGTATTGGTTCTTACCATCCCGAGGACCCCAGCCAGTCAGGAAGTCTGCGTCTCCGTCCGTGGATGGCTAGCTGGCTTAACCTTGCTGTTACGGGTTTCATTAACTGATGAAGCCATGTTTTTGGGCTAACCACCACTAGCTCTTTTCCAACCTGATCCATCCCTTGTCAAGCAGATAACATTGGCCGTCCATCGAGGAAGGCGATAGCTAAGATAGGAATGCGTAACACATATCCTTACCATCTCAATCGGTGTAACTTCACAACCTCATGGATTGATTTCTCCTCCTTACCTAGCAATCATTGGACGCCTAACCTCAGTATTGCTCACCCTATTATACCACCACTTAACACGGGAGATAGAATTCAGACATCTTTGGTCAAAGACAGTTAGCCGGCCTTTTCATGTCTTCCTCTTTCAATGGCCATGTCTTACTCACAACCATAAAGGAGGACGGAACGGACTGCTGAGCAGTACACACGCTCTTTGGTCGATGGCGGGATATCACATCTACGCCAGAGACGGCGTAAACTGGCATATGCGAAACAAGCCTTCTGTATCCGTGCCGAAATTTTGTCAGCGATCAACCCGCTAGCGTTGGATGATGCAACTTCTGAAATAAGTGAAGTGGTCAACACACTCTATCACTTCACTGTCTATTTCTAAGCTAGGAGTCAAAATAGTCCAGTCCTGTAGCATCATATATATATATATATATATCCATATTTCCGGTATAGGCGTTGCGTGTGTATGAAGACGCATCAGGAAAATAAGAGTGGTAATATAATTACTAAAAATGTTATGAGTAATAAGAAATTCAAAAACTTGATCGTAATACCATATGAAGGAGGAACATCAGGAACCTTGTGTAGAATTCTTAGTGAGGCTGGAATTAAGGTATCATTTAAAGCGACCAACCAAATCACTCAGAGGCAAAATTTGTTGGTTGAGGTACCCGACATATCCGATTAAGAAAAATAATGTAATTTAATAATGACCATATAATGAGTGTAAGTGGGGTCACCTTACATAGGTTAAACTAGTAGATCGGGGTCAATTAAATTATCGGAACATAGTAATTTAACTAGACCTAGAAGAAATGATCTGGCTAAGTTAAATAATCTAGAAAATAGCTTGGTCATTGCAATGCATTCACTTACCTGTAATCACATAATAAGGTGGAACATGGTGAAAGTATTAAAAAGTAATATAGTTAGGTGGAGAGAGAGGTTATAATGACTGAAGCTTTGTTTATCGAATCAACACCGCGAACGTGCAATCTGGATGACGCAACACCTATACCGGATTTACAGAAAACTGAAATAAACAAAAAGGAGGGAGGGGGTGGGAGAGAAAAAGATATATTAAGCAAATTATGAAGTCACCTGAATAAATTGATATGATTATGAACAGTAATCAGTTGTGTTGGAAACGTTATCCACTTATGAATACTATATGACTCTCTCTGTATACTATATCAAATAGACTCAGCTAATTATGGAATTATATTCTGCCATAATATTAAATCAATTTACTTCATCATTGAACCTTTCTTCTTGAACAAGGCAGAAACGAATATATATATATTTGCAGGTGCTCTTGCTTTTTTTTATCCTGGAAATATATTCGTTCTTGTTTTTGTTTAAACTAATCAAGGTAGTCATGGATGCATGGAACCTCATTATTTTTTGATTAGTTTGTCCGTTAGGTGAGATATGTCAGTGGTTCAGCGATAGGATGTTGTCAGCCAGCCACTTAGAAGCTCCGATTTCGATTCTCAACCTCTCACCATCTCCAGAACTTCGGCTGAACCGGTAGCAAGCGAGGAAGGAAAAAAAGAGAAAGGTGGACATGAAGCTAGAAATCTGGTGTAGTCGTGTAAAACGTCAAACAACGCCATCATAACTGAAACCTTTAAGCTTGAAGTCCTGTATTCCAGGCTGAACTTTTTATCTAGGAGGTTATCTGAAGCTGTAGTGGGAAGTTGTGACTAGTAGGGTACAGCAGGTGGGCGTGAGGACAAATACTCGCCAGCGATGACATTGGCGAGTGCCAATTGCGTTATGTCGTGAATTCAATATAGAAAAATCCCCATTTAGACATTTAGAAAACAGAAAGATTGAGGGGAGAAATATTTACTTTTCAATTAGATCCTCATCTCTGGCTCTACTCTAATATATATCCGTAGCATTTTTGTTACAATACACAACAGTTTACCAATCAAGTGGCGATATGTTTGTTAACAGTAATTAGTCAGTGTCAACATGTCAATGCGACGGTTGATAATTAACGAAGGAAATCAATACACATTTAAAAGGTAGAAATGGATAGAATAAATTAATTTTACAAGGATAACACGTAATTAAAGATGAAGTGGTCAAAATAAATAAAAATAAAATAATTAGGACAATTACAATTTTCATAGTTTTTAAAGGTTTAGGGGGAAGGGGGCGACGTAGTCCTGTTTATGCATTCTTCTAGAAATGGCCACGGTAAGGAAAGTGGCTGTACAAATTTCTTCTGAACACATAGGTTTGGCTTCTTAAGGTGGATTCCGATTGTTTCAGCTGTATGTAGAAGACGAACTCGTAGAGCAAAATTAAGATTAGTCGGAATGCGATAGATAATTTTAAATGCAGTATTAACATCAACCTTATGCTCAGTATCAACAAGGTGTGCTAAAATAGAACTACGAATAGATCTTGTTCGGAAATACGACGATGAACCTGCCTAATTGTACGCCCGATGTAGCTGGCTGGCTCCGTAGCTACATGAATTGTCAGAAGTATTTGGGATTCATGGACTGACCGTTGGGTCGGATCCCAGTGGCTTAATGGTCTATGAGCTTACCTTAGGTGCGTACTTCTGAAGAATCCTAAACTAGACTGATGAAACAGCTGTCTGGCAGTACTCCCTGCAGGTTTTTCAATGTTTCTCTAACCGATGTCAGCTCATGATGAAATCCTGGAACCAATCAATCAATAAAATCCCTGCAAACCAATACTTGAACACTATCATTCCTGAAACATCAAAGCTTGAAGTCCTGTACTCCAGGATGGACTTTTTATATAATAAGACGATTGATCTGTCTGGATTCAACATAGAACTTGGCACCGAAGTGCAGCACTTCGAGTTGCCACCTTCCAAATAGCACACAAAGGTAGACAAGAAGATGAGTGAAGAGAATCAATAGAGTTTTGACAAGTACAAGAGTGAAACAGAATGAATGAGTAATGGTAGAAAGGAATATGAAAGATTACAGAGACTGAATACATCTGCGTAAGCCATTGACAACGATTTTGAGCCATGTCACCTATTGTCTCCAGCTGTTGATTGATTCTTAGAGTCCCGAGGGCGGGCCCCAACCCAGAAGTCTGCATCTCCCTCCCTACCTGACTCAGTTTAACTGTCAAGGATTTCATGGATTGATGAGGCCATGTTTTTGTTTGGCCAAGACGATTGATGATATAACCAATCAATTATGCTGTTTGTTTGTTTCTTCTTCTTCTTTTTCCCCATTTCCCTTTTTTGTATAATAGATGTCAAATCATTACATATTTGTTATGGTGCTAATTGGGAGCCGACAATATCTTGGTTAAATCAACGTTTAGATGATATTAAACCGTTGACAAAAGACAAGTCGTATCCACCATTAGGTTGGTGGGATAAATCACGTCTACTATTGCATGGTCGTTTTCTATTCGCCGTGGATGCAATGCATTGGTTATATTCAACTAGTTTAAGTCCGTATAATTCAACGGAATTTTTCACTTGGCAATGGAATCGTGTTGTTGTCAATTGGGAAAATGGTAAATATGAGCGTTTTTCATATTCACTTTCCTGTTATTACTATGATTGTTATTATTATTGTTATTGTTCATTTGGGTTCCGAGGGGAATATAGGGCTGGCTTCAACAATACATCTTCACTGTGTCCTCTCTTCTGTGGTCTCTTTCATTTCCTCCTTTCACGATCTCCTCCATGTCACCCTAGGACGCTCAGTTGGTTCCGCTAAAGGAACCGATGTGCGATTTCATTTGAAGGTTTCCTCCGTGTGTGTCCAGTCCATCTCAATCTTCTTTTTCGGCATATTTGTTAGGTCATTGGTTGATTTGTTCCCATAGTTTCTTGTTGTGTGTTTGATGTCACACAAAATCGAAGACTTACAAGCGAAAACCGACAAACTGGTCGAAGAAGCAGCCAGGGAAGACAGGACTCCAGGTGAACATAGACAAGACGGAGGTTATGAAAATAACCAACCAACAGCAACAACAGCAGCAACATCCAGTGCCAATCACCATCAACGGGAGGGATTTGAAAGAGGTTACTTCATTCACTTATCTAGGAAGCATTGTAGTTATGTGGGTATATTAGAGTTAAGCCTGATGAGATCTAATTAAAAGCACAATATTGTTCGCTTAAATGCATTGTTCTAAATTTTACTATGGGAATATTTAATATATTTAAACATAAAAGGTTACTTCATTCACTTATCTAGGGGGCATTGTCTCAACTAAAGGAGGAACGGACGAGGATGTCAAATCGAGAATCGGGAAGGCGAGAAACACATTCATCAACCTGAAACCAATCTGGAAATCTTCGTCAATCAGCATCAACAACAAAATGATTCGGATTTTCAATACAAACGTCAAGTCAGTCAGTTCTTCTATACGGATTGATCAGAAACTTGGCGGGTCACAAAGAATATTTCCAACAGCCTGTTGCAGACCTTTATCAACAGCTGTCTTCGTTCTATACTACTGAAGATCAGATGGCCGCCGGAAAGAATCACCAACAAGAAACTATGGGAACAAACAAAGCAAGAACCAATCGCCCAACAAATATGCAGGAGAAAGTGGAGATGGATTGGACACTCGCTGAGGAGGCCGCTGGGTGACATCGCGCGTCAGGCCATAGCTCGAGTGGAACCCGAAAGGGAAGCGGCGAGTGGGACGTCATGCAAGGGTGACATGGAGGAGATCGTGTGAAGAGGAGTTGAAACAGTATGGACTAACATGGATGCAGGTGAAAAGTACAGCAGAAGACAGAAGCAAGTGGAGACGTGCAGTTGAAGCCCTATGTTCCACTAGGAACCGAAGGGAACAGTAATAATAATAATAATTCTTTCCGGCCTGCCAAACTGATCTTCAGTCTACAGCCAGTGAAGGGAGTTGTTGATAAAAGTTGGCATCGGCCTGTTGGACATTCTTTTCGTGACGCGTACGCCAAGTTTCTGGCCCACAAAGAGAAGAAATGACTTCACATTGGTGTTGAAAATCCTGATTTTGTTCTTGATGTTAATTGAAGAAGATTTCAAGACTGATTTTTTGAGCGATGAAGTTCTGTCTTGCCTTTCCAATTCTGTCTGGCTGGCTTTGGCATCTTTGTCCGTTCCGATTGCCTGTGGTTGAAACCGTGCTTCCCGGCCAGATAAGTGAAGCCAGGAAGTGACCTCTATCAAATATTCACATCGAAAGGATTGGTGCTTGTTGATGTTATCCACCTCCGTCTTCTCTATGTTCACCTGGAGTCCTGTCTTCACCGCCTGTTGCTTCAGCCAGTTTGTTAGTTTTTGCGTGTAATTCTTCGAGTTTGTGAGATGTTGGACGTAAACTGTTCGCCGCAAAATCCAGATCTACTAGAGCCACTATTATTATTGCTGTTACCACATTGCTCAGGTTAAGGAAATATCAATTGGAGCTGACATAAAATAGCAGTATCTTCAATCTAACCTGAGGCTGAATTTCTGCTTTTTTTACCACTGTCTTGTAGATGATAAATTCCTGCAAACCATCTGTCAAGGAACTTAACCCTAAGTTCCTATTATTTGCGAAGACGCTCCGAATCGATAATTACTATGAACAATTATCTACCTTAACTCCAAAACACCAGGACTTGCAATAAGAAATTGTATTGTTCGGCAATTAAAATCGATAATGATACAAAGTCTATAAACAAATGTTTTACAAGAAATGTATTGTACTTTTATTCGTATTCTTTCGTCTTCTTCCAACTTGTACACGATTGAATCATTCGCACCTTCGAGTTGCCCGCCAATGGCGACCAAGGCCAACGAACCAACGTTCAATGTTCACGTTCATTTACACCATCCTTGTTGTTAGTGACTGACTTCGGAATGGAGTTCCAAGGCACTTATGAACGCCATCTAGCATCTGAACGAATCGAATGGCTTATGAATATGTTTCGGCCACCGGAAATCATGGAAACGTAGCTCATGACGCCACTCTACTGCCTTGTAGATTAGAGTTTAAGGCAATGGCTCGAGGAGAGTCCCTTAAGACAACCATCTGCTTGCATCTTGACGTCTGAGCAGTAACCCAACCTTCACACAAAGTATGGAATTTTGTGTGCACTTCAGACAGTCATATGACATTGAATCGGATATGTCACCAGTAGAAATACTTCAAATACTCATAAGAAGTAATCTTCGTTTGTCATGCTTACCTCTTTTCTGTTTTATATATCCTTTTTTGCTGTTTTAAAGGAGTTATACGTGTTGATGGAGATCTTGATATTGTCTATCAAACAGCATCAAAATATGATGGGATATGTAGACTGTTTCATTGGCCACGTTTAGAAATGACGTAAGTTTACTAAAGAAGTACCCTTCTTTTTCCTCTTCTCACCCCCCCCCGCCTCCTTTCTAATACATAATTTATAAATTAATAATGAGATCTAGTTATTATGGCGTGTTCTACTGACAAGATTTATCAGTAGTCTGCAAAGAGACATTCATGGGCACAAAAATATCAGATAGCTGGAGAGACAGATTCGATGTCAAACAGAGTAGATGGACCAGCGTTACTGCTGAATATGGGAGACATGGAAAGAAGACAAAGAGACACAATACGAAGGGAGGGCAGAAGTAGCACAACACCGAAGATCTGTGGAAATTTCCCCAATGTAGAGATATCAAATTGCAAATAAACATTCTCATACCATGTGTCTTGTCTCCTACCTTTACTCTTTAACTGAAAGTCTCGTATTAAACCATGTCATTTATCTGTTCTAGCGTATGACCATTAAGTCATAGGATCTTGAGTTTATTTCATATTCCATCCACTTCAAACTAAGTAAGTGTGCGACATCAGGCTTTCAGAAGTCTCAAGTCGGGCTCCAACCCGGAAGTCTGCATCTCCCTACCTGACTCAGTTTAACTGTCAAGGATTTCATGGATTGATGAGGCCATGTTTTTGTTTGGCCACCACTTACTCTTTTCCAACCTGCACCTATATCAGCTAGTAATGCCCGTCGGGGGAGGCGATGGTTAGGCATGTGCAACACGTGACCTAGCCATCTCAATCTATGTAACTTTATAGCCTCGTCGATTGATATTCCCTCTTTGCTCAACACTCTTCGCCTAACGTCAACATTACTTACCTTATTATACCACCTAACGTGAGAAAGAGATCGTAGACATCTATGATCAAAAACAGTCAACTTTTCATGTCTTCAACTCGTATTGGCCATGTTTCAGAGCCATAGAGAAGGACGGAGCGAACTGCTGAGCAATACACACGTCCCTTGGTTGATAGGCGGATGTCACGCATACGCCCACCAGAGATGGTGTAAGTTAGCGAAAGCAGCTCGAGCTTTTTGGATCCGTGCTGAGATTTCGTCGCCAATCAGTCCGTTGGTGCTGATACAACTTCCCAAATAGGTGAAGTGGTCAACATGTTCTATCACTTCACTCCCTATCACTAAACTAGGAGTTGACGTAGTCCAGTCCTGTAGCAGCATCTTACATTTTACAGGGGCGAATCGCATGCCAAACATACGAAGATTGCTGCTCAAGGTGTTCAGAAGACTCTGTTGGATTTTGTCAGCATCCTCCCCTAACAGGACTATGTCATCTGCATATTCTAAGTCCATAAGACTATTCCCTGGTAACAAGTCGATTCCTAAGTCGTTAAGTTCAGTTAAGGATACTTCCATTAGCATATCTATGATGAAGTTAAACAGAAATGGGGAAAGTGGACATCCTTGACGGACACCACTGGTTGTTATCAATTCAACTCATCCAGGGTGCGCATTTCTTCCTGTTCGTAGCTGACTTGTTAGCTGGATGTACCTGCATTCCCAGTGAATGACGGTAATCCAACTGAGATGTGAGGTTGGTCCTCGAAGCGTCCGTACTACGAAGGAGCCGATATGTCAACAGAGACCCCTAACACTTCGGTCCATATTAGTCAACAAGAAAATCAAAATCGAATAAAAAATGAATTAAAAGGCTGACACCTCCAAATACATAGATTTTTTGACTATTTCCAATCAGAAACAGAGGTTGAGCCTAATTGAGGTCTGTAGTTGATAAGCTGAAGAAGTGACTTGACGATGATGAGCTAGTTCATTAATAGATGAATTAGGATCTCCAGTGAACTAACTTTAGCAAGTGCAGCCAGCTCTCTTCAGATATGAATCGGTTGCTTTGAACTCAGCTAGCCTTTCTAAATTAGCGTTTTAATGTTCAACAGATTGGTTAGGTTGAATCTTAGGGCTGCTTGTATCTGAAGCCTCTGGTCTGGTTTAGCCAAATTATCTTGGAATGGAAATTTAGGCAGTGTAGCAATTTCAGCAGACCACCATATTCAGTGGTGGTTTACGTCAAATAATGCAATTAACTTTTCCTTTGTCAGTTTTATGATTATTTATTACTTTGCCTTCTTGTTTGTCTGTTTTTTCTTAATTCTTGTTGTCTTCTTATTCAATCAGTGTGAGACTCGATTGGTTGTCATTACGTGATCCTAATGATCATCATTCAGTGAAATATTGTTGTACAGAGAATTTATCCCCTTCAGAACGACTACAGGTTCGTTTATTTTCTGGTTGTTGTTGTTGGTGTTATTGTTGTGTGTGTGTGTGTATATTGTTGGTATGACTTTTCTTACTTCTCTATTATTTAGTTATTTGAAAGTATACAGCCTAACTGACTTATTTTTTCACTTCCTTGTGTTCCGAGAGCATGACAAGGCTTCAAGCCTTATAGTTTCATTAATAATAATAATTTGCTTTATTCCAGTAACAGTACTAGTGGTATAGTGTGGAATTTTCAGCACATATCTACAATATTTGCATCTAATTTTATCAAACATTTAAAAGGAGTATTAAACAAACAGAAGAAAAGCAGGATAAACACAAAAATAATTATAAATGCGAAAAAGTACCAAGAAGTAGAAAGGAAAATAAACATCATATAATAATAACTCAGTATTGGGTAATGGAAGCTATGATATGATTATGCATAGTGACAGTAAAGCTATAGTCATACAAGTAGTTATGAAATGATATTTAAGAATGTTTATCTACAAGATGATCAGTTAATTTGGTTGAAACAACACTAAACAATCATAAAATAACATTTCAGGGTTGTTGTTTTGTTTTTTATTATCAGGTCTAATGCAGTGTTTGTAGTGGTAGTGTGAGTAATCCTGAATAATACAAAATTTTTAAGGTGGTGATAATGGCGTTCACAACCAATGATTGTCAGTTAATATTGCCGAAAAAAAAATTTTAAAAACAGCCACAAAAACTAATAATTACATGATGGTTAATGACAGGACAATCTTGTAATACTCATAGTGCTAATATGGTCGGAACCAGTAGATACACAAAAGAGGGAATACAGTAAAGTACAAAAAAGTAAGCCAATGTTAATAATTTAGGTAGCTAAGTATGTTTGAGAAGGAGTTCACTATAGAATAAAAAATAAGAGAGAAATAAAAGAGCCAAAATTATGTTGTTAATAACAAAGGAAGTCATAGGTTTCGTGCTTAACATTGTCTCTGTCGCTTAGAACACGGGCCAAGTTTGGTATCGTAGAGTTCCTGTACTTGGTTGTACGAGCATAGATTATTTTATACTGATTTCTGGTGATGGTGATACTTCGTCTCTTCGGATAAAACTACTAGTCCTGCACTCAACCGAACTTGCAATTGGCTTGGGTCTCCCACATGGCTGGGGAGCATGAATACTGACACCTAATTGACTAAATTCCTAATTCACACAAGTGGTTCGGCAGTTCGATTCCTCGCGGATGCACTTTTGATAGTAAGCCCAGTAAAGAGGGAAGATTAGGCATGATACTAGTAGTGCTATCGCGTAAAAGCAAGATGCCACTGCTACTTGAACTTCCAAACTCAAGGTTCCATTCGGAACGCTAAATAGTTAAAAAAAAACCTTCTGTGATGGTAGTTGGAATAATCAAAATAGAACTTGAGTGTTGCATCAAAATTAGAAAGAAATAGCCTGAAAATATTACTGACTCCAGACTTCCCGTATCAGTTACGATATTAAACCCATTGCTTTTACATTCTCTGTAGCGTAAACGTTTCTACAATAAGGCATTCATTTTCATTCCCGGTCTGCTAAGTTTTCAGAGTGAAACAAATAGGCAGGAAGAAATGGAGATGGATTGACCATACTCTGAGGAAACCATCAAGTGACATCACTAGACAAGCCATTGCTCGAGTTGAACCCGAAAGGGAAGCGGCGAGTTGGTCGTCAGTGCAAGGGTGAGGGTGACATGGAGGAGATCATGTGAAGAGGAGATGAAAACGTGTGGGCAGACTTGGAGCCAGGTGAAAACTCTAGCAGAGAACCGAACGCAATGGAGACGCACGGCTGAAGCCCTATGTTCCTGTAGGAATTAAAGGATACAATAATAAAATAAAATATAATAATAAGTTTTCAGAAGGAAAAAAAAGTTAAATGATAGAGGAATTCACGAATTTGGTATTTTTGTTTTTTTTCTATTGTAAATGTTTGTTGCGTTTGTATTCAGTCAATCAGCTTGGAACACATTTTCCATGTACACCAGGCAGACAGGCTTTAAGTCACAATTATCAATCTGAATGACGGGGTTGGTGTTACTATCCAGTTGCGCAAACTGAAGTAGTTCGAATGGGACTGGAACAGTTGAGCCAGTGTCTGAAGGAAGGTCAACTTTTTAAAAGTAACGAAAGGATATTTCTAGAATGTGTCGCCTGACTTACTGAGAACTTTTAGTAGAAGTGTATTAATTCCGCCACTTGCTACAAATTAAGACGGGGGCGTAATATATACTTTACTAGGTGTCTCAGACCAGTAGCCAGTATTGTTCGTATAACACGTACCAAGCAAATTACTCGTAGAATGCCCATTGGAAAGACCCAAGTAAGCAACTGGCTACCAAGGCTGTTAACAAATGTGCCAGCTACACTACTATTATTAGTGGTGTGAATAAGCCACATCGTTGTCTACCGGGAACAGTAACCCTTATTGAAATCCATCATTATCGAGAGTCAAATGAACTACTCATTTTTAAGCTACCGTTCATTTGCCTTGTTTGGGAAATCTATCAGGACTTCAAAACTGTTTTGATCCACTGCACTGGGGGACATGGAGGTTAGTCTAAGGGGACAGGATGGAAAACCCGGATTCCAAACCGGTGGTACATATTGGCTACAGATTCCGAAAGAATTCGACCTGTGTGGTAACCATGGGTATACAGCTCCCCTGTTCTGTGGAAATGATTCCAAGCTAAAGGCTCTGAAAAAGTGATCTGGTCGTCCTAGCAGAATCTCAGCTTCCATACAAATCATGGAACAACTTTCATTCGAAAGCTCTACTCACACGCACACTGGCAAAGGCAAATAATTGGCAACACCACTTATTTACAGAATATTTTGGTGATTTCATCGATTTATGTTACTTTAGATTAATTATATTCTCTGTTATTATTATTATTATTCTAGCATGATTCATTCAAATACTTTCGAGCAAATCGTTTAGCAATGCAAGTGAATTTCACTGTGAAACCACCGCCTACTGGATCGTCTGGATCAACTGATCAACGACCATGGTGTTTATTTTATACAAGTGTATTAAAATTTGCTGATAAATTACGGGTAATTAATTATATAGTGTATTGATTGTTGTGATTATGGTTGACCGTAAGGCTTGATCCATTGTGTTGTGTCAATATGATGTCAACCCTTCCAGTACTGACGCTTTCACTGTCTGTCTGGACTCAACATAGAACTTGGAACCGAAGTCCAGCAGTTCGAGTCGCCACGTTCCAAATAGCACATAAAGGCAGAAAAGAAAATGAGTGAAGAGAATCAATAGACTTTTGACAAGTATAAGAGTGAAACAGAATGAGTAATGGTAGAAAGGAATATGAAAGATTACAGAGACTGAATACATCTGCGTAAGCCATTGACAACGATTTTGAGCCATGTCACCTATTGTCTCCAGCCATTCATTGATTCTTAGAGTCCCGAGGGTGGGCCCCAACCCAGAAGTCTGCATCTCCCTACCTGACTCAGTTTAACTGTCAAGGATTTCATGGATTGATGAGGCCATGTTTGTGTTTGACCACCACTTACTCTTTTCCGACCTGCACCTATATCAGCTAGTAATACCCGTCGGGAAGGTGGGGGGCGATGGTTAGGCATGCGCAGCACATGACCTACTCATCTCAATCTATGTAACTTTATAGTCTCTTCGATTGATTTTCCCTCTTTGCCCAACACTCTACGTCTAACGTCAACATTACTTACCTTATTATGCCACCTAACGTGAGAATGAGATCGTAAACACCTGTGGTCAAAAACAGTCAACGTTTTCATGTCTTCAACTCATATTGGCCATGTTTCAGAGCCATAGAGAAGGACGGAGCGAAGTGCTCAGCAGTACGCAGGTCCCTTAGTTGATAGTCGGATGTCACGCCTACGCCAGAGATGGTGTAATTTAGTGACGCTTTGACAGTGTCTGAAGACACTAACATGATGTTATTTCTAATGGATTGTGACCGGCAGTGGAATCTGAGAGATGTGTACACATTTCTTCCTGTCTGTGACTCGTCATCTGAGTGTACCTGCATCCCCAGTGAGTACTAGTGTGCCCACTGTGACTTAAACGCGACACGCTTCGAGTAGTTGTCTAGTGGATAAACCTTTGGCATTTTAAACAACGGGTTCTAGTACCGAGTAACAGTGACAACGCCATCATTCTCACTGGAAATTCAGGTACGTCCAGACGACGTGTCCCAAATAGGACGAAATGCATATCTCCTAGATTCCACTGTTATATCTTGTTTTGTTATTTATTCAGTTTTAACTTCTAGCTGTATAACTGAGTAAGTGTATATCACTTGAATGTGTAGGATAGGAAACAAAAGACGTTTGGTTACTCAAGTGCCTTTAATGTCCTTGTTTAAGTTGTGAAATGTGTCTGTTGAAGGTGGGTGATATGATCAGGTTAGCTTTCTTTAACCATAGAGGTGTGCTTTCTATTTCCCGTGTTAATTGGCTTTAATATGCTGAGTAATATTGAGGTGAGGCGTAGAATTTTAGGCAAAGAAGGCAAGTCAATTGATTACGTTTTCCAATTGGTATTGATTGACATGGCTCGGACACATGTTATTCACTTCAATCTACAGTTGTTTCGTCCCTTGCTTTGACCTCTTCGTCTGTAAGCACCCAATGACTCCACCAAGAATTGAACCTAGGACTTTCAGGTTATAAGGTGAGCTCGTTGAGCATATTCAAACAGTGGGTTGGAGCCTAAATTCCCATTAATTCGCACTCATTGGTGAGTATCTGTCCACACACCTAACTCGGTAGACGCCGCTGATCACGACTTACTACCAGAATTGTAGACAACATCATCTTGTTGTCAATCACCAGTGAACACAGAAAGATTGAGCGAAGAAATATTTACTTTTCAATTAGATCCTCATCTCTATCTGGCTCTACTCTAATATATTCTGTGTAGCATTTTTATTACAATACACAACACTTTACCAATCAAATGGCACTGATATGTTTGTTAACAATAATTAGTCAGTGTCCAAATGCCAATGGGTTGATAATTAACGAAGAAATTCAATGCACACATTTAAAAGGTAGAAATGGTTAGAATAAATTAATTTTCCAAGGTTAACACGTAATTAAAGATGAAGTGGTTAAAATAAATAAAAATGAAATAAAATAATTTGGACAATTATAATTTTAAAGGTTTAGGGGGAGGGGGACGAAGTAGTCAGGTTCATACATTCATATAACGATGACCAAGGTAAGGAAAGTGGCTGTACAAACTTCTTCTGAACACACAAGTTTGGCTTCTTCAAGTGGATTCCTATTGCTTCAGCTGTCTGTAGAAGACGAACTTTTAAATGTGTATTGATTTTCTCCGTTAATTATCAACCCATTGGCATTTGGACACTGTTTAATTATTGTTAACAAACATATCAGTGCCATTTGGTTGGTAAAGTGTTGTGTATTGTAATAAAAATGCTACACAGAATATATTAGAGTAGAGCCAAATAGAGATGAGGATCTAATTGAAAAGTAAATATTTCTTCGCTCAATCTTTCTGTTTTCCAAATTTCTAAATGGGGATTTTTTCTATATTGAAATCACCAGTGAGCTTACCAGTTATTTCTTTTGCTATCCTTTCAAAAATAAACTCTTACTCTTCAATTCTTTTCTCTCTCCCTCTCTCCTTCAGGTTTGCCTTTCACAAATCTCTCGACCTATTCGTCGTGGATCTTTGTATAATTATAATCCACCGAGGAAACCGCAGTTTGGACGTTTAATTCAGTAAGCTAAGACTTATGATATGCCTAACAAATTTCTTATAGCATTAGTAGTGGTTTTCTGTCTAGCTGTTAAGCGAGGAGGAGGTGCAGGGGGAATTCTCGTTGTAACCTGTTCATTCCTCTAGGTGAAAAAGAAACTACAGAGACTTTCAAATACTGGGAGAAAAAATTAGGCGTTGATAGAGTAAAAAAAATGGTTACTGAACATAGAATAGGCCCGTTTTCGATAACGCCTTCTTCATCAGGTTCTACAGTTATATATACATTATAGTGAATGGATGAATTAGTGTTATGAACAACATTAATGTTGTTGAAATAACATCGAATCAATAATAATAATGATAACAATATCAATGGATTACAGTTCAATAGCATCAGCATAACAATACACTGAATATCAGACAGGTAAATTAGGAAAAATAATAATACGAATTCGTGAATTCATGTTTCTCACTATACCTTTATTTAGCCACACTCGTAAATCTTCCCGAGCGAGCACGAAAAATCAAGTTCCTAATGCAATGGCAAATATAACTCGCTCCACAACAAGCTCAGTTGAATTGGTGGATACATGTAAAAGTGTATATCTAGTTTAGGTACTTCATCTTTCGATCGAGGAATCGCCCTCATTCCTGTAGAAAACATGACTTGTAGTTTACCAGCACTAAAAGTTATTTGAATAGATTTTCTTAACCTGTTAGTAATTATTTCACTAGATGTGTCACCCTTGAATTGCAGTCGTATATGTAAGGGCTTCTTATATTGGTTGTTACTTTTGGAACTTGATTTTTCATGCCCGTTCGGGAACATCTACCGGCGAGGTTAAGTAAAGGTGTGTAGCTAGAAGCATCAGTAGTTCGATATTAGAACACCTGGTCCAAACCGGCCGGCCACAAAGACAGCATTGATGAATCCTTCTCCATCATCTACCGGGCACCAAAATAATTACCGAAAGCATCCACGTACCGAAGACTCCAAGCAACAGAGTCTATTGAAATCCGCCTGAAACAACCAGTGTTCTGTGTGCAGAAGAAACAGATCCAACCAATATTTCTGCCCTGGTTGGCCTTCATTGGAGACTATAAATTCACGAATTTGTATTATTATTTTACCTAATTTCTCTGATATTCAGTGTGTATTGTTATGTTGATGCTATCGAACTGTAATCCGTTGATGATATTATTATTATTATTATTATTGATGTTATTTAAACAGCATTAATGTTGTTATCAAAAAGAATATTCACTTAAGTTGTGATTCATTTGATGAATTCGCTGTATTTACGGGAAACGTTTTTGACATTCGGATCACTCACACGTTCTTGTCATACACAGACTTATAGGTAACAGAGGACAAAGGATCAGAAATTTTATCATCATAGGTCAAACTGTTTAGGGATCATGATGGTACACAAGAGGTAGGCAATTTTGGTAAGCAGAAAAGAGAGTGATGTTATTAGATGGTTGGAGGCAATCGGCAAGAAGCCTTGGACCTATGTTTTGTGCTTACTATATTTATTTACTTATTTAAACGCAGAAAAACTTGGTACAATATGGCACCAAGAAAGATGCGCCACACAATAATAATAAAACAACATCGATTAAAAGTAAAAATATAAGTAGAAAACGGATAAAGAACTTCATCTGGAAGGAAAATAGTCATGTTTAACAAGTTCAAATAGTATTCGTTAACTATCATCAGGAAGGGAAGAAAAAAGGAAATTGCTACACGTTCGCCATTGATTACGATTCTTGGCCATATCCGATAACGTTTCGCGCCATCGATTCGAGTTATCTCGCGGACCCCAACCAGGGAGTCGTGATGCACCAACCGATGCTAATCTACTACAAAACCCTTCATCCCACGATGCCGCGTCATGGACTGACCACCACTCCGACTTTTTCATCCCGTTCCAGGGCTAGCGAACAGAGACCTGTACGGAAGCCTGTGGGATGACATTCACAGCACATGTCCAAGCAACTGGAGCCGGTGTTTCCGGATGACGACACCCAATCAATGGTGATCTCTACTGTGTTCAAACGCACGTCACCGAACCTCAGAATTACTCACGCGATGGTGCCATCGAACGCAAGCAATCCTGCGGAGACAGTGGTGATCGAACACGCAGAGTCGCCTCACATCCTCAGCTCGGAGAGGCCAGGTTTCACAGGCGTAGAGCAGCGCAGCCCGCACCGAAGCATTGTATACCCGACCTTTGACAGCCAGGCTAACGTCGCGACAGCGCCAGAGGTGGCTCAAGTTGATGTATGCCACCCTAGTTTTCATTATACGATTAGAAATCTCATCCATCGCCTCTCCGCCAGCACTCACACAACTACCCAGATACACAAACTTATCAACGACTTCAAGCGGTTCACTCGCAAGAGTGAGTGCAGGTACAGGCTCCTGCCAAACTTGTAACAGTACTTTGCACTTAGACGGCGCAAAGCACGCACCATACTTACAAACACAATGGAAGCTAGTTGACCATATTGCAAACCTGACTGATAGAATTCAGTCTGACTCCATAATAGGTAAAATTTATTTTGATAAAGTCTCACAATGTTATACAGTAATGTTTACTGATGACGTTTCGAGCACAATTTACCTTGCAATGACTGTGAGTTTGGTCAAATAATAATAGTGTAGGGGTAAGTTTTCTATCTTTCCATTCAGCAGTTTCAGCAGTGATAGCATGTTTCAACATCCAGTATTTGCAAAATTACAAAATCTGAGCTGATAATTGGTGGGATCCCCAAGGCAGAAATATTTCTTACCATCGTTATGACAATTAGTGCAATGGAATACATTAAAATCAATAGTTCTAGTCAAACAGTTCATATAGTCATGCTAACCTTCACAAAATCAAATTCTTCTTCGTATATCCAAACAATACGACGGTATTTCGTTTACACCGAGTTCAACACACAGGTTCGCTAAACACAGGTATTTGAGTTGAGTCGCGTGGATTAATAGATTCAACTCACACGATGAAAGTGATGGTCACCTTCTTAATTGTTGCTGTATTTACACATGTTGAGTGTTTAAAGTTCAAAACTTTGACAAGATCGACTAGCTACAGAAATGTGAAGACAAAAATACTCACCGATGACATCACTGGCTGGTTGTCGCGCTATATATTTCGAATTGTCCGAAGTCAGAATTATTATGCCATTGGATTTCATCCCAGCGGCTGAATGATATACGAGCTCGCCTTGTAACCTGAAGGCCCTGGAATTTATCCCTGGTAGGGTCAAGTGTGTTTACTTCTGAAGAGTCCCAGACAAGGACGAAACAATCATCTATTCCTTTCTGGTTAGTTTTTGATGGTTCTCTAACTGAAGTCTGTTCGTGATCAATCTTGAAAGCAATCAAATTCCTGCAAATCATTGTCTGATCTAAAGGTGTTAGGAATCTGCAGTCATCGAGGAAACAACCACAAACACTCTGAGGGTGTGGCTAGCAGCATTGAAGTCTCTCATGGAGTTTGAAATGAGCTACCGAGGCTCTTTGTACTAGTGTATTTCAGAATATTTTTTTAGTTTTTAGAATATGACCAGGGATTGATGCCAGTTAGAGAACCTTTGAAAACCAACTGGAAGTACTGGACAGCTGTTTCGTCAGCCAAGTTTGGGACTCTTCATCAGTACACACCAAAACCACAGGGTTCGAACCCAGCGCCTTCTTGTTACAAGGCAAGTTCGTAGACCATTCAGCGACTGGCACCCGACTCAATGGCCAGCTGATGAATTCTAACTTCTCCCAATTCATGATTTTAGCGCGAACATCAATCACAATCAATTTTATGGGCGAGCATTTGTCTCACTTCCAGCAGGATAGACTTCACTGATCAAAATTTCTCACTAGCACCCCAGGAAACTCCGTTCTGTAGCCTGTCAATAGCGAGCATCACATTAATTTTCAAGAGTTGATTTGTTTGTCGAGTATGGGTACATACTGCCGATGAGTCCCAAAATAAGACGAAACGGCTGTCCAGTACTCCGGTGCTGGTTTTCAATAGTTCTCCAACTGATATCAATACGTGGTCATCCTTGACAAACTAATCAAATCCCCACAAACCACGTCTTGATTATCTATAGTTAATAAAATAAAATATAATTATATTTGGATTCATTCCTTCTGTCTGTTATATGGTTGTCTAATTGTTATTACTATTTTTAAATTCCGATCCCTTATTACTTAGATCATTGGATTTCAGTTTCAATCTACCCCAGTTAGAGTTAATCTTTTGGGTATCCTATGCTAAACGTACTGGTGTACACTTAACAACTGGACCAATACAAGTTATTGGCAAATTGAAACGTGAAATAGAAAATGAAGTTAAAGTTCGTCGAATTATTGTTAATAATAATAATAATAATAAAATATCAAATAATTTCTACCGACAACCATATACATCAACAACTGGGAATGGATTTACTAATATTACTACTAATATTGCGATTAATAGTAGTAGTATGACCAGTAATAATAATAATTGCGCTTCAACTCTATTACATCCCTATGTTATGATACCACCACGTTTACCTATCCAACGTAATGGACTATCAAGACGTCCAATCGCCAGCTGGTGCGTATTACATTTATTCGCTAGTGTACATGATAGTGCAATACGTCTGAGGCATAGAGATAATCTACCTGGACCTTTAGTGCAAATGTTACTTCAATACATGAATGAACATCAAAATCAAGTAAGTTCGATTGCAGACTATTTTTGTTTTTTTGTGGAGACATTCTGATTTATTTCAATATAAGTTTCTATCATAAACGGGAATCAGATAGAGAATCTTTGAAAACCATCTAGGGAGTACTGGGTGGTCGTTTCGTTCCGCTTTGGGACGACTCTTCATCAGTACACACCGCTGACACCACAAGGCCGGTAGGTCGGTTTTCGACATAGAACTTCGCACATATGTACGGCAGTTCAAGTCGCTACACTCCCTCCATGTAGCACACAAAGCAAGAGAAGAAAGTATCAGAAATGCATATTAGAGACAGTAAACAGAGGTGTGAGACAAAGGAATAGTAATAATGGAGAACAAAACAGTTTAATTGGAAATCATAAGTCACAAGGAGTGGATGCATGTGCGCCAGACATTGAGAACGATTTTGAGCCATGTCACCAATTGTTTCCAAGGCATCAAGTCTCAGGACCTTCAGGTAGACCTTCTAGCCACTTTGACAGAATCCGATTGCCCCTAAATTTTAACTTCTCTCCATTTGTGATTTATAGCACAACCGCTAGCCAATGTCATTGGCAAGTATTTGTGACCACACCCGACCTTATGGGCCACACTGGTCATGAATTCTTACTACACCTCCAGGAAATCCATGTTGTAGTCTGTCGTTTTTGAGTTTTGGTGTACATGGATTTATTTGGTTTTAGGTTTGGTCACTAACTGACTTCAGTTAGGGAACCTTTGCAAATCAAGGGGTACCGGTCAGCCATTTCTTTTATGTTTAAGACTGTCCAACGGTGAGCATCCAGGACTTTCAGTTATTTGGTTAGAATTCAATGACTCATGAATTCTAACTTGCTTCATTTCGAGATATCGTACTACCGTTAACCAATGCTTTCGATGAGCATCCACTTTTCCCTGACATGGTGGAGCTCAATGACGTTGACTTCTCGGTGGAATTTCAGGGATTCTGATTAATTTCAGCATGGAACCTTAGATTCACAAACTGCTTGATTTTCAATGGTTCCTTAATTGATACCAGTTCGCTGTTCAACTTGTATTCAGTTTAAATTTCTTCTTGAGGTAGGTCATTCGTGAAATTGCTTTATTCAAGTGTTGGTTTATAGGGATTTGACTGATTGCCTACAGGATGTTATCATGAACTGATATCAGTTAGAGAACCATTGGAAAACTACCAGTCAGTCTAGTTTGGGACTCCTCATCAAGGCGCACTCACACCACGGAGTTCGAACCGAGGATCTTCCGGTTACACGACGAGCTAGCTCGTTGACCATTAACCCACCGCGGGACTCTATCCAACTTCTGCTAATTCATGATATGACGCTAGTGGTCGTGCCATATTATATTGGTTGGACGATGACTAATACAGGAAGTCAACGCCGCGCATTTCACTGTCGATTTCGCGTGAACCCAGATGAAGGGTCTTAAAAAAGACGAAATGCGCATCCTGGGTTTCACTGCTGACCTATCAGTGAATTCTTCAATTCATGGCTTACCAGAAAGATTTTGACAGTTATGTGATTCATTAATTAGGCAGCCAATAAATTTTGTTGTGTGATTATTATTATTACTGTAAACACTAACACCGTGGTGTAAAGTGACAGTTGTTTTCGTGTGTTTAATCTGTCAGTTCCTGCGTTTACTCAACTAATAGGTACTACCTTGATGTGGTGAACAGGCGAACATAACTCAATGACCCAACGAGCTACACTTGATAGTACTAATGTTCTTATAGGTCCCACCGTGCTACAAAGGTTTAGACTCAAAGCAGTTACTGTCATACTGTAACTCGTTTACACTATGTTTTGCGGTGTGTGGGCGAAGTCGTACTGAAAATGAATGGGCATTCATTAACAGTAAGGTGTTTCTCTCAGATGACGAGCAGGCGAGATCTGCTCTGAAGAGGAGGGGATTAGAATAGGTTGATCCCGTAAACTGTAAACCCCAACTCACATTACGGGTAAGATCTTAATACGGATACGACTCCAAAACTACTTCGAATAGTCCGTGTGTCACTGGCCTCAAGCAGTTGTTCCATAAACTCAGCAATCACGCACCATTAATATTACTTTTGCTTCATATGCTCTAAGAAGAGATCGACATTCACAGTGTAGACAAGCAGTCATGAAGTAATAACTACCTGCTGACACAAAAGTTTTCCTGGTCATCATCTGGCCAAGTTAAACTTTAAGCACCACTAGCTACCAATGGAGGGCGACCGCACGGATGACCTTGATACACCCACTGAGCAAGCTAGTGAGACCAGGCAAGTAATGTTGTCTTCATCAATAAAATATGCTCGTCGAAGTGTTAAACGATTAAATGGGTTGGTTATCTGGCAGTTACAGCTTAGGTTTGGGAAAGATTAAGTTATGCTTCAAGCCAAGGACAAGTCAGGGCTAGGTTAACCTAATAAAGGCGAAATTAGGGTTGGTTAGAGTTAGATTACAGTTAGTTTAGGGATATTTTCACGATAGGGTTAGGTTCAGGAAAGATTAGGGTTATTGTTAGGGCTAGAAGACCTAAATAATTACATGCATAGAATGTGGTTGTGCATTGTGGTAGAGTATTATCCCACTGCGGAGTAAACTTTATTTTGATAAAGTCTCATAGTGTTCTACAGTTATGTTTACTGATGACAACGTTTCGAGAACAATTTATTGCTCAAGAAATATTACTGCATAACACATTGTGAGACTTTATCAAAATAAATTTTACCCACAATAGAGTCATACTCTGTTGATACTTCAACCTAAAACTGAGAACTGTTTTTACCACACGTGAGAGAAAGGTATTCTCTGTAACACTTTTCTACAGATTTTATGCATTTTTTCCCATAAATATATGTGTTCCATGCACAAAAAATTCTTCCTTCACGTGATTGATGCGTTCGAGGTCATCCTCTGATTGGTATTTGGTGGTGCTTAAAGTTTAACTTTGCCCATCATCTCTGTGGTTGTAGTTCACTGGGTTTTTTTTATTATCCCTTAACGTTCCCAGTGGAACGTAGGGCTTCAAGCTAGTGGCTTGAAGTTTCAGTAGCAATGGTATTTAGTTTTACGGGATAGGGTTGCTAGCCCATCATGCCTAACTTTCCCTCCTTACGAGTCTTATAACTGGCTTAGCGAGGTAAAGGAGGAGTGCGTCGGCAGTCGGTTATCGAATCCCGAACCACGTGTGGTGTGGTTGGCGAGAATTCTCAGTGATGTGCCACTGACGCACACTAGTTCAATGGTCACAGTGTTGTATTCCCAGTCTGTAGCTCATGCGCTTAGATCCCATTCCGCTTATTTCCATGCTTGTTAAACCGGCGAATATGCCTCTTCTTATCCTTTTTTTCTTTCTTATAGAATAACCTTTCACAATCTGGCAGTAGTCATCATAAACTAAATAAGCCTTCTGTTACTACTAGTGAATTAGAACAAGATGCTGAAGAGATGAATGATGCAGAAGCATTTATTCTTGTCCCATTGTTACGCTATCAACAATTATGTCCATCTGTGTTGCCACCGAATGTAACTGTTCGTGTTCATATACCTGGACCACGTTCAACAACAATGACGAATGCTAATACAACGACAGCGACAACGACGACGCCGACAACCACTACTAATTCTACTACTACTACTACTGTTAATAGTAATACGAGTAGTAATAATAATAATAATAGTAGTGAGAATGGTGATTCAACAAGCCATGACATCGATCCTACTGAGGATAGTTATTGTAAAGGATCGGAAAGGAATACACTAACTGCCTCTGCGACAGCTATGAATACCTCTGTCACCCTGACACCGACAGCAACAATGAAGGCAACTGTTGGCTTACAATCTGATGAAAAGAGTCCGTACAAAAATAAATTCCCATCTACTCAAGACAATGTCAATAATACAAAGATGACAACAACAGATATGAATGCCAATCGAACAGATGCTGCTAAAGACGTCGATGCCAATGGTGAGAAGCATCAGTTAACACATGAAGAAGTGAGTAATCATTTATCAGTAGTATATATACACTGAAGGTAACGAAAAAGATCTGCAGTGTAGATGCCTTTCCTTGTTACGCTTACAATTATTATTATTATTCGTCACTTGAATTTTGAGTGGAACATAGGACTTTATCGCTATATATGAACTTTTCCATGTTACTGTCTAAGTAATGCTCAGCTAGTCTCTTCTCATTCGAGTTCCATATGAGGGCCTGACTGTTTGGCTTCACTTGAAGGTCTACAGGGTTTATGTCATTCTTAGACTCCCAATGTAAGGGTAGAGAGTGAAGTGATTAACTGTGTTAGCCGCTTCACTTATTTTAGAAGCCGCATTAGCAATAATGACCTGATTACTGATAAAATCTCAATATGAAAAGTAAAGGCTCTTATGGCATTTGCTAACTTGCGTCATCTTTGGCGTTGGCGTGATATCCGGCTATCGATCAAAGGGTGTGTATAGTGGTCAGCATCTCTTTCTCTCTCTCTCTCTGTCTGTCCGTCTTTCTCGATGGCGGTGAGACATTTCCATGGAAAGGGAAACATATGGAAGAGCTAGGTAGGTGTATTCGACCGGAGATGTTTGCGTTCCGCCTCCCGTGTTTGGTGATATTAGATGGTGAGTAGTACTGTGGTCAGGCATAGAGTGTTACATATGGAGGGAAGGTGAATCGATGAGGCTGTGAAACTGCATCAATTGTGATACTTAGGGTAAATGTTATTCCTCATCGAGGAGAGATAAGAATCGTCCGATCAGTACGTGACATCAGTCTGACAGGTCTTTGACAGTTGCTTTGAACCATGCAGAGAGAGTTGCGGACTAAGTGGCTGAGCTCATCCACAAGTTAAGAACCTAATAACTGGAGACTGGTGATGACATGGCTAGAAATTGATTCTCAATAGTGTTGTAGATGCTTTCATTCTTTGTAATTTTCCAGATATGTGAAGTCCTCGTGCTTCTCCACATAATTATTTCTCTCTTGCCTACATTTCTGCTCATCATAGTTCTGTTGAGTTTTTTCCTTTTCTGTCTACCTTCGTGTGCTGTACAGTGTCGTAATTTTGATGTAGTCGTGTCTTCTGAGCAGCTGGATGGTTTATTTGTGAAGCTTTCATCATTGCCCTGCTAGGAAACATCTTGAACGTGATTGGTTGTTTTTGTGTGTTTTCACACTCTCTAGTCTGCTTGTGGTATTGGTACTGATTGTTTCCTTGGCCTGAAGCTTGACCCTTTGTATGTGAGATTTCCTTCTTATCGGTTGGTAAATTTTGTCTATTTCAATGTGTCTGTTGATTGACGATTCACTAGAATACCAAGCTTCTAAAAATTCTCTAGCATTCTTGGTGTTTCCTCTGTCTAATATTTGAACGCTGGTTGTCCCAGTCGAACTGATGTCCGTGGTTATTTGTATGTAGTGATATGAGGGAGTGGATATCATGTCTTTTGATGGCTAGCTTATGTTCGTGGATACGAAGACGAAGGGGACGTCCACTTTGGCCAATGTAGTGTTTTTCGCATTTGTTACAATTTTTTGTGAATGATGTTCGTTTTATCTTCCTTCTTTGTTTAGTCTTTTGGTTGACACAGGACTGGCTGAGTGAAATAATTTTGTTATTTCGAAGTGAATTCCTAACGGTTTGAAGAGTCTTGCAGTTGTTTCTGAGGTGTCCTTTACATATGGTAGGGTGATATTCTTTGTGCTTTCCTTGCGGGTCTTTGTATTTCTCTCACCCTACTTATGACCTTTGAAATCCTATCGGTTGTTGACTGTTTGAATTTATCAGTGTAATTACTGTCTCTCGTAGTCATTTAAAGCGTATCTATATGCAAGCGCTGTCAATCATTTTCACTGTTGATACGGAACAGCAAAAGCTCTCCACTTCAACAGTGAGAGACTTCTCTTCTTGCCTTCACACGTCACGTTTTCGTTGGTATCGTGTCGTGTTGTTGTTGTTGTTGCTCACAGTATTTAGAACAACAAAGTCGCCAATCGACTAGGTAGGAAATTTGTTGGCTCAACTACAATTGTATCAACAGTCATATCAAAATTGACGACACGGAGTTATCAGTAACTTGACCTATTGTACATACGTACAAAGTTTTGTGATGAAATTCATTCAGTCAGTCGGCATATGTTCAGTCGATCTCCATTTCCTTCTGCATATTTGATTCTTTCATTACTAGGCTCCCTTGTTGCGTGCATACCGCTTTTATCGGTCCATTGTGATTTGCGGTGTGTTTACCGAAGAGTGCAATGCAATAGTCGGTTGTAAATGCATTTGTTGACGACGCATTTTGAAGCGTTGACTTCACATTATTGTTAATAATTAGGATTATGTTGTTTTGTGTGTGTGTGTGTGCTGTAGGTTGTAGACCTCTACACTAATTTTGTTCAACACATATCTTACCTTCATATGATTTAATCATAGCGAATAATTAAAAGACAGTTGCGGCGAAGAGAATTTTCTTTTCGACGAAATCATCAATTAGACTGCACATTCATTTAATTATAATAAATGGGTGGGAAAGTTCCAGAATAATTTCCGGTCAAGGGTCAAATTAATAAAATTACAATTAGGAATTAAAATGCCATAATAAACAGGGGGACGGATAAAACTCAAACAAAGTAACATCATAATTATTGGGAAGATTGATATATTGTGCAATTAGGGGTTAGAAATGTAGAAATAACAAAGAATAGACAGGATTTTTGGATTAAAAAAATCTAGTGAGATCATAACTATTGTGACGGATAATTGTTTATGCAATCAGGGATTAAATATGTAGCAATAATAAGGTGACACACAATAGACAAGAATTTCGAATATGAAAATATGGTGGTGTAAATAGGGATTAAAAAAAACTTAAAAATAACATGAATAAACAGGAAGTTTGGATAAAAAAGGCTATGGGATAGTCACTATTAGAAGAATTACCTGTTTATGATGGCTATGACAGGGACAAGGGTTGAACGTATTTCTTTTGGATACATAGCATGGATTTGAACGGTTAGTTCCAAAAGCTCTCAGTAATAATGATGCTACTTTGTTTGAGTTTTGTCCGCCCTCCCGCCTGTTTATTATGCCATTTTAATTACTAATTGTAATTTTAATAATAATCTGACCCTTGACCAAAAGTTATTCTGGAACTTTCCCACCCATTTATCATAAATACACGAATGTACAGCCTAGTTGATGACTTCGTCGAAAAGAATATTTTCTTCACTGCAACTGTCTTTTTATTATTCATATGATTTCTTATGTTGAAATTAAATCAAGTTTACTTTCCAAGTGTCTGTAGAGGTGTAATTGGTTTCAAGTTAGGTCATCATCATCATTATCATCAAATCTCGACAAACTAACACCTAGAAATTAACCTAATGTTGTTAATTGTGGAGTGTATGTATAGATAGAAGAAAGTTGCCTGGAGTTCTAGTGAGTAATCCTGACCAGTGGAGATCCACCAACAGGTTGAGTGCGTAAAAGGACACATACTCACTGATGACATTAGCTGGAAGTGGTTCAAAGAAAACAAAGAAAAAAAATCTCGAATTGAAGACCAGGGAGTACTGGACAGCTGCTGTTTCATCCTAGTTTGGGAATCATTGGCAGTACGCACCTACCACAAGGGATTCGAACCCGGGACCTTCCGGTTACAAGGCAAGCTCGTATACCATTCAGCGCTAAATCACGATTTGGAAGAAGTTAGAATTCATGGGCTGGTCATTGAATCGGATCCCAGTGGCTAAATGGTATACGAGCTCGCCTTGTAACCGGAAGGTCCTGGGTTCGAACCCCCGGTGGTGGGTGCGTACTGCCGATGATTCCCAAACTAGGATGAAACAGCAGCTGTCCAGTACTCCCTGGTTTTCAATGGTTCTATAACTGATATCAATCCGTGATCAACTCGTAAAAACATAACTAACCCTTACAAACCAAACTATAGAAAATCTCGAATTGACGAATGTTAGAATTCATGGAGCATTGAATTCCAGCCCAGTAAGACTGTGAATGATCAACGAGCAACAATTCGCCTTGTTCGCCTTGAAGGTTCTTGGTTAGATCTGCCCAGTACCACCACCGATGATCAAACTTGCTAGTTTACCGTTTGTTATTTTGTTTGTTCTCTTTTTTTAAATTTTATTTTACCCTTCAGTTGACTCCTGTTCATCATCTTGAAATTCATGAATTTAAAATGCGTTGGACTGAGCATAATCGTAACTTGGTCTACATTCTAATGGATAGTTATCAACATGCACAATCATTGAAAAAGAATTTATCCGCTCGTGCATTGCATGGATTTAAATTGCATCCAGGTCAAACAGGGACAGGTACAACAACAACAACGCCGATGACAACAACAACAACCACGACAACATCAGCTGTTGGTGGTGGGGTTGGGAGTAGTGGAGGTTTTGGACTTGGAAAGTTGAGCATTGGTGGCAGTAATGCCAGCAGTACTGTTCTTAGTCGAAAGTAAGCTGTGATTGTTTTCTTCTTTTTCTGACTTTCATCTGTTTTGGAGCTACCTATACAATCTATAATTTTCATATTTTTAGGGAAATATTGATATTATTTTCAAGTTTGTTCACGAACTAACTTCCGTTAAAGAACCACTGAAAACCAGGGAGTACTGGACAATCGTTTCATCCCTTCATTGAGACTCTTAATCAGTAAGCAGCCAATCTCCTACTTATCAGGGATTTGAACCCCAGGACCTTCGTGTTGCTAAATGAGATCGTTGACCATTTTCCTACTCGTCCGGATATCAATGGTCCATGAATATATAGTGAGATCGCCAACCAGTGTCTTCAGGTGAGTATTTGTCATCACACCCAGCTTGGTGGACTCCACTGGTGGTCATGACTACTTCCCACTAGAAATTCAGACATCTTCTTCCTACAACCAAATTCAACAAGATAAAATGACGTGATTATATACTGTGTTGGTTCGTCTCAACTACAACCAACCATAAACGATTTAATGTCGACACACAAAAGTGGAATTTTTCGCTTGTCTAGGCAGGATTGCCTCAAGTACAGGTGTGGGCAAAGTTAAACTTTAAGCACCACTAACTACCACCATCAGCGGATGACCTTGAAGGCACCAATCACATCAAGGAGGTTATGGAATGCATAAAAACTGTATTAAACTGTTACAGAGGATACCTTTCTCTCACATGTGATAAAAACATCTCCCAGTTTAGCATAGGAGTATCATTTAAATGACTATAAATGACATCCTTTTAAGCTCCATTAATGGCCCTAATCCTCTTTTTCAACCTTCCCCAAAAGCCTTCGATAGAATTGGTGTATGTCACTGTAATAGGATCCACAAAATCATTAGAATGGTTGACTGTGTGGTAAATCTATCCAAGGGATGACAAGGAGTTATAACCTTTCGTCTCTTCGGTGTGTATTATAGATCCTTGTTTCACAAGTCGAGTGATAATGGGTATTAAGGTAGTTGACTTTCTGTCTGCCATCCTCTCGACGAATTCTTTTTGCGGAGAGAGGTATCATATGTTCCCACGAAATATTAGAATAATCAGCTTACTTTCCCTGGCACTAACTCGTCTCAAACAAATTGCACAGCGATGCACATATCCATCGATCGACGTGGTGAAGCTTTTTATTCTCATGAGACCTCCCCATGAACAAATCCTTTCGTTCCCCACATCAAAGAATTACTGGCGCCATATAATGGTTCGACCATCAGTGGCTCTTTTCCAACCTGACACTATGTCAGCTAACATTGTCCATCGGTCGAGGAAGACGATGACTAAGCATGCATAACACATGTCCTAACCATCTCAGTCGATGTATCTTCACAGCCTCGTTTATTGATTTCCCCTCCATACCTAGCACTCGACCAATACCTAACCTCAATATTACTCACCCTATTATACCACCACTTCACACGGGAGATAGAACGCAGATATCTATGATCAAAGACAGCTAGCTAACCTTTTCGTACCTTCCACTTTCAATGGCTATGTCTCACTCACAGTGATAAAGGAAGACAGAGCGAACGGCTGAGTAGTACACACGCCGTTCGATCGACAGCCATTTGGATATCATTTTTACACGAGAGATGGCGTAAGTCGGCAGGCAAATGCCGAATTAGCTGATGCAAGCTTCCAAATAAGTGAAGTGGTTAACACGCTCAATCAACCACTCCACTCCCTATCTTCAAGCTAAGAGTGAGTCAGTGTAGCCCGTTCTGTAGCATCACGTTACATTTGACATCGGGAGTGAATCACATGTCAAACATTCGAAGATTGCTGCTCATCAAAGTGTTCAGAAGACTCTAGTGTTAGTGTCTTCACCTAGAAGGACTATATCATCTGTATATTCTAAGCCAACGAGATTATTCCCCGATGGTAACAAGTCAATCCCTGAGTCACTGAAGTGAGTTAGGGTTAATTCCATTAGTACATCTATGATGAAATTAAACAGAATTTATGGGGTTAGTTGGCACCCTTGTGGGACACCACTACACTGTTTATCACCATTTGAGATGATTACTCTCCGTATCCTCTCACACCTGGCTGACTGCATGAGAGTTCGTGTAGAGTGCCTTGATCATTGCTTCGTCTCTCCTTTTAAAATACCCTCCAATTTTTGTGCATACAGAGTTTTACTTCCCTATTAAATTCCTTTTTTTTCAAATGCTTTTACCCCTTTAAAAACAGTGCACGTAGTGCTATACAACTGTCAAATAGTAATCAAATATCAAATATGCACTACAAGTTATCAGATCATGCAGACAAGCGACCAGGTGTTCGACATACTGGATCACATCGTCTATTAAGAGATTATGATCATACTGTAGACCTGCTAGAGACTAATGATCTTCTGTGTGATGAGACAGCCAATATTCCAACTTCCTCATCGACAACAACAACGAAAATTGATGCAGCTGTCGGCAAAGATAATCCTCCTTATGATTATGAATTCATGCCTAGGAAGCATTCTTCATCCGATGTAGATATATCAATACCTGGTAGTGGTGGTGGTGGTACTGATTCACCGTCAATATCATCACGTAAATCAAAATCTTCTCATCTAGAACAAATTCCAATGCTGGCACAATTGTTAGAAGAAGTTGATACTGCACGATTTTATGCCTATTGTGAAGAGGTGAGTTATAATCAATCAATTATAATTTAAACCGTTAAATAATAATTTATCGACAGTCTCTAAAAGAGAACTTGTCTGTGGTTCACTTTTTTGTCTTCAGTTGTTTCAAAAAGCAGTTTTAATTGATGTTATTTAATTTGTTGTAAAGGGAATACTTAGAGAAATAGATATCACGAATTGACAGAGGTTGGAATTCATGAGCTGGCCATTAGATCGGGTACCACAGTGGCTTAGTGGTCTACGAATTTGCCTGGTGTTTGAATGGTCCTGGACTTGAACCTTGGTGGTGGGTGCATAGTAATAATAATAATAATTCGCTTTATTCCAGTAACAGTACTAGTGGTACAGTGTGGAATTTTCAGCACAATGTCTAATTTTATCTAACGTTTAAAAGGAGTATTTTCAAGGAAAAAATAAATATAAAGACAACAACAGCAAAAAAAACAAAATAATTTTTAAAAAATGGGAATGAAATACCAAGAAGTAGAAGGGGAAATAAACAATATATAATAATATCTCAGTATTGGGTAGTGGAAGCTATTATATGATTATGCATGGTGACAGTTAAGATATAGTAGTACAAGAAGTTATGAAATGATATTTAAGAATGTTTATCGCCAAGATGATCAGTTAATTTGGTTGAAACAACATTAAACAAACATAAAATAACATTTCAGGGTTTTTATTATTGTCAGGTCTAATGCGGTGTTTGTGATGGTAGTGTGAGTAATCCTGCATAATACAAAATTTTAAGATGGTGATTATGGCTTTCACAACCAAGATTGTCAGTTAATATTGCCGAAAAAAAACAACCACAAAAACTAATAATTATATGATGTTTAATGACAGGACAATTTTGTGTTACTCATAGTGCTAATATAGTCGGAACCAGTAGATACACAAAAGAAGGAATAGACTAAAGTACAAAAAGTAAGCCAATGTTAATAATTTAGGTAGCTAAGTAGGTTCAAGAAGGAGTTCACTACAGAAAACAAAATAAGAGAGAAATAAAAGAGCCTAAAATTATGATTATTAACAACAAAGCAAGTCATAGGTTTCACGCTTAACATTGTCTCTGTCACTTAGAACACGGGCCAAGTATGGTATCGTTGAGTTCCTGTACTTGGTTGTACGAGCATAAATTACTTTATACTGATTTCTGGTTCTACTTGATGACATACAAGGCGAGAGTTGGGAATAGGAGGGTGTTGGGGATCGGAGAGTATGGTTTTAGACCATTTTTCGCATGTATTCAGATGCCTTTCAACTAATGTAGTAGTGACGAGCTGACTGAGTTTTAAACCACTAGTCCTACTAACTACCTTCAACATCCTTCTCAGGATGGTGTAGTCCTTTTTCAGTAGCCCAGGAAAGACTAATGGGGAGCAGTAAAGTAGAATAGGTAAGATACAGGAGTTGACAAATTGTGAAAATCGAGGTTGGGTGATTCCAGATTGTCTAAGTTTCTTAATGTAGTAGGCTAGACAGAACACTTGCTTAGATATCGTTAGGATATGAGATGTCCAAGTAAGGTTAGAAGATAGAACTAGAACTGATGACGAGTCCCGAACTAGGCTGACGAAACAACTAAGTTGTCCAGTACTCCCTGGTTGGTTTCTCAATGGTTCTCTAACCGATGACAGTTCATGATGAAATCCTGTAACTTTGATTTAGAGTACACCATGATGACGAGCCACCTAGTGGCATGGTGACCACATTGCAAACTTGACTGATAGAATTCAGTCTGCACCAACCTAAGTACTAGATGCATGATACCAGTTACGGACTATCTAGTGTCCAATCAAAGTATCCAATAGAGTCCTACAGGAGGTGATGGTCCGTGGTGAGTCTGAATAGCCCAGTGGTAATGTCACTGACTTCAGCACTGGGTAACACACTTTCGAATAACAGAGAGGATATGAGTTCCATCAAGATTGAAGATATACTTTGTTGACTGGTGACTACCAAGAAGTACAAAACCTAGATCCAAGTCTTCCTGCTGATTGTCTCCAAATGTCTAACAGAAACTTACTAATGACATGAAAAGTTATCTGAATAGAATCAGGACATCTCCAAATGATATTTATCCGTCTTACCTGCGTCAGCAGTTCACTGGTAGAATGCTCGCTAAACATATATATATATATATATATATATATATATATGATAAATTCCTTGAAAAGAGTCTGTTCGCTGAATCACTTGTTTTGATTTTCTGTTACAATGGGAATTTTCCATGAGTTAAAAATTTTTATCTTATCAAGTGTTGGGGTTTGCAGGAATTTGATTGGTTAAACCACTGGGACCCGATCCATTGGCCAGTCCATGAATTCCAACGTCCGTCAATTCACGACATAGCAAGACTGGCATTAGCCCCAGGCGCCACCTATTGAACTTTCTAGTTAGTAGGGTGAGTCAGTCGGGAATCAAAACCCCGACCACATGTATGTTTAGCGAGCATTCTACCAATAAACTGCTGGTGCAGGTAAGACGAATAAATATCATTTGGAGATGTCCTGATTCTATTCAGATAACTTTTCATGTCAGTAGTAAGTTTCTGTTAGACATTTGGAGACAATCAGCAGGAAGACTTGGATCTAGGTTTTGTACTTCTTGGTAGTCACCAGTCAACAAAGTATATATAATTTATCTGAAGTGTGTAATGTGTATTTGCGGGACACACTTCTAACATTCTGACCACACATGTACTTTTCATACATATTTATATAAATTGGAAATGGAGCATAAAGGAGCACAAATTTTATGACTATAGGTCAATATTTTTACAGGTCATGATCATAGATAAGTAGTAGATAGATGAGGTAGGAAAAGAGAAGAGAGGGGGGTTGGAAATGTTCCTAATTAATGACCATTCATTTTCGGAACACATAAAACCTGATTGTCTATTGGTTTATTTTATTTGACGGTATTTTCATTCCCCCTATTTTTCTTACCTCATTTTTCTACCTCTATCTGTGATCGTAACCAATAAAAATTTTCGCCCATGAACGAAATATTGCGATATTGAGTCATAAGAAAATGACGTAGACAGGGGAGACAATTTTCTTTTCAACGAATTATCTTCAAAAGCTGTATAATAATTAATATCAGTAAAAAGTTTGAGCATTGTGGATTAGATCAAATAAAGTATAATTATATTTTAATAGTTTACACACAATGATAAGTTTTGTTATTGGTAATATTCATCGATAGCTGCACATGCATGGGACAAAAACCACAATATCGATTGGGACAATGTGTGTATTCTAAAAACTAACATGAACAAATGGAAAGAAAGACTTATAACAGAATCGATATTCATTAAAGTCACACCGGATACATGTAACAAGGGTGACTCAGTACAACTATCAACAACTTGGAATATAATTCTGGATACAAAAACATGAATGAACTTGGAATACAACTCAAATACAAAAAAAAAAAATATGAATGAGCAAAAATAATGAACTATATATACGAGTACAAATCATAAATGTGTGAATCAAACAATTCCAACACTGGTGTGAACACGGGCAGTAATTTTGCTCGAAATATTACCAATAACAAAACTTATCATTGTGTGTAAACTATTAAAATATAATTATACTTTATCTGTATAATAATCATTTGTAAAAAAAATATAAATGAGTAATTCCAACGTTTCGTTCGGCAATCTGGTCCGATCTTCTTCAGGGAAATTAATCGAAATTAACATAACAGAGGTTACATTGGAAGGACAGAAAGAAGGGCATATCTACGATTTTCTGAACATGTACCAAAAAGCTTACGTCTAAAGGGAACAAATTCTTTAAACAGTGCCATCGCCAGGCATCTCCTCGACACGGGTCATGAGGTGGAAATCGAGAAATCCTTTAAAGTTATCAATAGACAAAGGAGCTCCATTCTCCTCAAGTTTGCCGAAGCAATTTCTATCAAACGCTTCAAACCAGATTTATGTGTTCAGAAAGAAGCAGTTATTAGTCTTTCCTTGCCATGGTAACTGGATGTCTTTATTCTCTAATCTGATTACGTAATCTTTGTCTTTAACCTCACCCCTCCCCTTTTTTATTTTTATTTTTAAAATCTGTAATATTGCTTGTCTCTTGTTTCTATGACGTGATTAGAACTCAGTACATCGTGACAAAATTTATTAGTTACTCATCATCTTACTCACCTCTCGTCTTTATTACGTAACTCTTTTACCATTGTATGCACACATCTATTTTGTTTAAACTTGAACTGCCTGTGAAAAAACTATATAAGCGCAATTTTCTGAGCACTGTTCACTTACTGTGGAACCTTCTGTCAACTGACAACATGTAAAATTTGCAAGTATGTAAAAAACTTTTCTGTACGTAAACCTCACAATTTATTTAGGCTGTAAGCAGCTGATGAGAAGCCGACGAAATAAATGATGGTACCATATTATTCTGCACAAACCGCTGTTGTTCTTGCTTTATTTAACAGAGGTTTATTATATAAAAGGAACATCACTTGTTTTTAAAAACTTTGTTTAATCATGAATCATTAAACAAGTATCAACAAGTATAAGAAACAAAATTTTATGAGCTGTGATCAATAGTATTTATATTTGATTAGTTAGAGGATTTCATCATGAACTGACATCGGTTAGAGAAACATTGGAAAACGTGCGGGAAGTACTGGACAGCTAGTTGTTTCGTCTGCCTAGTTCGGGACTCTTCATCAGTGCGCGCACACACTAAGGGGTTCGACCCCAGGACCTTTTAGTTACAAGGCGAGTCAGGTCGTAGACCATTAAGAGCCACTGGGACCCGATCTAATGGCCAGTCCATGAATCTCAACTTCTGCCAATTCATGACATAACGCGACCAATTAGCAATGCCTTCTTCGATGAGTAACTGTCCTCACCTTCGACCTGCTGTACGTACACATAACCCTATCAGACCAGGGAAATCTAGGTCACGAGACCGATGGGTCAGTCAGTCAGTGTGATCGATAAGTATTTGTCCTGACACTCAATTTGTCACTAGGACTGCAGACAACTTCATATCCTATAGAGTCAGTCGGTCACTAATGAAAGTAGTCGAAATATCTGCAAATCGGCACTTGAATAAAGTAGAGTCTCAGTTTTTGGATGAAGAAAACTGAGGATGCTCGCTAGTGACTAGCTACAGGACGCAGTTTCCTGGAGTTCTAGTGAGAAGCCGTGACCAGTGAGGTGCATCCAATCGGATCCCAGTGGCTGAATGGCATACGAGCTTGCCTTGTAACCGGAAGGTCCCGGTTTCGAACCCCAGTGGATGCGTACTGCTGAGGAATAAGAGATTCCAACTATATATTTTAGGGTTAAGAGTTTGAAAAGAAAGATGAATGAATTTTGATTCACACACACACACACACCAAATTATTGCACAAGTCAATAAAAGACAATTGTTTAAAGCCACCATAATAAAACGGACTGAAAAAATAGCTTCTGTGTACACAATTCAGACTTCTACGTGTGTGTATAGCAGGAGCTTCTGCTCTGGACAGAGGATGTAACAGGAAAGCCTCAAAAAGCCTCAAGATTCCTTTATTGCTGCAGAAGGACAAAGTGTTGGGGAATTCGGTCATTTAATTTCTCATTTTGTTAGCCTTATTGGGGAAATGTTCTTGCATACGTTTCGTTGATATCCTACTTGTAGACCCTATGCACTTAGCTCTATAGGAGCGAGCAAGTGAATTGGTATGCACACAGTGGAATACTGTCTTTGATATTTTATTGAATAAGAGGTTTCGTGAGGAAGGTGATACGGTTCGCTTCTGGGATTTGTAGCCTCTGTCAAGATTTTCATTTCCTCTTCAATCAACACCGTTTACATTAATAAACAGTCTGCCAACTCAAAGACTGTTTTTGTGATAATAATCTCATCATCAATGTTTCCTACTATTTATTTATTTATATACAACGTTTCCCCCATAAACGGTTCTGGCACGGTCGACGGTTGGTAGACTTCGGTCTTCCTCCCTAAAAAATGCTCCCATATGGCCACCTGTTCATAGCCCCTGCCAGGTAAATCCTACTCAGTGCCTTCACGTGGCTGTGGTGTTCCTCACAAAAGTGAAAGGGCAAATCCGAATGTCTGGCGCTTACAACCGTACTGACGAATATGCTGATCTACCTAGGAGAGCTAGAAAACCGTGATTCTAAACCTATACTGTAAGTGGTCTCCAGAGTGCAAACACATCGAATGGCATATGTGAACGTGTTTTGGCTACTGGAAACCATGGGAACATTGCCCCTGACGCTGCTTCACTCACTGCCTTGTGGATCACACTTCATGTCGGATTTTCGGTGGTTGGCCTCTTAAGACAAACACCTGCTTCGGTTTGGTCGTCCGAGTGATATGTGTAGCATGTCTCTCTTGGTGTTCATAATGTATCCAGCTTGTGTTTTATTAATATTTGCAATTATATTACACGAGAAAGCATTTATTTCCAAAGTCGCTTCTTTTTATTTTTTTTGCAACCAGGAGCCTAAACAGACAGATGTTGTATCACAATTACAAGGATTAAATATATGTGCATCAAGTTTGGTAGCTGAGCGTAATTGGCACATAGAATTAATCAATCCTCAGGCAAGTTTTTTTTACAATCTATGTATGTGTTTGTATACAATCCTATCAAGTTGTGTGTGTGTATGTAGAGGTGCGGGGAGTGGGAAAGTCCATGGTGGCGATTGGGAGTATTTATGTACCTTGTTACTGGCGCTTTACTGATCTCATACCTGATCTAAGCCATCTTTCTGAATATTCGTCCATATAGTAACTTGGAATGACGAATTATACTTTTTTGTATGTGCCTACAATATGCTAGTTGAATATCAATGAGATGCTCACCAGCGACTGGCTCTATTCAGGTGGGTAGTTACCTGGGGCTCTAGTGGGAAGTCATGACCAGTAGCGTACAGCAGGTCGAAGGTGAGGACAGTTACTCATCGAAGAAGACATTGCTAAGTGGTCGCGCCATGTTGTGAATTAGCAGGAGGTCCTAGGTTTGAACCCCGATGGGGTGAGTGCGTACTGATGAAGAGTCCCAAACTAGGCTGATGAAACAGCTGTCCAGTACTCCTTGTGGTTGTTTTCCAATGGTTCTCTTAGCGATGTCAGTTTACAATGGAATCTTGTAACCAATCGATCAAATCCCTACAAACCAGTACTGGATTGCTTCTTAAATTACTTGAAACACAAAGAGCATTAGTGTTGCGAGACTACAGAGTTCGTAGACCATTGAGCTACTGAGACCCGACTCAGTGACTACTACATGAACTCCAACTTCTACCAATTCGTCATTTTAATATGACCAACCATCAGTCAGTGTCATCGGTGAGTATTTATATCCTTATCCCCGTTGCTCACCCAGTGAGTACTGCAGTCAGTAACGTTACCACTGAGCTATTCAGGCTCGCGATTGACCTTCTGTAGGACTGTATTGGACAGACAGATCGGTGCAGACTGAATTCTATCAGTCAGGTTTGCACCGTGATGGCGAGCTATCTAGAATAGTGGCTGCATTGCAGACCTGACTGATAGAATTCAGTCTGCACGAAACAAAGGACTAGACACATCACACTAGTTACTAGTGTCCAATAACGGTAACTGTTTCCCAATCAGAGTTGATTGGATTATCTGACTATAAAAAGGAAGGCTAGCCAACAGCCTTATTCAATCCGATGCTGCTTACTCTCAAGGAATACCTTAAAACGTAAGGATTTTAAAATTCATTTAAACAGGTGAATAGAAAGATCGATAATAAAGGTGAAACACTCTCATAATGGAAAAAATTCAATCACATACTGCAATTCTCTGAAACCTTCTCCTGCTATCTTAACAACGGAATAATAAGGAGACGTGATGCCATTCGTTGTAACATTTGATTATCAGTTAGGCGGTCTATCGTTCAATTTCTCAACAAATTCTCTCTTTTGCATCTCCATTGGAACATAAAGCTTCAAGCTGTAAATATATGTGTAAAACTTGGGCACTGTGGTAGTAAGTAATTCCATATTAGTTTGTTTATTAGATGTATCACACAGTGAGTGAAACAGTATTACTGTTTACTGGATGACACAGTTTCGAACAAAATTTATTGTTCATAATCATATCATTAATAATAATCACACGACTTCGAAACTTGAGTTTTATAGTTTTCTTTGTCCTCTCCTATTTGTCGTCGTTCGGGTAGTAGAATTTTCCAGATATCTGGGACAAGTGTTCAATCATTCCTATTACATGTATTTGGAGTTGATTCGATAAACAAAGCTCTTGTTATCAATCTCTCCCTCCAACCTGTGATATTAGATTTTAAAACTGTCATGTTATCCCATCATCCTATTGTATGGTTGTGTGTAATTGCACGTAATGTGTGCTATAGATGAAGTATTCCCCAGATGTCTTATCTTATTCGGGTCAATCAGTCTAGATCTATGTCACTAATTGATATGATCTCTATTCGACAGTTGATCTGAGCGGAGTGGACTTATGCGTGTTAATATAATAATACTGACGCAATGGATACCTATTCGTCCGTGGTACCTTCTGCTTCACTGAGGCACCTGAATATTAAAAGATGAAGACTGCCGTCTCTGACTGTTACGATTCAACTTTATTAGAGAAAACAACCGTATGAAAATCAACCCAGGGCAGTGGAAATACGTTGTTCTAATTCGTAGACGATTCGGCTAAGGTAGGTGAAAGACAAATATTCTGCTTGGTTGGCGATTTGACCAAGACCAGACCAAAGTGTGAGGAAAAGATGGATTTTCACAACCATCTGATCGTACGATGAATGACACGATGATTCATAAGATGACTACCATTTAAAGCCGATTCCTGTCACCCGGCTTAGTAGATTATGCTGGGTTGGAGAATGAATCGGCGGGGAATCGAATCTAGTCCATGTGTATCGTTAGCGAGCATCAACCCGTAAGACATAAATTCTTCAAATACTAATAATAAAAGCATGTTTTAAAAAAGATATTCATTATCATGATTGGTTTTATTATTATTTATCTTTTCTTGTATAGTTATTATTAAAAACAAATCATCTAGCTGGTTATGTATTGGTATCCGCAGCCAGAGCTAAGTTGGATGCATTAACCCATCCACCGATATGGAAAGATTCTCAATTATTGAATAAATCTAGTCTAGTTGGACATTTAGAATGTATGCAGTACTATGCTACTGTTGGACAGGTGAGTAAAACATTAAAAGTCAAATAAAGTATCATTATTTAATTGGTGGAGGGTGACTAGAATTGGAATGCAGGATGCGCATTTCGTCCTATTTGGGACTCGTCAGCTGGATGTGCCTGCATTCCCGAGTGAGTGATGATGTTCCCACCGAGGCTCTAACCCAGTGCCCGTAATTACAAATAAGACGATATGCATCCCGTATTCCACTGCTAGTCACCATCCACCAATTTTAATTACAGGCCCAGACATCGTCGAAGAATCTACACAAGAAAACGACATGTCAACCTGAGACCGAGCATTTCCGTCCAATCAATCGACGGGAAAATCTAAAATTCAAATAAAGTATCACTATATTTCAATAGTTGATACACAGTGATAAGCTTTTTGTTTTTTGAGTAATATTTCGAGCAAAATTACTTCTGGTGATCACACCAACTGTCGGAATTGTTCTGTTTTTAATTCACTCATGCTGACGATCAACCCTTGTTACATGTATCCAGTGTGACTTTAATAAATATTACATATTCTGATATTGGTCTGTCTTTCCATTTGTTCATATTAGATTTCAGAGTACAAAGAATGTTCCAATCAAGTGCTTTTTGTCCCATGCATGTGCAGCTACAGATCAATTTGTTTCTAAATTCTTGTAAGCTTGTGTTCCTGTTGGTTAACCTTTAGTTAGGCGGGTCTCTATGTTCATTCACTCTTATTTTGAGTCATCTGGACGTTTGACCCACATATTTAGTCGGGCACTCGGCACAAGATATTTTGTAAATCACATTGTTTTTATCCATCATTTTTATGGGATCTTTCAGTTGATTTATTTCATTTTTGATTAGATTCGTCGGTTTACACGTTGTGCAAATCCCAATGTTTTTGAGGTTTCTTCTAATTACCTCTGATGGACCACGTTTAAACTGACGAGTCTAATTAAAAAATAATATGAAGCAACTTGGGAAAATCTAAAATTCAATTCAATTAATATGACCTGTTGCACAAGAGGTGGCTCTCGTGGCCCAAGTGGTTTAATGGATAACGCTTTGGCGTTTGAAATTATAGGCACTGGGTTTGAGCCTCGGTGGGGACATCATCACTCACTGAGAAACGGAGGTACATCCAGATGACGAGTCCCATATAGGACGAAATGCGCATCCTGGATTCCACTGCTAGTCACCATCCACCAATTAAATACTAATTAAATGCCCAGATATCGTCGAAGCATCTGCACAAGAAGCCAACAGAGATGTCAACCTGAGGCCGAGCACTTCGGTTCAATCAATCGACGGGAAAATCTAAAATTCAATTAAATCAAGCTTACGAGAATTTAGAAACAAATTGATCTGTAGCTGCACATGCATGAGACAAGAAGCACAATATAGATTGGAACAATGTTTGTATTCTGAACACTGATATGAACAAATGGAAAGAGAGACTACTAATAACAGAATCTATATTCATTAAGGTAAATTATATTATTTTGTCTAATTGGATCAACCTACAGGGTCCTTTAACCTACACAGCTTGCCTCTGAGGTTTAAATGCCACCCTAATTCCTGCTTTATTAAGAATCCTGCGTAGAGAAGGTTTCAGATGCCCCCTCCTTATATAGTATAACAGTAGGTGTAAGGCATTGAGAAAATTATTTTAGGAATTCAGTTATGTCTCACAGGACAAAATATATAGACAAACAGAAGGTGTACCAATGGGCTAACCAATATCTACTATCGTAGCAGATTTCTTGATGGACAGCTGGGAAAATATTGCTCTTAATACATTTAATCCTACTCCAAAAAATATAGTGGAGATATGTGGATGACACTTTCACAGTGTTAAAAACGGAACATATCTCTCTCTAGCTTCTTGATCCATTTAAACTCACTAGTGAGGGAAATACAATTTATATTTGAATCAGAAAATGAACAAGGAGAATTCGCTATGTTGGATTGTAAAATAAAATGAACAGAAGAAGGTAAACTGCACACTAGCGTTTATAAAAACCAACGCATTCTGCTAATAGATATTTAGACTTTAATTCATCTCATCCTTTAACTGTTAAGGCAGACTTAGTTAAGTGTTTAACAAACCGAGCAATGGCACTAAGTAGCACAAAAAAGACCTAAATGATGAAATAAAACAGATAGAAGAAGCGTTGGTTTTAAATAACTATCCTCTAAAATTCACCAGGGAGATCAAAAAAGGTCAAAAGCAAAATAAAAATAATAATGAAATTAATAGTGATAACAAAAAAATAATAAGAGAAAATAAGGCACCTACACCACATAAACAGGGGACATCTGAGACTCTACGTAGGATTCTTAATAAAGCAGGAATTAGGGTGATTCAAACCTACAAACTCACTCAGAGGCAAGCTGTGCAGGTTAAAGGACCCTGTAGGTTGATTCAGTTAGACAAAATAATATAATTTACAAAATACCTTGCTATGACTGTGAGGTCAACTACTTAGGCCAGTCAAACTAGTAGGTCGCGGGTAGTTAGATTGTCAGAACATAAGAGTTTAGCTAAGGTGAGAATGGTTGACCCAGAGAAGATAAGTAATTTAGAAAAAAGCTCAGCACTACATTGCACCGCATGCATTAACACAGAACCACACAATAGGATGGGAGAGGGTTAAAATTCTAAGAAGTAATCTAAGTGGGTGAAGAGAGAGGTTGGTTACTGAATCCTTGTTCATCGAGTCTACATCCAACACGTGCAATAAGAATGACTCATCACTCATGCCGGAAATACGGAAAATACTACTACTACCAATCAAGTCAAGCGATGAATTGAAATAATGGAATTATATAAATAGAGTTAGAAAGTTGTATGAGTAGTGCCTTGAAATGATTATGAGCATCAATAAATTGTGATCGAAACGTGGTCATCAGTAAGTAGTATTACTGTATATCAACACTGAGGAAACTTATCAAAATAAATTTTATCCACAATGGGATTCATTTCTTTCCATATATATATATATATATATATATATATATATATATATATATATATATATATATATATATATATATATTGGGCAATAGGTTGTTAGTTGGTTCGATGTAGGACAGAGTTCCTTGTTGGGTAATCCTTTCTGATGGTTGATCTGATTTTGTGTATCGAGCTGTCGAAGGAGGCAGTGGTTGATGTAAGTGTGCAACAACCTGTTGGAAACGCTTTCCGTGAGGCACAACAAAACATGCCAATTTCCGTGCACTATATAAAATTGTTGACTAACACGACATCAGATTTCGTCACAAATTGATATTATAGTAATATTTGGCAGCAAAATTGCTTATTTGGCAAAATGATGACACACAGTGATGTGTCACCAGGTATCAAAAGCTTTACATTGCAAAAGTTATTCACATTCTGCTCCCTATGTCTTCAGACTTTCTATACTGCTCTTTACAATGATCTTTATTTCTTCTCTTTGCAACTTAATCTATCGCCACGTTTTTCAAGACTTTTGTAGAAGAAGTCGTATGCAGTGGACTATTTACAAATCGGTGTCGGTAGCATGCACCACAATATATCAACTAGACCACTGTTAAATAAAACAGCATTAGATAAATTTGGATACTTTCAGGTGCACATTTCATAACCTTTTAAGCGTTTTAGTCGTAGTGTTTGAATAGTAACCTTGTTATCTCTTAACATGATTGTTCTGGGCTCCATACCTCACAGACTGGAGGATGTGAGCACTGCCCAGAGGATGATTCTATACTAGGATGAAATGTATATTATTCAGTGATTGTTGACTTTCATCCGATTTTTAGTGGTTGTTATGATTTCATGACCAAGTATTCTGTTGTGAAGTGTGTGTTTGACTTCTTGTCTGCTTTTTATAATAGATGGAATAGATAGCTATACAAGACTTGATTGGTTGATTTTAAAAGTACGAAGCGTACAGGCTCTCGCTGTTACCTTGGATATGGTATTAACTCAGTTTCTTAGAAGTGGTCTTTCATGTTCCAGACTATGAACCACGCTTTTATTGTGGGATGGATGATGCTACTACTACCCAGATTGAAGTACCGGGAGTCCGCCGCGGAGGTGTGTGTGTGTGCTCTAAACCCACCACCTACTGTCTATGTGAAAGCCCAAGTGCTTAGGCTGTTGAGCTACATCTCTGTGTAATACAGAAATATTCATCATCTCATGTTGTAAAGTAGTGTCAAAGCTAAAGAAATAGATTTCACATTTTTGATTTTCATCGAATACTATTGATATAGCAAAAATATTCATTCAGACATCTATAAAACACAAAATAATTGAGCAAAGAATATTCTTTTCGATAATTTCCTTTTCCGGCTTTACAATTATATACATGTTTATATACACAGAATATTCTAGATTAGTAGTCAATAACAATATTAGTGCTTTTTAAATAATATCGATTTGTAAAGTAAGATGACAATGGAATTACATTTCATTAAAGATGCTTAAATTGTAATAGTAATAATAAAGAAATAGTAGTAAATAGAATATCAACTAAAATTAAGAAAATTCCACAAAAATTGAGGATCATTCAAACCTGGATGGCCAAGATAAGGATAATGTCTGAACCAACTTGCTTTGGATGCACAAATCAGGCTTCTTAATCTGGATCCCAATAGCCTCAGCAATATTTAGTAGTCGAACTCTTAAGGCAAAATTGAGATTCGTAAGTATGCAGTAAATGACCCTGAAAGCATGTTTAACGTCAATCTTGTGTTCTATCTCGACAAGATGAGACAGAATAGCGCTGTGAATAGATTTTGTTTGTCCTTCGGTTAACCACTATACAGGATGATGTTCGGAAATTCGACGAGAAACACGCCTAATTGTACGGCCTATGCCACTGACTGGCTCCACAGGAGCAGTTAAATTGGTAAGTACACATGGAAGAGGCGAAATTAGGCAGTTTGTCTTTTATTCCCAAACGCAGAAGAGGAGTGGTTTTAAAGACACAGCGTAATTCAGCAGCATTTCTAAGGCGTTAGTATCTCGCTAATGTTTTCCCTGAGGAACTGAATTTGTAAGAATAAGGCTTTTTTTTGAACTGTTGGTAACTTGGGTTGCTTTGATTATAGATTCATATTCTTATCAATAAACTTTTCAAGATAACCATTATCACTTAGCAACCGTTCAATACTTCTAAGTTCGTCGTCAAGACATTCTTCCGAACAAATCTCTCTCGCTCTGTGGTGAACCAAGCACTTTATTAGATTGTGTTTGTATTTCAAGGGCACGAAGCTGAGAAAATGTGTGTACTGACCCGTTGATGTATGTTTTCTATATGCACTTCTTCTGATTGCACCATTGTCTTTTCTGGTCATAAGGACGTCTAGCAATGAAATACTAGAGTCTTTTTCTTTCTCAATAGTAAAATTTATTGCAGGATGAACCTCGTTAAATTTATCGAAAAGGATATCCTTTGCTCAATTATTTTGTATTTTTTATAGATGAATATTATTGATACTTTTCATTGTTCTGTTTAGGTCCTTCCAGGTACGCCTGATCAATGGTTGTCAACAGCTGATGTCAGTGATTGGGCACATCATGGTTTAAATGCCGACGAAGATGCATTGACTGGACGACCAGAAGTTGTTGGTTGTGGTAGATCAGTTGGCGGTGTTGTGACAGCATGTGTTGGCTTCCCACAGAATATATCAAGTAATAAGTCGTCATTATTAGCCCGTCAAAGTATCATAAATCATGCCGGTTTCACAGCTAACACTGGTGGTGGTGGTGGCGTCGGCGGTATGTCAGCTGAGGCAATCACTAGTGGTAATACGACATTGGTGAACAATAATTTCGGTACTTTTTCTACTACTGCCAATACGATAACTTCAGGTGCTGCTGTTGGAGAGAACAACACCAATTGCATTCGACCTATACAACTGCAAAGGATGATATCTCGTTGTTCATGTGAAGTTTTCTACATTCACTATGAACCTGCTGATCCCGCGAATTTACCACTACCGCATTTAATTCCACCTTTGGTAAGTTTTACTTCCATGGCATACTATCATCGGCAATAAATATATGCATATAAACAAAATATTCTGTGTAGTATGGGTGTGTTTTGATTTGGAACAAGATTTGTGTTTGAGTTTGTACTTCTTTCTTTATTGTGAGCGTTATGGATAACTTACAGGTCGATTCCATAAGGTATAGCTATGCTTTATACATTGCATTAGATTTACTCTCTGTGTGCGTGTGTGTTGAGATGAAATCGACGAAATTGTTCTAAATCTTCTAACTGGGTAAATACCGTCGTCATTTCCAATCGTCAGCAAATTCTTCCTCATTTTATCACGTATACAACATCATTATTATTCCCTTGGGTTTCGAGTTGAATGGGGCTTCATCAGCTTACACCCATCTCACCCGGTTCTCTTCCATAGCCGGCTCCATGATTGACCATAAGCTTTCAGTTCCTGCTCACACGATCTCCTCACTATCGTCCCCAACACATCCGACTCGTCATTTTCAACTCGAGTTTCACTCGTGGGCTTGATTGATGTAGGGTGTTACTCAATGGTTACCTTAACGTGTGTGCTCAGTACATCTTCGTATAGTTAAGTAATAGATTTTTGTTTGGGTAGCTGTCTGCTAGAATTTCTTGTTGCTAATTCTTTCTGACTATTGGATCTTCATTATGATGTAAGACTTTCGATGTAGATATCATTGGAAACTGAGACCAATCAGTGGAATTATTGGAAATCTTAGTTTTTAGCTTTTCTTTAGTTATATACTCACATCTTCATCGGGGATGGAATCCAGGAATGTCAGAGTTGGAAACTTATGATCCTTGAATTCTATCTTTCTATGGCATTCCTGCGATTCGGCTGCACCACCATCCAATCTGACAATCTAGTTTCTTTGTTGTATAACCAAAATCAACTCGTTGTGGTCTGAGCTCAGGAAAGCGATCGTTGTGTTCTACTGGACAGCTGACAAAACTTTCTTGAGGTACGCGCAATCACGAAACACTTCAAAGACAGGAAGAAGACGATTATTATTCTTCAATGACTCTATAGTTCTACTAAACAGCTATAATAACATCAAAACCTCGAGATTACCTCAACAGTATCCTTAGACAGCTATATAGTCCAGTGTAAGTACAAAACGAGTACTTAGGACCAAGTAGAATATTCTCAAAGAGGTGGGATCAAAAACTCTATCCACAAGAATCACTCATACCAACACTTCCCGCGGACAGTTCAAGGTCAGCATGATCTTGATTTACACACACACACACACACACACACACACACACGAAATCATATCGTTAAACAACACATTTTCTTCAATGTACACACAACGATAAAGAAAAGTCAGATCAGTTTTCTATAGTTTGGTTTGTAAAGGTTAGTTATGTTTTTACGAGTTGATCACGGATTGATATCAGTTAGAGAACCATTGAAAACCAGCAGGGAGTATTGGACAGCTGTTTCATCCTAGTTGGGGAATCTTCGGCAGTACACAACCACTTACCTTTACAAACCAAGCTATAGAAAATTAATCGGATGCTCGCTAGTGACTTGCTACATGATGGAGTTTCCTGGAGTCCTAGTGAGAAGTCGTGATCAGTGAGGTCCAATTAGATGTCACGTGTGTGGATGGATGTCCCATCGACGACAATGGTTGGGGTCGCGCTAAATCACGGAATGGTAGAAGTAAGAATTCATGGACTGGTCATTGAATCGGGTCCCAGTGGCTGAATGGTATACGAGCTTGCCTTGTAACCGGAAGGTCCTGGGTTCGAATCCCAGTGGGTGCGTACTGCCGATGACTCCCAAACTAGGATGAAACAACTGTCGAGTACTCCCTGGTCTTCAATGGCTCTCTAACTGATATCAATCTGTGATCAACTCGTTAAACATAACTAACCCTTACAAACCAAACTATAGATAAAGAGAGGCAGTAAAATTAGAGATCCAGAACAGGGAAAAGGACAAATAATACGGGTCAAATCAACATGTGATATGGAAACGTCAGAATATTGATATACAGTCTAGGAGAAGCAGGGGCAATAATTACAAAGTTTGCTGAAACACCCATATACGTATGCATATTGTGATTGGATCTTTCAGGAGGGGGGATTTTCCAGACAGTCTTTCTATTTCACTTTGCCCTCACAAGCCAAGTAAAGTCATTATTGTTTTTTTCTTTAGATTATGACATTGCCCAAGGTCTGACGGTCAAATCACCACTTGATCTGTATTGTACTACAGCAGCGTGATCACATCGTATACTCAATCTATTAGTTTCAATAAACATTATAATTATTTCTATAAGTGTTTATTGGTTAGAATAGTTAAATAATTAAATATATATTCAGCGAAGAGACTCTTTTCAACAACGAATTTATTACAGCAACACTGGAAAACGAATTTATTATCAAGCTGTACAATCCCATATATATGGTTTTTAGGAGATTATATCCAGTGAGGGAATTGAATCAAAGGTGTGAATATATGAAATGATAATAGTAGTAGTATCAAATGCAATTAAAATATTTGTGATTATCATCATAGTTGAGTGTCAAATAGCAAAACAATCAATGTCATATATATATAGACTCAGAACTTGACTTCCTAAAAGCCATGCTCGTAGAAAATGGTTACCCGAACGGATTTATTGACATTAACACCAAAGATAAGCAGTCTAAACTGGTCATCAATTCAGTTCCAAAGAAAACCTTATTCATGAACTCGGAATTCAAGCTTCAGATATGCTCGAAAACCGTCTATCTAAAGCTGTCAGTAAGACATTCTTTGCAGCAAAATTACAAATGACGTTCACCAGCTACAAGTTGTTCTCCATCTCTGTAAAAGATAAGCTCCCCCGTATGGCCGCCTCCATGTGCATCTATCAGTTCACCTGCTCTTGTGGAGCAAGGTACATTCGCCGTAGTCAGAGGACGCTTTCCACACGGATACGAGAACATATTCCAGCTGCATGGTTTTACAAGGGAGAAAGGAAGTGTGTACGAGGCTCTATTCTAGAACACCTGATCGACTTCGGTCACTCTGCCAACCCTGACTATGGTTTTAAGAGCATCTACCGAATCCATGCTAACTTGCCAACTGCGTTTTCTTCGTTACAGACTTCCAAAGATAGCGGAGGCCTTGACAATTCATAACTTTAAGCCAGACCTTTGTGTACAAAAGAAGTATGTACAATCCCTACTTCTGCCTTGGTCGTAGAGGGATTGACATTTATTTATTTTGTTTATTTAGTTATTCTATGTGCCTTTTCCTTATTACTACGATTATTATTATTATTATTACTATTCTCAATCTGAATTGTTTCCACTTATTCTAAATCCAAAATTTTTATTTTTACAATATCTTATCAAATTTCACTCCATGTTATGTAACATTTTATATTTAAAAGTCAATCTGAACGAGGAATATTCTTTTCAATAATTTCTCTTCAGGTTCTTACAATTGTAAAATATAATATTTGTTGTTGTTACAATAATGACAGCCAGCTATGCGGCGGATACATTTTTAACGTAGAATAACAGATTAGTTATGGGGTGTCAAAATAAATAGTCCTATTTGTGTGACAAACGTGCTAGGCTGAATTCGATTACAAAATATTGTAAAACGGGAGACAATGGTGATTAATCATAATAGATTTGTAGAGTGTGGGGTAGAAAAATTGACAAGTCAGTTCAAGGTTATAAAAGGTGTCAGGTGAGTGGCTAGTACAAAGTGGTCTGTGTTAAACAGGAGATAGTAAGACTGCAATGGGAGGTTCATAATGAGATAACGAATATGTGAAATGAAACAGGTGGAGGCATATATTGAGAAAAGAGATAATATCACTAATAATAAGTCCGGATAGTATAAACGAAAAAAAAATTCGATAGTATTGAGAGAATGTTTGCATGAAGGGCATAAATTATGACGAATAATAATAATATTAATAATAATTGTAATAATAATATTTGTAATAATAAGCAAAGGAAAAAAAAGCCAAGAGGGTTAAGGAGAAGGAGCACTCTTGGTGAGAAGAAGAATCATCAATCCAAGTTTGGCCACGGTAGGAACAGCGTCTGGACGTGTTCTGTTTGGATACAAAGTTCCGGTTTAATCGATCTTATTGCAACAGCTTCAGCTATGTGTAGAAGACGTAAGCGAACTGTGAGTGATAACGACTTCGGAATTCGGTATATAACCCTGAAAGCTGTGTTGACATCGCTATGATGTCCAGTATGGACCAAGTGTGACAGGATCGAACTTTTTATGCACTTAATTTCCCCACTGATGAACCAAGCTGGTAAATGCCTACTAATCCTATAATTATGTACCCATTTCCAACATCTATACACCTTATGTATTATTCTATATATGACATTGATTTTTTTACCACTTGACATTTAACTATGATTGAAATCACAAATATTTTAATTGCATTTCATACTGTTATTATTATTACTTCATGTATTCACACCTTTGATTCAATTCCCTCACCGGATATAATCTCTTAATATAAAAAACCATATATATACGATTGTACAGCTTGATAATAAATTCGTTGAAAAGAGTCTCTTCGCTGAATATTGTGTTTTTTTAATGCTACAATGGGAATTATTAAATTAATTAATTAAATATATGAAATCAAAACTATCAATTTACCTAAATGTATGTCGAAGTTGATCATCGATGTTTATCAGTTAGAGAACTAGGGTGTACTAGACAGATGTTTTGTCCTGCTTTGGAACTCTTCATCAGTACGTACCCATGACCCTTAACCTAGGGCGGTTGGGTTACGAGTCGAGCTTGTTGACCATTCAATCAGTCATTGGGACGGTATCCAATGTCCGGCCAATGAGTTCTGACTTGTGTCAATTCAAGATTTTTAGCACCACTGCCAGTGTGGTGAGATCTGACTGCTAGCCAAAGTTGGTAGACAGTAAGTGACATCAATGTTTATGTCACCAATATTGGTGGTAAGAAAATGAGAACAAAGGCTTTGCGTAGGCGGATACAGTTAGCATATGGATGATCTGACACAGCCACAAGAGATGCAAGGTTAACTTTCTGTGAGAAACAACCAATCAAAAGACTGTATTTTATACTAACAATAATCTACAATAATGTACATTAAAATCTATAAATATGTGTTGATTTTCCTTAATAAACGATCTGTTACCTGACCCTTGTCTTCTGTTGTTACACCAGTAAATGTCATCAGCGAGGAGTATTTTTCATCATATAATCACTTGAGTGAAATGTCTTGTGCATTTGTTGTATGAACTTGATACCAGTTATTTTCCTATTTTCTTACTTCTTTTTTTTTTACAGTCACTTGATGAAACAGAAGTCGTGCATAATCCAGAAGGAGCTGATACAGTTACTCTATTACATCATACATTAAATGTTTTTACAAATTCTGTAAGTATTCCTGTTCCTTGTTTTACTTGATTAACACTAAATGTTTGGTTTATTGTCAGTTTTATAAGGAAGTGTTGAACATTTAAGTCCCTTTAATAAATTTAGGGCAAAACTCAACCTTAAGCACCACTAACTACCAATCAGCGGATGACCTTGAATGCACCAATCGCATGAAGGAGACATTTTTGGGTATGAAATACATATATTTATGAAAAAAATGCACCAAAACTGTATGAATGTGTTACAGAGGATACCTTTCTCTCACATGCTAGGAAAACATTGCCCAGTTTATCATAGGAGTATCAATTGAAAAGTTACACCACATCCTATACATATATTAATTCATCTAAATGACTATAAATGACATCCTTTCGAGATCCATTAATGGCTCTAATCCTGTTTTTAACCTTCCCCAAAAGCCTTCGATAGAATTGGTGTGGGTCGTTGTAATGGGATCCACAAAATCATTAGAATGGATGACTTTGTGGTGAATATATCCAAGAGGATGACAGGAAGTTATAACCTTTCGTCTCTTCGGTGTGTATTATAGATCCTTGTTTCACAAGTCGAGTGATAATAGGTATTAAGGTGGTTGACTTTCTATCTGCTATCCTCTCGACGAATCCTTTTTACAGAGAGGTATCATATATTCCTAAGAAATATTAGAATCATCAGTATACCTTCCCTGACACTAACTTGTTTCATACAACGATGGACATAACCATCAATCAACCTGCTGAAGCTTTTTATACTCATGACACCTCTGCATGAAAAAAATCCTTTCGTTTCTAAGCTGCCTCACATCCAAGCAATACTAGGAAACCTTGTCCTCACCAAAGTGCAATTGTAACTGCGTTAGAGCAGGCATTTGACTCTAATCAAGCGGAATAGAAGCTTCAACTCACTTGAATTTCTCATCGCATCATTCAAGGTCAGTGGTGCGGTGCTCTGCATTGGCATTTACTGGTGCTTATAAATTTAACTTGGCCAAATTTAGATAGTGTTGTTATTTAAAAGACGGAGTTTATGTGAAAAATATTGTGATGTTGCATCTGTCCGATATAGTTTCGAACAACAATCTGATCACACATACATACATACTGATCAGATCATTTTATGTGAGGAAAAAATGAAATAAAAGGTCAAAGATAAACTGATATGGGATTTAAGAGTAAGTAGGATAATAACTGTGACACTACTTTTTTGTAATGTATCCAGATAAGGACTACGAAGGTAGGTTAAGGATGTAGCAATAAACTGCTTTTGTTCATACAGAGGAGGGAGCAACTAATTTCACCCTTCCTTCCTCTTAGATCTTCTGCAGTAGTGGGCAACAGCATAGTTGCTGTGGTCTTTGGGTCTGTTTTTGCAGTGCTTTTGAAGGAATTTCGCATAGTCCTACTTCCTTTCCGGCTTTCATTGGTCGGCTTTGTGTTGATCAACTCAAGAATGCTTTGAAGTAATCAACCTAGTGTTTTCTTTGTTGCTCCCCCTTGTTAAATGGGTCCCTTTCATTATCATCCATTGGTTTCATCTTTGTTGATCTCTTCCCGGATAGCGACCACCTGGTTATCTGAGGTCCCTTCTTACTTGTGACCTGTTGTGATTCAGTTGCCAGTGTTTCATAGAATTGTCTTTTGTCTTTCCTAGTAGGCTTCTTCATTTTTGTATTCAGTGCTCTGTAGATTGAACTCAGCTCCTTGCTTTCGTTGTCCATCTTGGTAATGGTTCATCCCGTGTTACACCATTCTTTTCCCCACTGTTAGCTTCCACGTATTCTTAGATACCCATTCCTTGTCTTGCCTCTTCTTTCTTCCCACAACGGTTATACAGGTTTCCTTCAATGTAACTTTCAGAGGGTTCTTGTGTTCCCAGACTCAGGTTTCATCGATGATGCTACATAATGTCTCCAACTTTTCCCTAGTGGCAGCAATAGAGGTATCTTTCTGTAGTTTTGTCTTTCAGTTTTTGAGCGTTGAACTTGAATTGTGGTCTGCCTCCAACTCTTTTGAAGACTTTCAGGGGGATCTTTGCATTAGTTAATGGTTTTATCTTTTTTTATCTTTTCCTTATCTCGATTTTGTGTCAAGCAGACCGCGTCTCCACTTTCTTGACATTGAGGTGAAGTCTATCTGATTTTTGCTACCATTTTGACTTTCGTACCAACCATTTGGATTGTGATATCGCCATTTGGAGTATTGTTCATTACTATTTGCAGTTGTGTACAGAGGTTTTCCTTCTTCTATTCTGAGTCTGCATTGTTAGTAAGGGCGTAGCGTTGGGTAATTGCAACTCTTTTTCCTTCTTTATCGGATCTTGCTTTCATTGTTCTATATTGGATTAGTTCCCACCTTATCAGATATGTGGATGCTGTTGGTGACATCATGATGGCCACTCTTTCAGTATGCTCGTGTTTGTCATCCGGATCCCCGCAGTAGATGATGATTAACTCTCCAGTTAACAATTTAGAGAGTCCACTTCCATTCCATGTGCCTTCACAGACTCCGAGCACATCTATGTCATATATTCTCTCCTCTTCGGCAATTTAAGCAGTCTTTCCAGCCAGTTTCAAATATCTTGCGAACATTCCAGGCCCCTACACTTAATTTTGCTTCTATTGAAAGAAGAAATATCGGTCGACTGACAACCCGAAGGCTTTCGCTAACTTGTGTCATTTCGTCTGTCCGATTCTAGCGAAGAAGGAGTTTATTCTTTCATATTTTTCTGTGCTTTACAGTTTATGTAGCTATTGGACTGATTTTCCAGGGTAGGGTCTCTAACCTGACACTCTCAGCTCACCCTATTTTTTTCTGGGCTAGTAACCGATATCCGTTGCACAAGAAGTGGTGGTTCTCATGGCCTAAGTGACCTACTGGTCCACATGGATAAAGCTTTGGCGTTTGAAACGATGGGTACTGGGTTCGAGGCTCAGTGGGAACACCACCATTCCCTCACTGGGGGATTGCAGGTACATCCAGATGATGAGTCCCAAATAGGACGAAATGTGCATCCTGGATGAATTCCACTGCTGGTCACTATCCATCAAATTATAGTGGATACGTTATGCACTATCACGTATCTACCACAGTGAAATAAGCTAAGTACTGTGTTATTTTAACCTTTGTTGATCTGGAGTAGTCTACTAGCTTTTTTGCCTTACAAAGTATGTAATATCACGTTTTGTTATTTTTATTTTACTTTTCAGCTTCAATATCATATGATTGTTGATATTGTTAATGATCTCCTCCTGTATGTGGAACCACAAAGAAAGGTAAGCAAATAATTTTATTGGTTAAATTGATATTTGTATTCTGATATATGGCGCTATTGAAAGTGGAAGGTGTGAAGAAGTTAGCTGTTTTTGTGTCATATCTCCCGTGTTAAGTGGCTGTAATATAGTGAGCCAGTATTGAATTTAGCCCCGGAGTGTTAGATAAGGAGCGGAAGTTAATCGATATGGCTGTGTTGAGGCTGTATTGATTGAGACGGGTAAGATATGTGTGTTAAGCATGCCAAGTCAAGCCATTTTGCTGGACTACCGTTCAATTTCATAATCACTATTAACTATGAAATTGGTCAAAGTTAAATAATGACACTTAGAGCATTTGTCAATCAGAATAAAATATAGACTTCATATTTATTGTCTCTAGAGTTTCTAGAAATCTTTTGTTGAATAGATGGAATGACTCTAGAAGTGTGTAAATATGGTGGCGGCAAACTGCTATCAACTTCAGCAGTACGCACCCACCGGGGTTCGAACCCAAGACCTTCTGGTTACAAGGCGAGCTCGTATACCATTAAGCCACTGGGACCCCATCCAATGGCCCATGAATTCTAACTTCTGCCAATTCACGACATAGCGCGACCCCTAGCCAATGTCTTCGGCGAGTATTTGTCCTCACACCCGAGCTGCTTGCACCCTACTGGTCACGACTTCCCACTGGAACCCCAGGTAACTACCTATCTGAAAACGGTCAGTCGCCAGTGAGCATCTCATTGATATTCAAGTATTGGTTTGTAGGGATTTGGTTGATTGGTTACAGGATTTCATCATGAGCTGACATTGGTTAGAGAACCATAGGAAAACCTGGGAGTACTCGAGAGCTGTTTCGTCCTAGTTTGGGACTCTGTAACCAATCAACCAAATCCCTACAAACCAATACTTGAAAACTGTTGTCTAGGTTAAGTAATGTCTGGGAATGAGAGATAGTTCCACTAGACTGGTTGGTGTAATTCACCGAGTATAGCAGTTTATAGGAAGGGAGACAAGTCTTCCTGGGATAATCATAGATGGGATAAGCTTGATTAATATAGTGTATCTAAAGTTTTAGGCTCAATAATCATGTTCATCAGACTAAGTAGGGCTTAGCAGAAACAAAGCGGGGAATAGTAGACAGGCCTTAGACCCGGAATAGGGTGTATTGATCATGTCTTCACCTTTTAACAGATTCTGGAACACTGGAATGTATACTGACGTCTAAAAAAGTGCGAAATTTCTTTGGATTGGATGTGGCATTTCACTTCCTCAACTACTAGGTGTTGTTTTTGATTGAACACTAGTCAGTGATTAGTGTAATGTGTCTAGTCCTATCTAAGGTGCAGACTGTATTATATCAGTCAAGTTTGCAATGTGGCCACCATGCTAGGTGGATCACTATCACGGTGCACTGTAAATTATTGGTATTAGATGGTTGGAAGCGATCGGCAGGATGCCTTGCTTGACCTAAGTTTCGTGCTAGTTGGCGTTCAACAACAAGAAACTCATTTCCCCTCTGAGATTCGAACCCGCGTCACTCAGTGCTGCAGTCAGAGATGTTACTACTGAGCTATTTGGGCTTGCGATTGACCTTCTGTAGGACTATATTGGATATTTTTGATTGGACACTAGTGAGTAACTAGTGTTAATGTGTCTAGTCCTGTCTTTGATGCAGACTGATTTCTATCAGTCAGGTTGTGGCAACAGTTGACCATGAAGGAACTGCTAAGAAGGTATATTGCACTTATCAAAGCACTTTGCATGAACTCGTGAAACTGTGGAATAGCTGCTTCTGTAGAGTTGTCGTTTGAAGTGATGACAAGCAGTGGTGTCCGTCATGGATGCCGGATGTCTCCATTTTTATTGAGTTTCAACATAGTTGTACTAAATGATTTGATTTTAGTCGACCTTCACTGCTTAAAGATGGAATTGTTGCTAGTGAATAGTTTCATCAGTTTAAAGTATGCAGATGATATCATCCTTTTAAGGGAAAGACACTAACAAAATACAGAGTCTTCTGAACACCTTCACCTTCTTTATTGGATTATGCTAGCTAAAATTAAAACTAGTTTGGAAAAGATTTAGGGATTGTCAAACCAAGACCTGATATTAATCCATGAAGTCTCTGGCTGTCGGTTTAAGCTACGTAGCGAGGTGTAGACTGACTGGTTGGAGTCCTGTAGACGCTGAGGATCAATAACTGTAGACTGTTTGTTGATTTCCCAGATCTGTGAAATTCTCATTAATTTCTATGTCCCATACATGTGTTCATTATCGTTTCTGTGTGTTTTTCCCTCTACGTCTATGTGTGCTTATGGAGTATCAACTGTCGAACATTTAAACTCAGTCATTTGGTTATTCTGCAGTAAAAGAGTTGAGTGTAGTTTTGACCTTTTTTAGGTTAGACATTTTAACCTTCTATCAACTAAGTTGACTGGGGTTTTACAACACCTCAAGGTAAAGAAGTTTGATCAGTCAGTCAGTCAGTCAGTCAGTCAGTCAGTCAGTCAGTCAGTCAGTCAGTCAGTCAGTCAGTCAGTCAGTCAGTCAGTCAGTCAGTCAGTCAGTCAGTCAGTCAGTCAGTCAGTCAGTCAGTCAGTCAGTCAGTCGGTCAGTCAGTCAGTCAGTCAGTCAGTCAGTCAGTCAGTCAGTCAGTCAGTCAGTCAGTCAGTCAGTCAGTCAGTCAGTCAGTCAGTCAGTCAGTTAGTCAACCAGTCAGTCAGTCTTTGTCACTTAAACCAACTTTGAACCGCATGTACCCCCTTTATTACCACTGTTGTTAACTTGACTTTCGCTCAAATTTTAGTTGAATTCTACTCAACCCCGTTAGTTGTATTACGTCACTCAGTTTACTTTTTACATTGCAAATGGTAAATCGTTGGTAATATTCCTTTTGTTGCTAAGAGAATTTACTGTATATGAATGTGTGGTTGTACAGCTTGAGAATGATATCGCCGAAAAGAGGAGTAACTCCTCACTGAACATCTGATCTTCTCAAATGACTCAACGGAGATTTTCAAGTTGAATAAATTTGTGATGAATTCCACTGAAATTCATTGAAATGAGATGGTGATTTAAACGATTGTAACAATTAAAACTGATCCTTAAGTTCATTCTAAAGGTTTTCCCTTGATTTCATTTTATTCTTTCATCTGCCTGCTTTTCGAGCGAAACACAATAGGGCTACAAGCCTTAAAATTCCTGTAGCGGTGATGCTGTTTTCACAGGATGGAGCCACTAGCCTCGCTCCCAACCTTCCCTCTTTTCTAGACCTATCAACATCTAGTGAACTAAGCGAGGTTTAGAAGTGCATTGACCGGGAATCGAACCGGGACTTCCCGCTGGATAACTAGTGCACAATTTGTATTATGCATCAATTTATTTTGTACATCTTATCCTAGGAGTATTATTATTATTCACGAATGGTTTCTTATTTTGTGTTGTTTCTCTAGGCTCAATCAGAACGTAATCGTGTCGCTTTTGGTTTAATGTCTGAATCACAAGTTCGATTAGCTATCCTACGTGATCAAGAGGCTTTGCGTCGAATGATATTAGATCAACGTCATTTAGAGCGTTATTTATGGTCATATGTTAGTCAAACAATGCAAGAATTAGGATTGAATACACCAATAGGTTATCCTAATTCTTTTCAATTTATAAATAATTATAGTAATAACAGTAGTAATAGTAATAATCCTATTCTATCCACAACAAAAACCTCTATGGATTCAACATTTTATGAAAGACGATCATCAAATATTACATTGAAATTAGTGAATTGTATTCAAGGGGCTAGGTGAGTTGTTGACGTTTCATTTCATCGTTATCATCATAATTATTACTTCAAGTTTGTTCACGGATTGATGTCAGTTAGAGACCCATTGAAAACTTGCAGCTATTTCGTCCCAGTTTGGGACTCTTCATTAGTATGAGCCAGGAGCGTTCCGGTTACAAGGCAAGCTGGAATAGCATTCAGTCACTGAGACCCGATCCAGTGGTTCATGAATTTCAACTTCCCTGATTGACATTAATCTGTGATCCACATTGAAACAAATCAATTCCCTACAAAGTAACTTTTCAAAACTAGTCTGATGCTCGCTGATGACTGGCTGGCCACATAGGACGAAGTTTCCTGGAATTCTAGTGAGAAGTTGTAACCAGTGGGGTCCATCCGGTCGGGAGTGAGGATAAATACTTGTCGCCGAATACACTGGCTGGTGGTCATGCTAAAATTATGAATTGTTATGGTTAGAATTCATGAGTTGGCCATTGAGTTCGATCCCAATGGCCTGACAGTCAACAACCTTCGCCTCGTCACTTGAGCAAATAATGTCCTCAAGTGTGAGGTTTTAGGGATTTAATCGATTTTTCTAGTTAGATCATGAATTGACTGAAATCAGTTAGAGAACCATTTAGGAAACAGGGAGTATTGGCCATCTATTTTGGTTCTAACTTGGGGATTTTTCGGCAGTGCGCACCCTTGACCCCAATGGGAATCGGACGTTGGACTTTCAGTTTATAGGTCCCATCATTTTGAATCCCTGCAAATTTGATATATATATATATATATATATATGGCGTCACCACCAACAAATGTCATCTGTGAGTATTTGTCTTAACACTCGAATTGGTGGACATCACTTTGGTGCTCGATCCCAGGAACTTCAGGTTACTGTGTGCGCGTGTTAACTATTCAGACACTTATGGGGAATTTAATGATCCAGTTCGCGATGTAGGACGCCACCATCAGCCTATCTGATTTCAATATTTACATAGCGTAGGTTCTAATGAATTTCTTTCACGTTGGTATGGGGTCATGAGTTATGATACATCTCTGTGCTTTTGACATACAGTGAAAAGAGATCGTTGAATGGTATCACATGTCAGACTGTTGAGTGGAACCTGAATGAGAAACGACAATGTGATTGGGAAGATTTGTAGCTCAGGTGGTTGATTTTGATGTAGTTGTGTTCTCTGAGCTGGATAGTCTATTCGCAAATTGACTATCCATCTCAGACTAACAACAAGTTGGAGGGTCATTTCAAGAGTAACATGGAGGAGATCGCATGCGGAGGAAATGAAAACTAACGGGCAACCGTGTTTAGCCAGCTGAAGAAGACTGCGAAGAGCAGAGTGAAATGAAGATGTGCTGTTGAAGACTGATCGATGCGTATCCAATGGAATAATAATAACAACGATAACTTTTTTATAGGACTCTACAGCTAATATTATTCTATGATATTTTTTTTAAATATGCGTCAAATTCAAAAATAGTCATATATGAAAGAAATAATTTGTTATGTCATATATGATTTCATTGTCAGTATTATCAACAAGATATTTAGGTGAAATCAAAGAAAAAATCTTTCCACCCTATTAGCCAACCAGAATTTAATCATGAACTATTATTCAATCAGAGTTTTATGCCACCGAAAATCCGCTTTCGCTGTTGCCAGGTAAGTCAACTCCTCAACTGACGAGTCTCAAAGCAGGACGAAGCATGCGTCCTGATCCTCACTGCCAGACATCATTAACGCTTTCTTTACGTCCTAGTCTATTAGACATCTGATTAGAAGTCATGTATATATGACTATATACATGTATATATATATATATATATATATATATTCCTTCACGTTCCCAGTGGAACATAGGGATTCAAGCTAGAGGCTTGAAGTTTCTGTAGCAGTGTTTATTTTTACAGGATGGGGTTGCTAGCCTCATGCCCAACCTTTCCTCTTGACCAGCTTTATTGCTGGCTTAACGAGGTAGAGGAGTGCGTCGGCCGAGGATCGAACCCCGGACCATGTGCATGGTCGGCGAGCATCCTGACCGCTGTGCCACCGACGCACATTTATATATATATATATAGGTTTATTAATTGTGTAATGAATGGAATTCTACGCGGAAGCAACTGTAGGATTACTAAATCACTTGTTTGGGACATAGAGCTTCAACAGTAGGTATCCATTTTGACGCGTTCCTTGCAGTCCTCTTCCACTGGTTCCATGGCTGCTCATAAGCTTTCATCTCCTCCTCATACGATCTCCTCCATATCGCCGTTGGCTGTCCAACTTGTCGTTTCTCATTCGGGTTCCCCTCTGTTAATTGTCTGCCGGATGATGTTATTCGACAGTCTCCTCAGCGTTTGTGTTTGATCCATCTCCATTTCCTAGTGCATATTTATTCAGCAATAGGTTATTGACTGGTCTGTTCTCATAGTTCCTTGTTACCGATTCTTTCTGGCCGCTTTGGTCTTCAGTATAGAGCCAGCGAGCGAGCCAGCAGCTGTTAATAAAAATATGTAGTAACCTGTTGGAAATGCTTTCCCTGACGCACAGTGCAAATTCTTAACTCGTATAGAAGAACATTATTATTGTTGTTGGGAATCGGAATTTTTCTTTTTCCTTATGCTTACACTGCAGGAGATTTCCAGCGAAAAATACATTTTTTTTGTATAATTTGTTGTGCCTTGAAGTTTCTTTAGCGATTGTTGATTTTCTGGGTTTGGGGTTGTTAGCCCCGAAGTTCCACCCTTCTGTCTTTTCTTGGGCTTAGGGACCGACTACAAAACTAGGGAACTAGTAAACTAGGCGAGACTAATGTTGAAATGTGAGATGTGAATTGCCTAGAAATTAAAAAGTGCCCTATATCGATAAATCACATTTTCATCTTATGAAGTAGAGTAGGATAAATCGTCTCTCTCTCTCTCTTGAAGAATTTCTCTCCTTAGATTATAAGTTTTATAGGGATTCGCATTAATCTCACTGGAGATTTTTCCGCGAAACAACGCTATTTAAAGAATGCGTGAAAAGCAGGGAGTCTGTCTGTTTTCGACATAAAACTTTGCACATATGTTCGGCAGTTCAAGTCGCCACTCTCCCTGCATGTAGCACACAAAGGAAGAGAAGAAATTAGAAGAACTGCATAATATAGACAGTAAACAGAGGTGTGAGACAAAGGAATAGTAATAACGGAGAACGAAACAGTTTAATTGGAAATCATAAGTCACAAGGAGTGGATGCATCTGCGCTAGCCAGTGAGAACGATTTTGAGCTAGACATGTCACCAATCATTTCCAACCATTGGTTTTTACCGTAACGAGGACCCCAACCAGGAAGTCTACATCTTCCTGCGTGGCTTAGACTAACTGTTGTAGATTTCACTGACTGGTGCCATGTTTTAGTTTGACCGCCTCTAGCTCTTTTCCAGCTTGACCCTATGTCAGCTAACATTGCCCATTGTCGAGGAAGGCGATGACTAGGCATACGTAACACATGTCCTAACCACCTCAGTCGATGTAATTTGACAGTCTCGTCGATTAATTTCCCCTCCTTACCCAGCACTCCACCCACGCCTAACTTCAATATTGCTCACCTTATTATACCACTTCACACGGGAGATAGAACGCAGACACCTATGATCAAAGATAACTAGCTGGTCTTTTCATGTCTTCCACTTTCAATGGCCAGGTCTCACAGCCATAAAGGAGGACGGAGTGGACTGCTGAGCAGTGCACACGCCCTTTGGTCGATAGTCGGATATCACGCCTCCGCCAGAGACGGTGTAAACTGGCATATGCGAAACTAGCCCTCTGTATCCGTACTGAGATTTCGTCAGAGATCAACTCGTTGAAACCGGCTGATGGTACTTCCCAAGTAAGTGAAGCGGTCAACGTGCCCTACCACTTCACTTCCTATTTCTAATCTAGGAGTCGGTGTAGTCCAATCGTGCAACATCATCTTACATTTTACAGGGACGAATCACATGCCAAACATACGAAGATTGCTGCTCAAGGTGTTCAGAAGACTCTGCATTTTGTCAGCGTCCTCGCCTAGAAGGACTATATCGTCTGCATATTCTAAGTCAACGAGATTATTCCCTGGTAGCGAGTCAATCCCTGAATCGCTGAAGGGAGTAGGAGGGAGTACTGGGCGGCGGTGCTCATCCACAAGTTAAGTCCTTCGTTAGGTCATCCGTGCGTGCTGATGAAGAGTCCAAAAACTCGGACGAAACAGTTGCCCAATGCTCCCAGGTTTTCAGTGGTTCCATCTGATTGATTTCGTGCTATTATAACGAAAGCTTCATTGAAATCAACCCTCTCCCTACCCTTTAGATTTAAGTTACTGGGTAAATAAGTGTGTATATGCTCAAATCATGGAAAGTTTCACTGTTATAATGTGAGAATAATGCTAATGTTTTTTAAAAATATATTCTCTGTTCTCTCTTGCCGAAAACGGAAAAAAACATATATGCCTATGTATACAGACATTTAGAGACTCAAATCAACACACTGAAGTCAAGTATCATCGATTTGAATGCCATTCTATCACAACGTTTAGCGCATTATCAACAATTACAAATACAAGCTCAACGTCGTCATATACGCAAAGCAATGTCATTTAAACGTCATCCAGTACAATCTACAGCATCATCGTCATCATCGTTCACCGGTGATTTTCCTCTTCCTCCAACAACAGTGGCGGCGACTACTGTAGCTAGCGGTTTCAGTGGATCAGGTGTTGGCAATCTTAGTTTAATACCGAAGCAATGTAAGTTTTTTTTTCATTTTTAATAATTGTGATTTTATTTTTTTGGTGGTTAATAGGCATATTTTCGAATGAGTTCACATGTGTTTTTGTAATTTTCGGTATTCTGTCTTCCCAGACACACATAATACCTTACTTACTTCACTTTACTTCGGCTATCTCCTACGGGAAGATGAGCCGGCTTCATGAACATCTCGAGTCATCGCTGCCCAGGCGTGGCGATCTGATGCAAGGTTTTGCGACAGGGTTATCCAATTCTTGTTCCATAGACGGAGTCCGTAGAGGGTTTGTAGTCCCAGGCACTCCACATCAGCCTTGACTGTACCAAGCCATGTTTTCAGCTGTCCACCCCTGCGACATCGCCAAGATGGTAATGGCGAGGGATTTAGAACTGATTTGACCAGATCGTCATCTGGTCGGCGCAGAACATGGCCAAACCACCGAAGGCGACGTTGTTGGACCAGTACTGGAATTTGGTTGATGTTGTAGCAACGACGACGCACTTTGTAAGAGAGTCCATGAAGTTTCATGGGAATTTGGTACGAGTGATGTCCCCAGAATCGCTCGGCCTTTTGTTTGAAAGTGCAGCTCTAGCCTTTACACAACCAAGTGTGACCTACAAGGCAGTAGGAGTGGAATAGGGAGTCCACTATCCATTGGCAGCCGGTGACCGGAGTTCGGTTCATACGCCTTTTTGAATGGGGCCAGACATTCAGGACATCCAACAAGCCCTTTGTCCATACGTCTGCCGGTGAGCTCCAGTGAGCTTCATACGCCAGTCGTTGGAGGTTTGGAATCAGGGTTTAGCCATCTCCCCTAGACTGTCATCCAATGGACAGTCAACCCGGTGAAGAGCGCCGGGCATCTGCTTTCGCCCTCTCACTTTGGCGAAAAACACCTCCGCCACGTGAAGGCAGTGAGTAGGACTTCCTCAGGAGAGGCTATGTAAGACGCCCGGTCATATGGGAGCATTTCAAGAGGTGTTCGGAGGGGTGGCCAACCCGCAGCGCAAGGCACCCACCACCGACCATCCTGAGGCTTTGGTTCATTGGTTTATTATGCTGTCAACTTTCTCCAGTGTGTGTAAAAGGGTGAACTGCGTTGCAGTAGTACTGGTATTAGTAGTATCATTAGCCCTCACACACAATATGTGTAGTGCATATAGCCTGGCTGGTTGTGTTTAGCCACAGATTTTTATGTTCTATCTCTTGTAGTAAGTTGTACAATTTTGAGGTCAGGCGTGTAGATGTTGTGAAGCTACATCGATTGAGATGAATAGGACGTGTGTTGCGTGTGCTAAACCCCCACCTTCCTCAACGAGCCATGTTAGCTGACATAGTGTTGGGTTAGAAAAGAGTCGGCAGTTGTCAAACTGAGACCTGCCGTCAACCTATGAAGTCTTTGACAGTTGATTTGAGCCAGGCTACAGACGGAGCTGTGTAGACTTTCTGGTTAGGGTCGCCGAGATGATAAGAACCAATGACTTGAGACTTTTACTAACACGGCTCGAAACCGGTTCACTCTCTGTAATCTCTGATATCCATTAAACCCTCCTGTTTTTGCATGTTAACATTCTCTCTCTTTCTCGTACATTTCTGCCCATTATTGCTCTTTTGACTCTCTTTCCTCCACATTTTGGTGTGCTAACCTGAGTATGGCTACTGGAACTGCTTGTACACTTCTGTGCGGAATTCTATTCTTGAAGCTCAGTCAGGCAACGTACAGCCTGGTACATGGAAAATATGCAGTGGGTAAGTGAGTCCTAACTAGGTAGAGAAGTTGGTTTAAGAAAGTCATAGGCATTTGAATTGAAATGTGATCAATAAAACATGTAGGATCAGAGTTCAGGCATGTGATATAATGAATAACAATCGAGGTGACCATGTGGTGAGAGCTGTCTGCTAGCCAAAATTGTAGACAACAATTTACGTCAATGTTTACGTCCCGAATCGGAGTCATGAGAAAAAGAAGTAACAAAGCTTAACCTTGAGAAACTCACCAACCAATCACAGCAGACTTAACGTGTGCAAAGATGATTCACAGATATATGGCCTGACTTTCTAAGAAACGGCCACACAGAAATGAGAGAATAACCTTCAGCAAGAAAGCAACCAATTAGAAGACTTTGCTTCTCTGCTAACAATAACGAATAATAATATAAATAAAAATTAATAAATATCTGTTGATTTTCTGAATAAACTATCTGTTGCCTAGCCATTATCTTCTGTCTTTACGACCATACTAATAATGATAATAACAAGATAAATTCATTCAAGTGTCTATATGATCTAGGCAACAGTGAGTGTATGGATAGAATGTGCATACTTGTAGGGGTAGAGGGGGAAATAACTAATGTCACATAGCGATTAGATAATATATATATATATACATATTAGCCCCTAAATAACTATACGAGGAGATAAGGTCTCTTCGCTGACATACGTATTCTCATTTAGATGAAATGGAAAGACACATTGTCATTACTAATGCGTATGACTTCAGCAGGTTTTAAAGAATAAAACTACTCCCCCCTTCCTCCCTCTCATTGTCACTTTTTTTTTTTACCATGTACGGATTCACTGTTTGAATATGTTTGCATTTTTCCTTCTCCACATCCCCCCACCTTTCTGCTTTTAGCTACAGAAGATTTCAATCGATATTCTCAATTAAGCGCTGATTCTGACTCGTATCTACCTGCCAACAGCAGCAATAATAATAATAATCCTAGCAGCGGTAGTGGGTTAATTGCTGGTCGAGGAAATCTACGTCGTGCATCATCAACAGACTATTTAATTCATACAAATATTATTGGTAATAACAATAGTACAAATATTAATTTGAATCAAAATCAATCTGTTACAGAGTCGATTTTATCTGAGAATGTCAATAAATCGATTGATAATGGTGGTAGTAAACCAGCTGAAGTGGTTAGACGAAGTGAGGTAGGTAACTTTTTAATTCTCTCTTTTTGTCTGATTGTTAATTTATTTAGTAGTAATATTCGAACTACTTATAAGTAGATTAAAACTATGTTTCTGATATGAACGTTAATACACTTGTGTTCAAGTATTGGTTTGTAGGGATTTGATTGATTGGTTACAGGATTTCATCATGAGCTGACATTGGTTAGAGAACAATTGGAAAACCTGCAGGGAGTACTGGACAGCTGTTTCGTCAGCTCATGATGAGATCCTGTAACCAATCAATCAAATCCCTACAAACCAATACTTGAATATCAATGAGATGCTCAATTGCGACTGACCCTATTCAGGTAGGTAGTTACCTGGGGTTCTAGTGGGAAGTCGTGACCAGTAGGGTGCAGCAGGTCAAGTGTGAGGAGAAATACTCGTCGAAGACATTGGCTAGTGGTTTCGCTATGTCGTGAATTGGCAGAAGTTAGAATTCATGGGCCATTGGATTGGCGGATCCGAGTGGCTTAATGGTCTATCAGCTCCCCTTGTAATCAGAATATCCTGACGCCGCAGTGTGGATGCGTACTGATGAAGAGTCCAAAACTAGGACGAAGCGGCTGTCCAGTACTCTCTGGTGGTTTTCCAATGGTTCTCTAACCAATGTCAGCTCATGATGAGATCCTGTAACCAATACGCTTGTGGTTGCTCTGACGAATTTCCTATCTAGTCGATTCGCAAGCCTATTGTTCTAACCACTGTTAGCAACAACGACAACAACACGATCGATGCCACCGAAAACGCGACAAAAGAAGACAAGAACACAGACTGTTGACGTGGAGAGGTGTCACTATCTCATATCAACAGCGAGAATGATTGACAATACTTATCACCAATAGCATAGTTTAATTACTGAACAATAATGATATTATTAAAACGCAAACTTCACATATTATAGGCACCATTGGATACGCCACCCAAAATCTCACAGTGTATGCTAGGGCTGATATACTGTCCAGATTCCCAGACCGAAGCATTTGGTTGTCTAAAGGGGACCATGTCTCACCCGGGCCTTTGATTTGGTGTCTGATCCGCAAGATAGGGTTCATATGATTCAATTAGGTTCATGCACCATTCATTCCTTTGGGATTCTGGAGTCCATGTACACTCTATGTTTGGAATCAGGGTATTGCAGTTCCTTTAAGTAGACCTCTATGTTCACAAGTCTGGTTGTAATCACGAGGCATTTCTATTCCTCGCCTCATTAAGGCAGTGAAATGGACAAACGTTACTTAAATTTTTTCAAAACAACTCTTCGTCAGTACGTAAACATCACCCAATCCACACGGGATCGAATCTAAAGCCTTCTGGTTACGATACGAGCATGTTAACCATTCAGGTACTAAGGCGCAATCCAATGTTCGGATGATGAATTCTAACTTCTGCCAATTTGCAATATTTAGAGTAAATGCCACTGGTAACCCTGAAGGTCATGACTTCCCACTGGAACTGAAAGAAACTTCATTCTAGGGTCAGTTATTAGTGAATATTAAAATGTGTTTTAAGTGTTGCTTTGTAGGTATTTGATTGATTTCAAGTTTGTTCAAGGACCTGTGGGTATCAGGAAAAAACACTGTTCCCATCGCATACATCATGGATGAGGACATCAGAGTTATCGAAGATCAGAAAAGCCAGACAAACGTTCATTACGCTGAATAAAATCGATGTGGAAATGGACAGCACTATGCATAATGAATAAGATCTTAATTTTTAACAGTCTCTGTCTGTCTCTCTGTCTGGATTCAACATAGAACTTGGCACCGAAGTGCAGCAGTTCGAGTTGCCACGTTCCAAATAGCACACAAAGGTAGACAAGAAGATGAGTGAAAAGAATCAATAGAGTTTTGACGAGTATAAGAGTGAAACAGAATGAGTAATGGTAGAAAGGAATATGAAAGATTACAGAGACTGAATACATCTGCGTAAGCCATTGACAACGATTTTGAGCCATGTCACCTATTGTCTCCAGCCATTGATTCTTAGAGTCCCGAGGGCCCCGACCCGGAGGTCTGCATCTCAATTTTAATTTTTTTTAAATTTTTGATTACAGCTTGATTCCACACCGTATTTTTGGTACAGGTATGGAATTTTCAGCATGTGATATCGGTAGCCCAAATTTTGCAGGCCGACCATAGATATCGGGTATGCGTTGGCAGGTGATTGAACCCCCGACCATGTTCATGGTCGGCGAGAGTACTAACCACTGTGCCACCGACTCACATTTTTTAACAGTATTGTCAAGTCAATGTTTCATGTGGTTCAGAAGCTCAGTGTGTGCGTTACGAAAGGTATTTTGAACAGGTTGTACACCTTCATCAACACTTACCCACTTCGCTCCGTACTGAAGATCAGGTGACAGCCTCCGGCTAGAAAAGGACAAGCAACAAGGAACTCTGACAGACAGCAAACGAACCAACAACTTATTATCCAACAAATAAGCACAAGGAAATAGAGGCGGACTGAATGGATATAAGTTGGAGAGACAATGAAGTGGTATCAAGTGCCAGGCCCTAGATTACAGCCGGAGCGAAAAGCAATGAGTTGAGTGTGTGTGTGTGACATGTAGGATATTGTGCCAGTTGGAGATGAAGGCTTTTCATCGATCGTGGAGCCAGCTAAAAGCGATAGTGGAGAACTAAATGCAGTGGATATGTGCCGCTGAAGCTTGGTGTTCCACTCGGAAAGCATAACACGAATAATAATAATAATAATAACAGAATTCTTCTGTTAAAAAATACTATTGAGCATAATCTATTGCTCCATTAAAAGTCTTCTCTTATCTCTTAATTCAAGGTTTGTTTTGAACATGCAAGATGGCGTATGACTGAGCATGATGGACAAATTGGTTTAGCTGATGTTGAATTACGCGGTTTCATTTATACAAAAATTAATCGTCAAGATGATTCTGGTTCACATCGTTTAGAATTAGGCTGGATACGCGTGTCTAGTCTAGCACCGAATTCTTTCTATAAAGTGAGTTCGACTTCGTTGTTTCTTCTTTTTTTTTTAAAAATTTCCTTGAGTTCTGACTAGAACTGTAAGTCTTCAAGTTTCGACGTTTTTTGTAACGGTGGAACTGCTTGTCTCACACCCCAGACCTTAATTCTTTACAGGCTTAATTTTGGCTAGTATTAGCTATATAGCATATACTATCGTTAGTACAGAACATATAAAAGCTGGATGTTTGATGAGCTGTATTACTCAGTCGATTTGCAGCCAACCAGGTTCCAGACGTGGACCTGGTCTCTCATCTACTAAGATTGTGGCAGCCAGATGGTTGTGTCGTCGCCAGTCCCCCTCACATACCAAAAATATATATCCCATTGTAAACTCCAAGCGGTTGAACTGAGTAGTAGCTGATGGGTTTCTATTTAAAGTTGTTGGATGCTATTTTTTCCCGCACATCCACTCTTACCCTGTTGTGTTCATGAAATTTTAAAATATTTCTTATTGGTATATATTTTATGCCACCTATTTTGGAAGCATCGTTTTAACTACAGGCAGTTGGACAGCACGGATGTTTGTTTTTTTTGTTTGTTTTGATTACAGCTTGATTCCACACCGTATCTTTCTGGTACAGGTATGGAATTTTCAGCATGTGATGTCGGTAGCCCAAATTTTGCAGGCCGACCATAGATATCAGGTGGGCGTCGGCGGGGGATCGAACCCCGGACCATGTGCATGGTCGGCGAGAGTCCTAAACACTGTGCGACCGACGTAGATATCAAAGCCATCAAGCTATCCAGAATTGGAAAGGTAAGATACGCCCTCATCAACCTGAAACCAGTTTGGAAACCAGTCTGTCGCACTCAGCCAGCGTAAAGAACAAGATTCGGATTTTCAACACAAATGTGAAGTCAGTCAGCCAGATCTTGTTTACGGGTTAGAAACTTAGCCAGCGTGTCACCTAAAAGGATTACCACCAGCCTGTTACAGACTTTTATCAACAACTGTCTCCTTCTCTAACTGGCTCCATACTGAAGATCAAATGACTGGCCGGCTGGCCGGCCAGAAACAATTAGCAACAAGAAAGTCTGCAGTGGAACAAACCAATAGGTGAGAGCCGATTGCTCAATAAATAGGTAGGAGAAAATGGAGATGGATTGATTGGACATGTACGCCACTGAGGAGGCCGTCGAATGACATCGTGCGCAATGCAGGCCATCGCTGGAGTGGAATCTTAATGGGGAAGGACGAGTTGGTCGTTGGTGAGAGGGTGACATGGAGGAAATCGTGTGAGTTGGAGGAGGAAATGAGAGACTATGGACAATTGTGGAACTAGTCGGCTGAAGAGGACAGCAGAGAATTGAAGAAAGTGAAGATGTGTTGTTGAAGCTAGCCGTATATTCCACTTCAAACCAAAGGGAATAATAATAATAATAATAATAATAATAATAAATGCCACCCATTTTGTAATACTTCCTTCATAAATTCTTTAAAGAAATTTTGTACAAAGTTTCATCTTTTTTTTTGTATCCTCTCATAGGAAGTTTTAGCACCTGATGTTTCTGGTGGACGATATGCTGGAGGACCTATACTACGCATTGCGTGTTCTGCTTTAGCACCTGTCGGTGGAATATCTGTCAAGGAAGCTATGGAAATCAGCGTTGCACCGATTGTACTTCAGGTAAATAAAAACTATTCCTTGTTTTCCCAGTGGAGCATCCATCCATCCATACATAGGGCTTAAAGATTTGAAGTTTTAATAGCGCGCCAGTATTACTTTTGTTACTCGGTAGGACTTGCTAGTTTCATGTACAATCTTTCCTCTATTCCAGGTAATATGATAACAGCTAGTACATCATCCGTCGGGAATTTAACCTGAAGGTTCTGCATGGTTAACGGACTTAGGTTTTCGTGCTGGGGAATATTTACCCCGTGTGCCTAGATAAACACCATTCACAATTTGGATAATTAGACCATCTAGTCCTTTTCTATCATCTGTTGGGTATCGAACATATTCCCAACTGGCTCTAGATATCGAACACTCCAAAAACCAGAGCAGAGGTCACTGCAATTCCCTTAAAATAAGCAGAGCTTTGAGTACAAAAAGAAATAGGTTATTTCCAACCAATATTGTTATCCTGGCCTTCTGTGGAACCTAAAACCTCATGAATTCTGTATTATTATTTTTCTTAATTCATCTCATATTCATTTCAGTGTGTCTGTTATCACTTGCTTTTGAAATGCCTGATGACTCGATGTTGAGTTAAAAACATTAATTTTTTTAGTAGCAATAATTCTTTAGTTATTATGGATACATATAGCTTTAGAACCAACCTTAAGAAAAGGTAGTTATCGAAAATGTAAATATTATTTGTTCACTACCACTGTGGTGTGAATGCTACTTATAATCCGATATAAGTAGTATATCAGAAACGAATTCAGAAAAGTAACAATATGTTTGGCGCACTGCAAAGAGCAATCAAAGAAGAGAACCATGAGAAGAATGTTGCCATATGATGCAGAATCCACGAAGCTATCGAATCAGACGATATTCGACCAATTCGTCAAGGATGTGGTAAATGATGTGCAAATGGCAGGTTGAAAATATGGTATACCAAATTTACCTATGTACAATACGTTTCACCAAATAAACATCCCTTTCAGCCTCCTCGGTCCTTTCTCCTTTACACTACTACTACAATTACTACTCAGTCTTTTGGTAGATAGTAGGAATCTTTAATTATATAATGTTAGGATGGGCAAACTTGTAGTTTGTTAACCAATGTAATCATGATTTATGCATGTACTGATATGATAACCTGATTGGACAGTTTTTGATTCGTTTATTTATGGCTTAAATTTCTGACATGTATGTATGTATTTTGTCTAATAAAGAAAGCTTTACATAAAACTGTGTACCACTGATTGACTGTGATGAGTAGTTGTTTACCAATCATATGAACTAAGTAGTGCTTGCTAGCCAGCCACATCGAGGTGATCTGAATACCGGACGACCGCTTCAACTGTTTGGGGCGGAGCTCATCGGCGGTTTACTCAGTTTGACTCAGTTCATACACTCGAAATAGTTCAAAGCACCTAATTTCTGACTAGCTACTTCAGCGAACTGGCTAGTTTGAACTGATTTCACTCTCTGAGCTTAGTCAAACCGACGACTACACTGTCGATAAGCTTGGCCTCAAACGAATGAAACGACTGTGTCCAGTGTACTTTCTAACTGGCTACTAACTAGTGTCGTGTGTGTAGTCCTTTTGTTCACTGCAAACTGAATTCTATCAGTCTTGCTGACGAGTGCCGAAAAGCACGAAACCTAGGTCCAAAGCTTCGTGCCCATTGTCCCCCAATCATCTAATAACGATTGTCCAGTGTATTAAAATCACTACAGTATGGCTGGCCGTGTGTCGGTGGCATAGCGGTTAGCACGCTCGCCGACCATGCACATGGTCGGGGGTTCGACTCCCAGCCGACACACTCCTTTACTTCGCTAGGCCAGAAGTAAAGCTGGTAAAGAGGAAAGGTTGGCATGTGGCTAGCAACTCCATCCTGTAAAAATAAACACTGCTACAGAAACTTCAAGCCTCTAGCTTGAAGCCCTATGTTACATTGGGAACGTGAAGGAATAAAAAGAGAAAGTATGGCTGGCCAGCGAACACTACTTGTTGATATGAGTACTATACAACTTCCCATCTCAATCAACCAGCAGTATATAGTTTTATACAAATATACTTGGTTTTTTGATTCATAGCATCATTAGATCTTATATTGCGATCTGGATAATTTCGGTTCCTAAAAAGACGCTGTGGTGAAAATTTCATCTCGAAATGTGTAAATTGCAAAGTGTGAATTTGAACTAATAAAGACTGTTGTTGTTGTTGTGTTTGTCGTTCCAGTTGTCCTTTTTTCCTGATGTGGTTGTTATGTCTATCTCAGTGTGGACTATTTAGGTATTTCCAGGTAATCAGTTAGTCATTGTATCGTGTCTGGAAGCGCATTTTTAATCGAGTTATAACCGTCACTACAATCCAGTAAGACCCCGTCAAAGCATATTTTAGCGTCAGGGTCATCATAATGTGTTTCTTGTTTTATTGATTCAGTTTCACTTCTAACCAAATCTTATTGAACAGTATCGTTTATTACACGCGTATCTGCCTGTGTCCGTGTCAGTGTCCGTGTGTGTGTACTTCGCTTGCTATGGATGATGAAATCTGGCCTCTTTTTTGAAATGTTTCTTCTACTCATCGTCCTTGATACATAGACTTAGTTTTCTACATATACTTTTACATATCTGTTTGAATTTCTCTCGCACCACTCATGACTTTGAAATTCTATTGGTTGCTGACTGTTTTGATTTGTCAATGCGATTTGTGCCTCTCAAAGTCATTTAAAGGCGTGTATGTATGCATACATATTTATGCAAGCATTGTTAATCATTCTCGCTGTTGATGCGAGTCAGTCAAAGCTCAACACGTCAACAGTCAGACTTCTCATCTTGTCGAGGAGATGCCTAGCGATGCCAATGTTTAGAGCATTTGTTCCCTTTAGACGTAAGCTTTTTGGTACATGTTCAGAAAATCTAAGATATGCCCTTCTTTCTGTCCTTCCAATATAACTGCTCCCGCAGATGCATGTAAATTTGTATATACAGTTGTGGTTAACATGAGAAGGATATCTATCGATTTTTGTTTGCACCAAAGATGTCTTTGCTCTGTAAGCAGCTGACGAGAAGGTGACGAAATCAAAGATGGTACCACTTTATTCTGCTAAAACTGTAGTTTTTGCTTTGTTCAAATTCATTAAGGGGAATAAATGTGTGAAGTGTCATATCAGTTCTGTTTATGTTTGTTGTTTTTTCTCTGTTTTCTTAGATGAGTAAACAATTCTATCGTATAATGATGCCATTTTTCTTCCCTGAAAAATCTGAGGAATCAAATACAACAACGACAACAACAGGAGCAGCAACAACTTCTACTACTGCTACTAGTAGTACTCATACTTCCGCTCCTACAACTTCAATAAATAGTTCTATGAATAACCGTCCAATTATACTATCCAATCAAATGAATGGTTAGTTGATATTTGTTTAAATGAATTGATTCTAACTCGGCCTCCTCAGTCAAGTTAAACTTTAAGCACCACTAACTACCAATCAGCGAATGACCTAGAATGGTCCACCAATGAGTTTCATCCACATGAGTTGAAGCTTATATTCCGCTTGATTCGAGTCAAATACCTGCTCTAATGCAGTTGCGTTTGCAGTTCAGTTTGCTGAGGATCAACTCTTCTACTGTTGCTTAGATGTCAGGTTGATTAGGAAAAAAAAGATTTTTTTCATATGGAGGTGTGATGGCCATAAAAAGCTTCAGCAGGTCAGTTGATGGATATGTGCATCGTTGTGCAATTTGTTTGAAACGAGTTAGTGTTAGAGAAGGCAAGCTGATGATACTAATATTTCATAGGAACATTTTTTACCAGGTCCCACCTGTCCTTAACGTAGATTTTGTATTTAATTGAATTTTAGATTTTCCCGTCGATTGATTGGACCGAAGTGCTCGGTCAATCGACGGGAAAATCTAAAATTCAACTAAATTAATATGACCCGTTGTACTAGAGGTGACTCTCGTGGCCCAAGTGGTCTAGTGGATAACGCTTTGGCGTTTGAAACTATGGGCATTGGGTTCGAGCCTCGGTGGGAACATCATCACTCACTGAGAAATGCAGGTACATCCAAATGACGAGTCCCAAATAGGACGAAATGCGCATCCTGGATTCCACTGCTAGTCACCATCCACCAATTAAATACTAGATTTTGTATGTTTGTAATTAATGGGTTTTAAAACAGCCTGTGAGTGGTGAAGCTGCTGAAACTGGAAATAGTCTCGTATCAACAGTTCAGTGGTACCAGCACTGCAGAGATATGGCGTCATGAAACATGGGGAGACTTCCTTTGTTATTGGGAGAAGAAGGTGTCATCGTACACGTGGATGAAACTGTCTTATTGAAGAAAAAATACATCGTGTTTGTGAGCGAGCAACCAATGTTTATGTGATTGGCTTGTGTGACACACCCCTACAAAAAGGATTCGTCGAGAGGATGGAAGACAGAAAGTCAACTACCTTAATGCCTATTATCACTCGACTTGTGAAACAAGGATCTATAATACACACACATGAGTGGAAAGGTTATAACTTCCTGTCATCCCTTGGATATATTCATCACGAAGTCATCCATTCTAATGATTTTGTGGATCCCATTACAGTGGCATACACCAATTCTATCAAAGGCTTTTGAGGAAGGTTGAAAAACAGGATTAGAGCCATTATTGGATCTCAAACGGGGTCATTTATAGTTATTTAGATGAATATATGTGTAGGATGTGTCGTAACATTCCAATTGATACTCCTATGCTAAACTGGGAGATGTTTTTATCACATGTGAGAGAAAGCTATTTTAAGTAATACTTTTATACAATTTTTATGCACTTTTTTTTTCATAAATATATGTATTCTATGCCCAAAAATGCCTCCTCCATGCGACTGGTGCGTTCAAAGTCATTTGGTGATTGGTTGTAGTTAGTGGTGCTTAAAGTTTAACTTTACCGCTTAACTCAGTCTTTCTCATACCTAATCTAAAACTTACCAGATATCCCGTTTAATATTACAGCACTTCATTAAACATATTTTGTTCATGAATATGATAATATTAACCTCCTGGTTTCACAAACTTACTGGCCGAACATTCCGAGGTCATTGGTGTGGTCTCACCCCATCGGTGTGTAAAGTTTAGCTTTGTCATCAACTCTAATGTGTAGGTTTTATCGAACTCATACCAACGCATACCATCCAATCTTTCCAACGTGGGATGGAGAGTAGGCGGATAAGTTCGCCTAAAATTGATGATTTCACTATGATAACTGAGGCAAATTTTAGTCTCTAGAGAGCTAGGGAGGTTTAGAATTGCCAACTAGTTTAAAAATTTTTTAGTTCAGGTTCTTTCTTTATTCAAGTATTGGTGTGTAGGGATTTGGTTGATTGGTTACAGGATTTCATCATGAGCTGACATTGGTTAGAGAACCATTGGAAAACCTGCAAGGAGTATTGGACAGCTGTTTCGTCCTGGCTTGAGACTCTTCAGTAGAACCCCGGTGGGTGTTACCGGGGTTTGAACCCAGGACCATCTGGTTACAAGGTAAGCTAGCTCGTAGACCCTTAAGCCACTGGGACCCGATCCAATGACCAACCAATGAATTCTAACTTCTGCCAATTCACGATATGGCGAAACCGCTAGCCAATGTCTTCGGTGGCGAGTGTTTGTCCTCACACCCGACCTACTGCAGCCTACTGGTCACGACTTCCCACTAGAACCCCACGTAAAACTACCTACCTGAATAGGGTCAGTCGCCAGTGAGCATCTCATTGATATTCAAGTTGTCTAAATGCCGCTGCTGCTTAATGCCAGAGGTATCTATTTATTTATTTACTTATGCATTTGTTTTTTGTTTCTTTTTAAGACGCACTAACCACCAATACTGGTTTAATGATCAATCCGTCTGGATCATCACAACAATTTATGAATTTATTACAGTATGAATGTATGAATTCAAATGCATTGAGTGGTGGGGGCGCTGGTGTAGGTGTTGGTGTTGGTGTGGGCAGTAGTGATAGTTCATTTCATCCTTTAGAATCAACTCCAGATACACAGCGTAAGTTTTTGTATACCTATTTGCAAAGATAAATGTTTACCTTTTGATATGGTGTTGTGTTCTCTGAGCTAACTAACCTTGGCTAGTTTATACCAGTTCGCTAGAGTTTTCTAGCCTGTCTCAAGCCTGGGTAAAGAAGATGGAGGGTTGGTCGTGGGGCTGCAGTGACCCTACCCCACAAAACCAATAAAACTGCTACAGAAACTTCGACGCACAAGAAAAATATTTAAAAATACAAAGAATATAAACAAACTGGAATCAGAGAGGTGAAATGATACAACGGGCTGGTGAAATCCTTCGTGAAGCCAGTTAGCCAGCCGATGTGTGTGTCTTCTTCCCTCGAGAAAAGGAAGAGTAAGAATGGGTACGTGGAATGTGCGTACAATGTACGAGACTGGGAAGGTTGCCCAGGTAGCCAACGAGATGCGAAGATATGACATAGAAGTGTTGGATATCTGCGAAAGCAGATGGAATGGATGTGGACTGTCAAAATTGTCAACTGAAGAGTCAGTAATCTACTCCGGTCTTGTCGCTCCGACGACAGCCATCAGCACACTGAGGCAGTGAGTGGCTATCATAGTGTCACTAGTGGCAGCCAAAGGCGTAAGGCATCGGGAACCAATCTCTTCTTACAGGATTATGACAGCAATTAACTCAAAAGTAAGGAAGGTCACAATTATCCAATGCTACAAACAACGTGGAACAAGAGAAGAAGGAAGATTTTTACAGACAACTACAAACGGTAATAGACAACATCCTAAATGGTGACATCAAAATCCTCATGGGCGATGTGAACGCCCAACTGCGAGCAGATAATACAGGAAGAGAACTCATTATGGGTCGAGAGGCTGTTGCCCGGAGAAATGAATGGGAGCGGAGAATTATTTGCAAACTTCTGCGCTTTCAGTGATCTGGTGGTCGGAGGCAGCGTGTACAAACACAAGGATATATACAAAGCATCATGAGTTTTACCTGACGGACACACCACGTATCAGACAGAGTTCATGTAAATGCTGCTCAAGGAAGTGAAGATGCATCCAGTCTGCTGGGCACAAAGCGGAGAAGGGAAGAAGATCTGGGCTCGTATTCTGTTGTTAATACCGAATTGCACTGTGGGAACATAGGAGAATAACATTCCGTTGGCACACATTGCCTGTATCACACCATCACAGGATAACCAGGTGTCTATCTGGGGAGAGATCAACTCAGATGATGAAACTAATATAAGATGCTCAAGGGATCCCGATTACCAAGGAGGGGAATTAAATAAAACAATGGATTGATCACTTTAAAGGACTCTTTAATCGACCATCACCTGCAACTACCAACAAGCATGAAACTTTGGCCGGAGCCGCTGCAGCGAGCTACCTAACCTGGTGACCACATTGCAAACTTGACTGATAAATAGGATTCGGTCTACACTAGCCTAAATACTAGGTTTCTCGCTTTCATCATAAGCTGATATGCATTAGAGTACCTTTGGAAAACCATCATGGAGTACAGGACAAGTGTTTCGTCCTAGTTTGGGATTCTTCAGAAGTACGCATCCACCAGGGTTAGAATCTAGGAACTTCCAGTTACAAGGCGATCTCGTAGACCTTTAAGCCATTGGAACCCGCCAATCCAATGGCCAGTCCATGCATTCCAACTTCTATCAATTCACGAAATAACACCATCACTAGCCAGTGTCATCTTTTGCGAGTATTTGTTCTCACAACCGACCTGCTGTACCCTACTGGTCACGACTTCCTACTAGAACCCAGACAACTAACTACCTACCTGAATACGGCCAGTTGCTAGTGAGCTCTAGATTGATATTCAACTGTTGGTTCGCAGGATGTGTACTGTTGCAGAGCCTCAAAGTAGAACGAAGTAGCTGTCCAGTACTCCCAGGTTTTCCAATGATTCTCAAACTGATGTCAGCTCATGATGAAATCCTGAAACCAATCAAACCAACACTTGAATACCAAAGACTATAGATGCCTGACATTGGTTACTAACCAGTGACCATTAAAAGCATTATGGTCAGTTGTTGTGTAGTTCAGTTTCTGTTTAAGTTAGAAAAAGCGGCAAAAAAGGTTGACAGCATCAAATTTGTTTTTATTTTGTTTTATTTTCTTCTTCTCTCCCCTCTTTTTTATTATTTATAGATTTCTTAGACCCATCCGTTGATAATATGATTATGTCGCGTAAATCATGGATTCGCCGGTATCTATCCAGGTATTTTCCACATCGTCAACAAACAACCGCCAGTAGTAGCGGTGTTCCTGGTGCTGAGAATGAAGCATGTCAACAGTTAAATATTTCTCAGAAATCCTCTCAACCGATGGATACAGTTGATAACGCCTCATCGTTATCTGTACCGCTGTCACGGTCATCACCATTGTCTACGTCAAAAACAACACCGGTAGCTGTGTCAGTATTAACAAAACTTCAATCCCCGTCTAATTTAACTATTGAAGCTGCTATCTCTGGACGAAATTATTGTAGTGTAAACGATGATGACTGGGTGAATGATACAGTCAATACATCGACCTTTTTATTACCTAATAATTTATTACAAAAGATAAATATGAGACGGAAATTCTCTCTTCAAAGGTAAGTTTTCATGATTTGAGTAGTTATATATATAGCATTGGCATAGAATACTGTGTCTTACAGGGTTATTGTGGTGACTGTATTACTGGCATTCTCAGTGGAGCTTAGCGCTTCAATGGCACACATCTTCACTCCATTTGGTTCTTTGTCATTACTTTCAGCTAGCTGCTCTACGACTGCCCACAAACTTTCGTTTCCTCCTCCTCCTTCTCCTCACATGATCTTTCCCATATCAGTATCGGACGACTAACTTGTCGCTTCTTATTCGAGCTCTACTTGACGACCTGATATACGATTTCGTTTGAATATCTCCTTAATGTATATCCAATCCACCTCGATTTTCTTCGGTATATTCCAGGTTAGACCACGGATTGATATCAGTTAGAGAATCATTGAAATCTAGCACTGGAGTACTGAACGGCTGTTTGGTCCTAGTTTGGGACTCATCGGCAGCATGCACCCACTGGGTTTCGAACCCAGGACCTTCTGGTTACAAGGCAAGCTCGTAGACCATTCAGCCACTGGAACCCAACTCAATGGCCATCCGATGAATTCTTACTCCTACCAATTTGTGATTTTGGCGCGACCACCAACTAAAGTCATTGGCGGGAACTCCATCTTCACTTCCCACTCTTAACATCTATTATCCTGAGAGCCATGATACTCTGTTATCATTATTATTGTTCCCTTGGGTTCCTAGTGGAGCATAGGGTTTCAACTACACGTCTCCACTTGCTTCTGTCTTATGCTGTACTTTTCACCTGCGTCCATGTTAGTCCATACTGTTTCAGCTCTTCTTCACACGGTCTCCTTCATGTCACCCTGGGACGTCCCACTCGCCACTTCCCTTTCAGGTTCCACTCGAGCACTGGCCTGACAGACGCGCGATGTCACCCAGTGGCCTCCTCAGCGAGTGCCCAATCCATCTCCACTTCTTTCTCCTGCATATTTGTTGGGCGATTGGTTCTTGTTTTGTTTGTTCCCATAGTTTCTTGTTGGTGATTCTTCCCGGCCATCTGATCTTGAATACAGAATGAAGACAGTTGTTGATAAAGGTCTGCAACAGGCTGTCGGAAATATTCTTGGTGACCCGCGGAGTTTCTGATCCGTATAGAAGAACTGACTTGACGTTTGTATTGAAAATCCGAATTTTGTTGTTGATGCTGAGTGACGAAGATTTCCAGATTGGTTTCAGGTTGATGAATGTGTTTCTCGCCTTCGCGATTCTCGATTTGACATCCTCGTCCGTTCCTCCTGTAGTTGAAACAATGCTCCCTAGATAAGTGAATGAAGTAACCTCTTTCAAATCCCTCCTGTTGATGGTGATGGGCAGTGGATGTTGCTCTTGTTGTTGTTGTTGTTGTTGTTGTTGTTGTTGTTGTTGGTTAGTTATTTTCATAACCTCCGTCTTGTCTTTGTTCACCTGGAGTCCTGTTTTTGCTGCTTCTTCGACCAGTTTGTCGGTTTTCGCTTGTAACTCTTCGATTTTGTGTGACATTATGATACTCTGATAAACGTTAACTCCATCACAAGTAAATTTCATCTCACAATGCTGCATTTCGAGCAACCATAAAGTCTTCGATCCATTTACTTTTTATAAACTACCTTGTGAAATTAGTTCAGGTGATCTACTGTCTAACTCACCCATTTAAGAGAATGTTTGAATTAGGACTGTCTATCCGTTTGAAATTCCCCCTTAATGATACAATTTTTTTCTTTAAAAAAAAGAATAACATCTTATTGATCACTCTTCATATTAACTTTATTGATCGAAATATCCTCGTGTCTTTATGTATTTTTTTAAGTTTTCAAGTGTTGGTGGTTTTTTCAGGGATTTGATTGATTTCAAGTTTTATCAGAAAAGATTTAAAAGGCAATGGGGTAATTGGTTGGTGGTCTTGTCCTTGTTTGGGTCTCATCTACGATCATACTAGGTTTCGAAGCCAAGCACTTTGACTATTCAGCCAAGTGGCTTGGAGTTGAAGGACTTGTGGATTCTAACTTCTAATTTGGTGTAGCCGTAGTGCTATAACAGCAACTGACAGAAGTTCAAGTGGTTGGATGGCCAATGAACCTGACCTGGTAACCTCAGGATCTCGAGCGTGACATCTGGTGGTTCGTGAGGGCACACTGCTGAAGAGTTGCAAACCAGGACGAGACGGCTCTTCGAGATTTTTAGTGATCTGTAACTAATGTTGGCTCGTGATGTAATTTAAATTTAAATTAATGCTAATCTAAGTAATCCAAAACAAGAAACACACAGAGTCCTTCGAAGTGAAGACAAGAGTAAGAAACAACTGCCTACTATCTCCAATGATTTTCCTGACTGAGGGCGGTAAACTGGGTAGTGTGACAGACAGCGGGCAATGAGAAGACAGGCATAAAATGGACCCACACTAAAAACTTGGAGGATCGGGACTTCGCCGATTATATATGTCTGATTTCCCACAAACTGGAAGATATGTAGGTGAAAAGCAACAAGTTGTGGCAGAAGAAGCATCAAAAATAGGATTTCCTTCAGGTGGACATAGAGAAAACAGATGGCCAACAGCAACAACAAGAGACAGCAATCAGCATAAATGAGAGAAATCTGAGAGAAGCAACCTCCTTCACGTACCCACCTACCTACCTGGGAAGCATCGTTTCAACTACAGGCGGACGGAAATGATGAAGATATCAAAGCAAGGATCGGGAAAGCAAGGCAAGTTTTCATTACTTTCAAGTCTGTGTGGAGGTCAACAGCATTCAGCATGAAAAATAAGATCCGGATTTTCAACTCCAATCTGATGTCAGTGCTACTAAACGGATGAGAGACTTGGTGCGTCACGAAGGCCACTTCGAACAAACTACAAACCTTCATCAACAGCCAGCTGTCCTCGCTCAGTACTACTCAAGATCAGATGGCCGGTCAGAAAAGATGAGCAACAGGAGTTTCTGGGAGCGAACCAACCCAGCAGGAGGGAATTGTGCAACAAATAAGCAGGAAGAAATGGAGGGGGATTGGCCATACTCTGAGAAAACAAACCATCAAGTGAGTGACATCACATGCGAGGCCATTGGTCGAGCGGAAGCCGAATGGGAAGTGGCGAGTTGGTGGTCAATGAGAGGGGGTGACATGGAGGAGGTGATGTGAAGAGTAGATGAAAGCATGTGGGCAGACGTGTAACCAGGTGAAAACGTTGGCGGAGAACTTAAAGCAATGGAGACGTGAATCTGAAACCCTATGTTCCTCTAGGAACTAAAGGAAACAATAATAATAGTAATAGTAATTCTAATCCTTGCAAAAGGCAAATTATCTAATTTTTCTTTGAATTATGAAATTCTTTCACACATCTCTTTCATTTGTATAGTTAGTTTTTAAAAATGTTTTTTTTTTGGTTGACTTTTCAGTGGAGATTATCAATCCAAAGAACATTCATCACTGCTACTTCCTCCACAAATGGATTATGCAACAAACAACACTGGATTATCATCAAGCCAGATGAATCCTATGAAAGCTGCTTGTTATTATCCTTCTGATAATACTGATCTACTACTCATGAGAATGATGATGATGACGACGGGAGGAACACACGGTGGAGAAGAACCTCAGTCGCATATTAATTTATGCACTCGTTGTAGACCACCGCATTTAATTACTGGCAGTAGCAGTAGTCATTGTGGTCATCCTGCCTATCATCAAATGATGATAACATCCGCGTATAATCCAATGGATTATGGATCTGTGACAATTGAACAGGCTATGAATCAGATTAATAATAATAATAGTAATATTCATAATAGTAATAATAATAATGCTAATACTTCAATTCCATTGAATCCAGTTGATGTGATGAGGGTAAGTGTTCACTTACTTTACTTTACTTTACTTCGGCTATCTCCTACGGGAGGATGAGCCGGCTTCATGAACATCTCGAATCATCGCTGCCCACGCACGGCGATAGAGTCGTTTGTAAGAGTTCATGAAGTTTCATTGGAATTTGGTACGAGTGATGTCCCCAGAATCGCTCGGCCTTTTGTTTGAGAGTGCAGCTCTAGCCTTTACACAACCAAGTGTGACCTACAAGGCAGTAGGAGTGGAGTAGGGAGTCCACTATCCATTGGCAGCCACTGACCGGAGTTCGGTTCATACGCCTTTTTGAATGGGGCCAGACATCCAGGACATCCAACAAGCCCTTTGTCCATACGTCTGCCGGTGAGCTCCAGTGAGTTTCATACGCCAGTCGTTGGAGGTTTGGAATCAGGGTTTAGCCATCTCCCCTAGACTGTCATCCAATGGACAGTCAATCCGGTGAAGAGCGCCGGGCATCCGCTTTCGCCCTCTCACTTTGGTGAAAAACACCTCCGCCACGTGAAGGCAGTGAGTAGGACTTGCTCAGGAGAGGCTATGTAAGACGCCCGGTCATATGGGAGCATTTCAAGAGGTGTTCGGAGGGGTGGCCAACCCGCAGCGCAAGGCACCCACCACCGACCATCCTGAGGCTTTGGAGGCTTTTGTTTCAAGTGTTGTGTGGATTTCCAGAAGATTTGATTAGCTTCAAGTTAGATAGATCATGGATTGGGATATCAGTTAGAGAAACCTAGTGTTTGAAACCAGTGACTATTGGACAGTTGTTTCAGCCTGTTTTGGGATTCTTCACTCAAACAAAGCGGGGAGTCGAACCCAGGACCTGTTTGTCTGTCTGTCTGTTTTCAACATAGAACTTTGCATCGATGTGCATCAGTTGAAGTCGCCACTCTCCACCCATGTAGCATACAAAGCAAGAGAAGAAAGTAGAAGAAATGCATAGTAGAGATAGTAGACAAGGATATGAGACAAAAGGAATAGTAATAACGAAGAACAATATAGTTTCATTGGAAATTATAAGTCACAATAACTGGATGCATCTGCGCCAGCCATTATTGAGAACGGCGATTTTGAGCCATATCACCGATTGTCTCTAGCCGCCATTGGTTTTTACCATCCGGAGGATCCCAACCTGGAAGCTTGCACCTCCTCACGTGGCTTAAACTAACTGTTGTGGATTTCATTGACTGATGAAGCGATGTTTTGGTTTGACCGCCGCTAGCTCTTTTCCAACCTGATCCTACGTCAGCTAACATTGCCCATTGTCGAGGAAGGCGATGACTAGTCATGCATACGTAACACATGTCCTAACCATCTCAGTCGATGTAATTTCACAGTCTCGTCGATTGATTTCCCTTCCTTACCTATAACTCGATGCCTAACCTCAATATTGCTCACCTTATTATGCCACTTCACGCGGGAGATAGAACACAGATACCTATGATTGAAGACAGCTAATCTTTTCATGTCTTCCACTCTCAATGGCCAGGTCTCACAGCCACCCATAAAGGAGGATGGAGCGGACTGATGAGCAGTGCACACGCCCTTTGGTCGATAGTCGGATATCACGTCTACGCCAGAGACGGTGTAAACTGGCATATGCGAAACTAGCCCTCAGTATCTGTAATGAGATTTCGTCAGCAATAAACCCGCTGTCATTGGCCGATGCAGCTTCCTGAATAAATGAAGTGGTCAACACTGTCTACCACTTCATTCCTTATTTCTAATCTAGGAGTTAGTGTAATCCAGTCGTCTAACATCATCTTACATTTGACAATAGGAGCGAATCGCCTGTCAAACATTCGAAGATTGCAGCTCAAGATGTTCAGAAAACTCTGTATTTTTTCAGCGACTTCACCTAGAAGGACTATATGATCTACACATTTTAAGTCAACGGCATTATCCGCTGATGGTAACAAGTCAATCCCTGAGTCGCTGAAGTCACCTAGGGTTAAGTCCATTATTACATTTATGCTGAAATTGAATAGAAATGGGGATATTGGGCATCCCTGTTGGACACCACTAGTTGTCACCAGTTCTGATGACAACTCCCTGTAAGCTCTCACCTGGCTGACTACTTGAGTTCGAGTAGAGTGCCTTGATCAGTGCAATGTATTTTCTCGGCATTCCCTTCACAGCCAAGCATTGCCAGAGTACCTACCTCTCGGTCGACAGAATCGAATGCTGCCTTTAGGTCAAGACCTGTCAAGGACCTGTATGTCCGAGGTGAAATCCTATGGTCTGCCGATAAGTTGTAACTTCTCTCAATTGGTGATTTATAACCCCCCCACCCCACCATCGCCAGCCAGTATCATTGGTTGGTATTGGCTTACACAACCGAGTAGTGACCAACAATGCAGCCAGCACTCACTCACGTGCTATCGATTAATGCTTCACCTGAAGATCCTGTATAATGAGTTATTATTTTTGCAGTAGAATACTGGGGATACTATATACTGCTCAGAATAAAGCTCTTACCGTTCTTATCTTATTACCATCATTACGTTGAAACTGAATGATTAGAAATTACTAGTCGATAATACGTCAGTGGTGGTGCTGATTCACTGATAGGTTGCTCGTCGTCAGAGTTCGAACTGCCTGCAATAGACACCCAGTTTATTCACACAGAGCAATAAGTCCAGGAAAGAGTGGAAATGTGTGTGACTAGTAACACTCCACTTTGTAAAATAAATACCACCCCCACCACTACCACTACTACTACTACTGGAAATTCAAAGCCTAAAGCCCTACGATCCATTCGGAACTCACAGGAGTGAAGACAAAGTTGTTAACGCCTTGCAAATATGTAAAGCTTGTGCTGATTTGAACTGTATAAAAAATACACAATATTTATTGGGATATAAGAGTAAAACTTGGGCACTGTAGTAGAGCATAACTCCATTATGGATATATTTATTAAAAAGCCAACGCATTCTGCTAATAGATATTTAGGCTTCTTTAATTCATCTCATCCGTTGTCTGTCTGTTAAGGCTGGCTTAGTTAAGTGTCCAACAAGCCGATAAATAGCACTAAGTAGTACAGCTAAAAAGCTAAATAATGAAACGAAACAGATAGAAGAGGCGTTGGTGTTAATTCATTAGAAATATCAAAAAAGGTCAAAAGCCAAATAAGAAAAAATGGTGAAACTAATAATGACAACATAAATAAGAAATAATATAAGGCATATACAGTGTTACCATATAAGGAGGGGATATCTAACATCCTATGTAAGATTCCTAATAAAGCAGGAATTAGAGTGGCATTTAAACCTACAAACTCGCTCAGATAGTACAAGCTCTGTAGGCTAAAGGACTTGGCAGACCCAATTAAACAAAATAATATAATTTACAAAACATCATGCAACGACTTTGAGTTAAGTCAACTACATAAGCCAGTCAAACTAGTAGATCAGAAGTAGTGAGATTATCAGAACATAAGAATTTAGCTAAGGCTAGAATGATTGACCCCACTCGCAAAGATAAGTAATTTAGAAAAAAAACAGCAGTAGCACTGCATGCATTAACACACAACCACACAATAGGATCGGTGGGAGAGGGTTAAGATTCTAAGAAGTAATATAGGTAGGTGGAGAGCGAGAGAGATTGATTACTGAATCCTGGCTCATTGAGTTAACACCCAACACGTGCAATAGGAATGACTTATCACTCTTACCAGAAATATGGAAAATATTACTACCAATCAAATCAAGAGATAAGAAATAATGGAACCATATAAACGAAGTTGGAAAGTTGTGTGAGTAGTGCCTTGATATGAGGATTATGAGCAGTAATAAATGGTGTTCGAAAGATGGTCATCAGTAAATATTACTCACTGTATAACAACACTGTGTGATTTTATGAAAATAAAATTTTATCCATAATGGAGATACACAAGTTTTCTTTGTTTTTGAGGCTTCAGAGGATAACGGAAATTAACGACTGAGTATTGATCTTTTTTTGATGTGGTTGTGTTCTCTGAGCTGGATAGTTAATTTGCGAAGCTTTCATCACCCTACTAGGTGACATCTTCATCGCATACTTCAATTTCAATTGAAGTGAGCTTTTAGATTTCTCCACGAGTTTATTAATCATCCCTCCCTGTGACTTCAAATTGAAGTATGCGCTGAAGATGTCACCTAGTAGGGTGATGAAAGCTTCGCAAATTAACTATCCAGCTCAGAGAACACAACCACATCAAAATCATCCACCTGAGCTACAAATCTTCTCCATCATATCTGAGTATTGATCTATCTGACTTCAGTGGATTGATGACATCGATGACAAGAAATAATCGTAATCAGAATTCAGGTTTCTAGATTTAGATTTCAATTATAGAACCATTGAGTGAACCACAGAGTGAACTGGACAGCTGTTTCGTCGGAGTTTGTGACTCTTCATCACTGCTTACCATTTCATTCAATCCCAGATGAAGCCGTGCGCTCTTCCTACTGAAGAGGTTTAAACTCAGACGAAACAGTTATCCACTGTGTCGCATATGTTTTTTGCTATGATTCCTAAATTGATATCGGTTCATGATGAAATAATACATTGAAATTAATTTTAGTGATTGTCATGATAAATTCTTTGAATTTGAATTTCTTCCGCGTAATTCCTTTTCCACCTTCATTATTTATTCATTTGTGCATAACAGGAAAGAGCTCGTCAGAACAATGTATTCTTGTATATTAAAATTCCTGGCTTCCCAATACGTTTAAGTTACAAGGTAGGTTAGTTGGTTGGTGATGTTTTTTAATTAATTCAATGTAATTTTATTTATTACTTTAAAGAGATTTCAGTAGTAAAAATAATTTACAACAAAACTGTACGATCCACCCACGTATTATGCTGATACTATATTACACTTTTCAATGATTGGTTTAGCAGGGATTTGATTTGTTTGAAGTTTGATCATGGGTTGATATCAGTTAGAGAGAACCACTGAGGATCCAGGTAGAACTGAACCAGTGAAGTTCACCAGGTCGGATACTTACCGATGACACTGACTGGTGGTGGTTGCAATGAAATCGAGAATTGATAGGAGATAGAATTCACAGGTCACTGAATTCCTGCTCAAGTTACTAAAAATGGTCAATGAGCGTGTCATCGGAACCTGAGGGTCCTCAGTTTGATCGCTAGTGGAGTCGTTGCTAGGACGCTCGCTGACCGTGCACATGGTCTGGGGTTCGATCCCCTCCCATTAGTTTTGTTCTATGCCTGTGAAATCTGGCCTCTTCGACCTGAGTATTTGCCGCGACCCTGCGTATACGATCGTCTCTGTCTCCGTAGAATTGCTTGTGTCCTCTGTGGTCTGTCTGGCAGCGTGTGTTTGAACTCGATGGAGGTCACCACCTTTCATTGATTTTGGTCATCCTGAAACACTGACTTTGTGGGCTTATGGTTGGTGCTACAAATATCACCAATAGAGTCTTGCATACCAATCTCTGTGTGGTAGCCATGAAACTGGGTGGAAAAGGTGGAGAAGTGCAAAATTAAAGTAAGAACTCTGCTCTGGCCACGGTAGGGCGAGTGAATGTAGTATGTATCGCTTTTGAATGCAGAGGTCCGGTTTCAGATCTCAAATAGCCAGTGATTCAGCTATGTACAGATGGTGTATTCGAAGTCCTTTCGTACACTATTGAAGGACTCTGTGTAGTACCGTGAAGCATTCATGCGTGGATGCTCGATATCCGGAAATGACAAGGTGTTCGGAGATGCAGCTGCTGCTGTTCTTCTACTTTTCTGCTCTGGCTGGCTAACCAAGCTGGACAGTAGTGTTCCACAATACGTTTGTGGACTTGACGTTGCGTACGGCCGATCGGTCTAATGATTTCTTTGTCAAATATAATTACGATTGTGGTGTGGTTGTGTTCTCTGAGCTGGATGGTTTGGTTGCGAAGCTTTCATTGCTCTACTGAGCAACATCTTCAGCGTATACTTCGATGTGAAGTGAGCTTTTAGAATTCTCTATGAGTTTATTAGTCATCTCTTCTAGTAACCTAGGAAACAGTCAACACCAAAACAAGTGAACTAGAAAGTGAGAAGCCACACAAAAACAACCAATCACGTTCAAGGTTAGCAGAAGGAATGACTAACGACATTCAGACCAAAGAAGCAGCCAGCATCGAGACAAGCAAACTAGGGGATGAAATGTCACACGAAAACAACCAATCACGTTCAAGGTTACTAGAAGAGATGACTAATAAACTCATAGAGAATTCTAAAAGCTCACTTCACATCGAAGTATGCGCTGAAGATGTTGCTCAGTAGAGCAATGAAAGCTTCGCAACCAAACCATCCAGCTCAGAGAACACAACCACACCAAAAATCATCCACCTGAGCTACAAATCTTCTCTATTATATAATTACGATTGTACAGATGGTGAAGATGAATCATCGAAAAGAAAATTTTCTTCTTAACTGTTTACGTCACTTTCTTATGACTAGTATTCATGCTTGCTTTCTGAATGACCTCCAAAGCCTCAGGATGGTCGGGGTGGGTGCCTTGCGCTGCGGGTTGGCCACCCCTCCGCACACCTCTTGAAATGCTCCCATATGACCGGGCGTCTTACATAGCCTCTCCTGAGGAAGTCCTACTCACTACCTTCACGTGGCGGAGGTGTTTTTCACCAAAGTGAGAGGGCGAAAGCGGATGCCCGGCGCTCTTCACCGGATTGACTGTCCATTGGATGACAGTCTAGGGGAGATGGCTAAACCCTGATTCCAAACCTCCAACGACTGGCGTATGAAGCTCACTGGAGCTCACTGGTAGACGTATGGACAAAGGGCTTGTTGGATGTCCTGGATGTCTGGCCCCATTCAAAAAGGCGTATGAACCGAACTCCGGTCAGTGGCTGCCAATGGATAGTGGACTCCCTACTCCACTCCTACTGCCTTGTAGGTCACACTTGGTTGTGTAAAGGCTAGAGCTGCACTCTCAAACAAAAGGCCGAGCGATTCTGGGGACATCACTCGTACCAAATTCCCATGAAACTTCATGAACTCTCTTACAAACGATTCGAGATGTTCATGAAGCCGGCTCATCCTCCCGTAGGAGATAGCCGAAGTAAAGTAAGTAAGCTTTTTGTATCCCCTGTTTCCTTATTTACATATTGTTGTTTTGGTATTTTTGTGTGTCGAAACTCTTAGTGTCCATAATTTTATCAAGTCCATGTTTTTCAATCCTGAATACTCTTCGTTGTTTGTTTATTTCACTTACAGGGTGAAAAACAGAAAAATATTACTGATGTGACCCGATTCGAATTGTTTATACCTACACTAGAGTATCATAATTGTGTATGGACATGGTTAGATTTTGCTATGGAAGTGAAAACACGAATACGTAAACAGCTTGTACGAGAAGTAAGTTTAAATTATTATTATTCCCTTGGGTTGCGAGTGACTTCAACAACACATCTGCAGTTTCTTCTATTTTATGATGTCCTCTTCAGCTGAGTCCAAGATAATCCATAATCTCTAATCTCGTCCTCCTCCTCTTCCAAATCACACGATCTGCTCCATGTCAGCCTCTCATCGACGACCACCTCGTCCCTTACGATTCGAATTCCACTCAGGCGATGGTCTGCATTGAGTGCGATGTCATTCGATGACCTCCTCAGTGGCGTATAGGCGCATTCAATCCAGCTCCATTTTCTCCTACATATTTATTGAGCTATCAGCTAGCGCCTGTTGGTTTCTCGTTGCTAATTCTTTCTGACCAACCAGGTGGCCGGCCATTTCATAGTTAGTATGGAGCAAGCCAGCGAAGGTGATAGCTTCAAATGAACTGTCGTCAAGATTTGACAGAATAGTTCTAAAATATTTGGGCGCCGAGTGAGAAGTAGACATTTGTAAAAATTATATTTGTAAAGTCTCAGCGAGATTGAAATGAGTAATTCCAAAGTTTCGTTCGGCAAAGCTTCTACTAAACTCTAATCCTAAACACCATAATTTTGAAAATACGTCTAACCATAAAATTCTAGATACTAACAGTGTGAACAGACATGAAGGCGTGGTGTTAGCTGATGCATAGGAAATCCTTATTAATAAATAAAAATGGATATGTATCACTAAGTATTAATACTTGGTCAAAATTCTCGACTGTCCATATCTTCTTATGGAGACGTTAAGAAATGTTTTACAACTGTTTACCCACACACACATACACACTCTGTTTAATGTGTTTAACAAAGGTAGACCAATATTTGTAAGTCCGAGGTCAAATTTTGATCACAGCTCATAAAATTTTCTTTACTATACTTGTTGATACTTTTTTGAATGACTCATGATTAGACAAATTTTTACAAATCAAGTGATGTTCCTTTTTATATATAAACCTATGTTATGTTAATTTCGATTAATTTCCCTGAAGAAGTTCGGACCAGATTGCCGAACGAAACGTTGGAATTACTCATTTCAATCTCGCTGAGACTTTACAAATATAATTTTTTACAGAAGTTGATAGCTGTTGATAAAAGTCTGAGGCGACTTATTGGAAATGCTTTTTGTGACATGCAGTGCAAGTTTCTGACCCGTATAGAATAACTGACTGACTGACTTCATTTTTGTGTTGAAAATCTGAATCTTGTTCGTTATGCTGGTCGAGTGAGTGCAGAAGGTTTTTTAAACTGGTTTCAGGTTAAGGAAGGTGTATCTTGCCTTTCCGATTGTGGCTGGCTGGCTGGCTGGTTTTGACATCTTCATCCGTTTTTGATGTGGTTGTGTTCTCTGAGCAGCTGGATAGTTAATTTGCGAAGCTTTCATCACCCTACTAGTTGACTTGAATTTGAAGTGAGCTTTTAGATTTCTACTATACGAGTTTATTAATCATCTCTCCTGGTGACCACCATGAACGTGATTGATTGTTTTTGTATGTTTTCTCACCTTCTAGGCTATTTGTATTGGAACTGATTGTTTTTTTGACTTGAACTTTGACCCTTTGTGTGTGTGAGGTTTCTTGGCCAAAGATGGACATCCTCTTCGTCTTCGTGTCCACGAACATAAGCTAGCAGTCAAAATGCATGACATCAACTCCCTCATATCACTACATACAGACAACCACGGGCATCAATTTGATTAGGACAATGTTCAAATACTAGACAGAGGAAACAACAAGAATGCTAGAGAATTTTTAGAAGCTTGGCATTCCAGTGAATCACTAATCATTAGACACATCGAGATTGACAAAATTTATCAACCGATAAGAAAGAAACCTCATATACAAAGGGTCAGAGTTCAAGTCAAAAAAAAGCAATCAGTCGCAATACAAGTAGCCTAGAAGGTGTGAAAACACACAAAAACAACCAATCACGTTCAAGGTCACCCAACCAGGAGAGATGATTAATAAACTCCTGGAGAAATCTAAGAGCTCACTTCATCAAATTGAAATATGCGCTGAAGATGTCACCTAGTAGGGCGATGAAAGCTTCGCAAGTAAACTATCCGGCTGCTCAGAGAACACAACCATATCAAAATCATCCACCTGAGCTAAAAATCTTCTCCATCATATCTAAATCTTCATCCGTTCCAACTGCCTGTGGTTGAAACCGTGCTTCCTGGCCGGATAACTGAAGCTAGGAAGTAACCTCTGTCAAATCTCTCCTGTTGATAGTGATTGTTTCTGGTTGTTGTTGTTATTGGCGGTGGTTGGTTGGTTTTCTGTATCATCTCCGTCTTCTCTGTGTGTAGCTTAAATAGTGGTGATCCCTAACAGAAGTCAGTCGGTTCGTCATCAAAATTGAAATCAATTTATCATTATATTTAGCGTCGATTTTATTCAGTGAGATTGTGATTATATACCTGTCTGTCTGTCTGTTTTCGACATAGAACTTTGCACATATGTGCGGCTGTTCAAGTCGCCACACTCCTTCCATGTAGCACACAAAGCAAGTGAAGACAGTAGGAGAAATGCATAATAGAGACAGTAAACAGAGGTGTGGGAAAAAGGAATAGTAATAACGAAGAACAAAAGTGTCATTGGAAATCATAAGTCACAAGGAGTGGATGCATTTGCGCCATCCATTGAGAACGGCGATTTTGAGCCATGTCACCAATTGTTTCCAACCATTGGTTTTCACTATTCCGAGGATCCCAACCAGGTAGTCTACACCTTCCTACGTGGCTGGTTGGCTTGAACTAACTGTTGTGGATTTCATTGACTGGTGCCATGTTTTCGTTTGACCGCCACTAGCTCTTTTCCAGCCTGACATTATATCAGCTAACATTGCCCATAGTCGAGGAAGGCGATGACTAGGCATACGTATATATACCTCCATATATATTTGTTAACTCCACATCTTCATGTCACTTTTGATTATCTGTGATAGTCTCTAGTGGTCGATGATTTCGCTGACTACATTGTTGTTTATGGTCAGCTCTTCATCTTTCTTCTTTCCTGTTGAATATATAAATAAATACTAAAGGGGGGGGGGTGATGATGTAAATGCAAACCTGTAAATTTGGTCATCTTTGCTAGCTGATTCCCAACCACCCATCCCCCCCCACAACGTGTAGATTTCACACTGATTAATCTACCATCCATCTTCTATCGAAAAACTGAAGGAAAATCAAAGAAAATGAATGATGATTTGAGTTTGTTTGTTCTCCCCCCTTTTTTTCGTCATCTTGGAAAGTGCAGGTTTGGGTGGCTGAGGGTGTTGTAGACAGAGAGAGGGCCATCTACCTTCCCCTTCCTCTTCCACTTCTTCCTTCACCTTAAAATTTACAGCATTCTCTGTTCTGTTTTCACACACAAGGTGGTGGTTCTCCATTCTATTAAAGTGATTAACTGTGAGAAGTCTGTTTTTTTTCAATTTTTGCTCTCTTTTTTTTGGGGCATTGGGGGATTATCAACACACCATCGTTTAATGACTCTCCGCCAACCTCCACCCCCGCACTCTCCCTCAATTCATGTGTGATGATAATTGATGAGGAGATTATCTCTAATCTAACTAAGATGAGGTTGTTTGTTCGGTTTGTCATCTTGTATGAATATCTTAGGGAAGTTGACGAGGAAGGAGGACAAGGGGTTTTGAGATTGGGAGCTCCTCTCGCTCACCCTCTCACCTTCCCTCTGTCTGTATGCCTGTAACCCATTTCGGTAAGATAGAGATTAACACTCAGGGAATAATGCCTAAATATATAAGAGTCAATCTTGTGAGAGGACTATCTATATTTATCTCTAGAGTATATACAATATATATATATATATATACACCCACACACCACTCTAATCATCAAGTGTTTAGACGTGATGTATTTTATCTCAGCGTAAACTAATTCATTAATTTAATAATACAATTTACAAAACAATCATGAAATTAAACACTGTGATGATAACTCCTAGAGAGAAAAAAGCAAACCCAGACAAGTCTTTATAGACATGAGGATAAAACTTGGGCATTCTGATGGCAGAGTAGTAGTTACTCCATTATAGATAAAATTTTTGATTTTGATAAAGTCACACACAGTGTTGTTATACAGTAAGTAATATTTACTGATATGACCACCTTTCGAGCACAAATTATTACCGCTCATAAATGTATCATTTATATACATGAGTAAAAATTGATGATAAAACATTTGAATGAAATCAATATAAGATAAAGTACATTCGGAAATAATAAGCTCAGTTTTGTCAATAAAATACAACAAGATGGGAAATAAGATGTTTTTATAGTAAAATAAATAAATATATAACTTGTTAGAATGTTATAATATGAATTTAATTTGATACATTTTAAAACTATTTATTATCCTCTGATTTGACGGGTGGTAATAATATCTTCCATATCTCTGGTATTTGAGTTGAGTCACTTCTATTGCGCATGTGTCGGGTGTAGACTCGCTGAACCATACAGGATTCAGTAATCAATCTCTCTCTTTCCACCTACCTATATTACTTCTTAGAATCTTAACCCTATCCTACCCTATTGTGTGGTTGTGTGTTAATGTATGCAGTGCTATTGCTGAGTTTGTTTTTCTAAATTACTTATCTTCACCAGTGGGATCAATCATTCTAACCTTAGCTCAATTCTTATGTTCTGATAATCTCACTACTCCTGATCTACTAGTTTTTTTATTGATCCCACGAAGATAAGTAATTTAGAAAAATACTCAGAAATCCCACTGCATGCATTAACACACAACCACACAATAGGGTGGGACAGAGTCAAAGTTCTAAGAAGTAATATAGGTAGGTGCGTGGAGAGAGATTGATTACTGAATCTTGGTTCATCGAGTCTACAACCAACACATGCAATAGAAGTGACTCAACGCAAATACCAGAGATATGTCTGGAAGATATTATTACTGCCAGTCAAATCAGAGGAGGATAATGATCACAATTTCTACAGTCGACAAATAATCAATGGATGTGTAAAGGATTAACTGCCGCTTTGGGCCAATTCAGTATATGTTTATAAATTCACTTGTTCCTGTAGAGTTAGTTATATTTGCCGTACAAAGCTCACACTTTCCAAACTCATCTCTGAATATTATCCTGTATGTTTAACAAAAGGACAATGCAGTAGCTCACTTCTTGAGCAATTTCGGAGCTCAGGCCTCGCAGCTTCACCATAGTGGTACAAAAGGGTGTTAGGCTTCGGCATTTGTGTATGGTGGAGGCGTTGGCAATTCATCAATATTACCCCGAACTCTGTATACAGAAAACGTTTATCCAGTCTCTTTATTCTACCACAGTCTTAACTTCTTCATTAAGCATCCTCTGTAGTTTTTTATTTTTAATGATTACTTTGCTTTAACTTTAATAATAATAATAATTGTTATTATTGTTCCCTTGGGTTCTTAGTGGAACATAGGGCTTCAGCTGCACGTCTCCACTTGTTTCTGTCTTCTGCTGTACTTTTCACCTGCATCCATATTGATCCATACTGTTTCAACTCCTCTTCACACAATCTCCTCCATATCACCCTTGGACTCGCCGCTTCCCTTTCGGGTTCCACTCGAGCTATGGCCTGACGCGCGATGTCACCCAGCGGTCTCCTCAGCGAGTGTCAAATCCATCATCTCCACTTTCTCCTGGATATTTGTTGAGCGATTAGTTCTTGTTTTGTTTGTTCCCATAGTTTCTTGTTGGTGATTCTTTCCGGCCATCTGATCTTCAGTATAGAGCAAAGACAGTTGTTGATAAAGGTCTGCAACAGGCTGTTGGAAATATTCTTTGTGACCCGCCAAGTTTCTTATCCGTATAGAAGAACTGACTGACTTGACGTTTTTATTGAAAATCCGAATCATTTTGTTGTTGATGCTGAGTGACGAATATTTCCAGATTGGTTTAATAATTAATTCACTAATATCACTCTCATATGCTCCATTTTGTACATTTTCTCACCCTCTTCACACTTGTTAAATGGACACTCAACTACCACCTATCTTCCCACTGAATAACAATTTTAATCTTATCAAATATCTAGTTCTTTCGTTCTTTGTGCCGTTGACTATTATGCGCTACTACTTAGTTTTACTTTTGAAGCCACTTCTGTATAAGTATATCAGTTTCGTCACGTACACTCCTATTACTCAATAATGGACTATTATAAGTTTTCGGTAAATATAAGTACCATTGTACAGCTTCTCAAGATGATTTTGTTGCTGAATTGTCTCTTGTTTTTTTTTTAAAATTTTTCCACAATTTTTTAGGTGATAAAGAAGAAATTCACCCCACGACGTCGTTTACCATTTCTGCGCGGTGGTGTTCCTAATCAGAATAATGCTAATAATAATAATAGTGGTGTTAGCTGTAATATTACTCCTACTACCGCTGATGTTCCACAATCACTTAAACTGAAAGCATTGAGTAACAGTAGTGGGGGTAGTAGTAGCAGTCTTCTACCCTCTGTCGGTCGATTCAGTTCATCCTTATCTACAAATCTGTCAGCTGTTACTGCTGATATTGATTCAACTGCGGCACAAGAAGAAAAGGCCCAACGAGAATTAGAAATGATACTTGGTCGGCATGCACAAATAGTAAGTTATAAATTTCTATGGTATAATTACACTGTTATATTATGCCAAATGAAACATCCACCATAGGGGGATGCCCTTCTGTGACATCATTTTCAAGAAGTTGCTCCATGACTCTGCCTATAAGCTTTTGTTACCTTTTCATATGATCCTCTCCGACGCTTATCCGTTCACATTTCACTCTAGGGCTTCCTTAGTGTGTATGTTCAATCCGCCTCGATCTCCTTCCACATATCTTTTGGTAAAAGGTTATTGGGTAAGTTATTCACTTGACAGGCTTCATTTTTAGTTAGCCTTTCGAGTCGGTTGGACTTTTGATCTTCAGTATCGATCGAGGTGGGGCAGGTGTTGATGATCACTAAGTGTTAATTTCTCTCGAACCTGTTGTTTGTTCTTCCTTCTTTTTTGTGTTACGACTTTATATTACTTATTATTAGTAAGTAGTATGGGTTGGATCCTACCTACTTCTTAATGATGACTGTTGTTTACTACTGAAGTGCATCGTACTTAATGTATTAATTAATACTCTATTTAGTATATAATAGTTATTATTTTCTTATAGTTAAGCATTATCTACTGTATACGCTTTATATGAATCGCTTTATTGATATTAGAAGGTTGGAGGCAGTCGGCCACAGGAAGCCCCATCTTACCTAAGTTTCGTGCTAGTTGGCACTCACCAGCCAGTCAGCAAGGCGTATCTACAACCAACTTGAAGGAACTCATGTCCCTTCTGAGAGTAGTCGAATTTGCGTCACCCATCTGAGCTACAAATCTTCTCCATTACATATCTAATATATAATTGCGATTGTACAGCTAAGTGAATGAATTCGTCGAGAAGAGAGAGGCTCTTCGCTGAACTGTTTGTTCTTCTCATACTGTACTTTAGACAAATCATGTTTAACGCGTAACTCAACGTATGTGGTTTAATTAACCGATTGGATTATCGCTCCCAATTTCTTAGCAGAAATCTACACTAAGGAGTGAGAAATATTAGAGATATGTAGTCCTTGATGTTGTGGCGCTGACTGAATTCTGTCGAGTCAATTTCTCAATGTGGCGTTACCAACCCAGGTGACTCCAATATCCCAGTTCACTTTGAGTCAGTGTCAGATGGTTTGAAGAGCAATCGGCAGGAGAAGCCTTTCTTCACCTCGGTGTCATGCTTTTTGGCACTTTGTTTGAAATTAATTCACCCTTCATCATAAAATAACTTCAGAAGCCTACTGTCGTTCACTGTGAGGATAGAATTTGTAAATTTCTTTAATCGATTTAGAAAAGTAGCAGAATAAATTGATTAGCGAAGAAATATTATTATTATTACTGCCTTGGGTTCCGAGTGGAACATAGAGCTTCAGCTGCACATCACTTTGTCCTACATTTTGCTGTCCTCTTCATCTGGGTCGACGACTGAGTACAATCTGTCATCTCCTCCTCCTCCAACTCACACGATCGCCTTCATGTCACACTCGCAGTGATGATCAAGTCGTCGCTTTCCATTTGGATTCCACTGGAGTGGTGGCCTGCATTGTGCACAATGCCAACGTATGCCCAATCTATCCATCTCCATTTCCTCCTACATATTCATTGAGCAATTGGATGTCGCCTGTTGGTTTGTTCAACGCCAGAGTTTCTTTTTTGCTAATTCTTTCTGACCAGCCGGCCGGTCGGCCATTTGATCTTCAGTGTGGAGCCAGCCAGCGAAGAAGTCGGCTGTTGATAAAAGTCTGTAACAGGCTGTTAGATATCCTTTTAGGTGACACGCTGGCCAAATTTCTCGCCCGTGTGGAAGAAATATACTCCTTTTCGATTAGTTAGTTTCTAATCAGCAGCCCTACAATTATTATGATTATTATTAAAACACACATACTTGGCACATAATGCGCCCCAAGAGATGCGCCTCACGCACAGTCTCTCTCATAGTTTGCACGAGAGCTAGGATACCTACTGCTTGGACGCGCAGTCCAAAGCAGATTGTCGTCTTAAGGGGAGCCACCCGTCTCGCCGAGACTTTGACTTAAAGTTTGATCTATGAGACAGTGGAGCTGCTTTCACATGATTTCTGCTGACTAAAACAGCTGTTAGTGTACTATTTGATCCGTTCAAATTCTACAGCTCCCCTAGTGAGTAAACCTGCATCTCCACCAGTTCTGTTGTAAGCGCACCAGACGTTCGCATTCACTGTTTCACTTTTGTGTGAAACACTCAATCTACCGTGTGAAGTCATATAATAGGACATAGCACGTGGTCATATGTGAATGGATTTCTAGGGGAAGACCAGAGTATTCTTGCCCTCGACTCTAGCAGGTCGTTCATGAAATCAATATAATATATACTTCTACAATGAACTTGTATCAATCTTGTGGTGACGTGGCGTAATATCAAGAAGAATTATCAGTTTTGAACTAAAGGAAGGGTGAGAAAATAATTCATTATGGAATTCAGGGTAAGTTAAATTGTTGGCATAATCAATAGGAGGAATGGGATGCATCAGTGATTCGACGGTAGAACACTCGCCAACCAACCACATGGTCCAAGATTCGATTCTCGACCAACTTACTCCTTAACAACCTCTCTTAGCCGGTAGTAAGGTGGCTGGTAAAGAAGGAAGGTTGAGCGTGAGGCTAGCAAACTCTTGCCGTAGAAAGAAGACCGCCGCTACCGGAACTATGAAGCTCCAGCTTGAAGCCCTATGCTCCACTCGGTAAGTAAGTGAGCGAATAACGTCAGATTACGATTCTATGACTAGGTTAACTGGTGGATGGTGACTAGCAATGGAATTCAGCATGCTCATCTCGTCCTATTTGGGACTCGTCACCTGGACGTACCTGCATCCCCCAGTGAATTATTGATGTTATCCTCACCGACGCTCGAATCCAGTAGCCATAATTTCTAACGTCATGGCGTTATCCGCTAGACCACTTGTGCCACGAGAACCGTCACCTCTTGTGCAACGGGTTTTATTAATTATTTAATTCAATTTTAAATTTTTCTGTCAATTGATTGGACCGAAGTGCTAGGTCTGAATTAACTCAAACAGTAATCACATAACAAAATAACAGTGTCCGAAATGCCTAGTTAGTTATAAGGCTTAGAGGAAAACCATTTATCTGACTCTATACATATATTAATGCCAAATTCATGTCTTGTATCGACGAGATGAGCTCGTATGGATCTACATATCACTTTATTTTGTCATTTGCTTAACCCAGATGGGTGATGACGTCCAAAAATTCGACGACGGGTGAACTTACCGAATCGTCCGCCCCACAAGAGCAGTTAATCTGTCTGTTTTGTCTGTACTGCTTTTTTTTCATTCTAACATTTCATACTACTGATTTGGGTGTAAATAAGTATTGTACTTTTAAAACAACATGAGATTATTTTACACATGTTTTGTGTGTGTTTTTCAGCAACCACAACAAGGCACCAGCGGTGGAGGTAAACTACGAAGGCGAAGGAAATCAAAAGTATGACACACAAAAAAAGAAAACAGCCTTTTGGTTTTATTACACCAAAATTAATATTGAATTTTCATTCCATGTACAATAGTATAGTCAGTTGTATATACATATGCATATTTGTAATATTAAAATTTTGATAAATTGAATTAAAACTTGTAGCATTTCTTTTTCCTCGCTAATTTAAACAAACAAGATGATGTGTTGTATGCATCAGTCTTGCTCTGCACACATATTTTTCGCACACACACACACATGAAGATGGATTCCGTGGAGGTCTTGTCTTTCTATACATAGTGTATAAATTGATATTTTTGAATTTTTATATAATTGTATATTGTGCAGTGTAATCGTTTAAATTGGATATTGGACATTGAATGAAGTGATAATCTCGTTACATATTTTTGGCGGTCTTTTAAATTAATATTAACTTTTTTTCACTTTCTACACTTATCTTCGTCTCCATCTCTCTCTTTGTGTCTCTGTTTGTTTCTATCTACCCCCCAATTTATTCTTTTGCCTATTTTATCAGTTTCTTTTTCGTGGTATTGTTGTGTTCACATGACACACACACACACACACACAGCGGTCATTGTATAGTGTTGTTCAATTTACTTACCACACTTTCACTGTTGCTATTCTATCCTATCACTCTAATATTTATTACACATAACTAATTGAGCAACCAAACTAAATTAAATAATTGAAAAAGAACTTGAGAATTGTTTGTTCTGTGTCGCCAAGCCTGTGTGATGTACGCCAAGCCATCTGGGTTTATTGAGGATTAATTCCCAATTGGTGCATCTCTAGGTGCCGATGTCAACCTCTAGATATTCTTCTTTAACGTCAGCACCCATTAAACTTGTTTTCCTGAGTTAATCCTGATCAGTACACTCTACCTAAAGAGTAAGTACCGATTCGCTCCCGCCAAATGCAAGATGATGTTACAGGATTGGACTACACCGACTCCTAGATTAGAAATAGGAAGTGAAGTGGTAGATCACGTTGACCGCTTCACTTATTTGGGAAGTTGCACAGCCAATGGCAGCGGGTTGATCGCTGACGAAGTATCAGCACGGATACAGAGGGCTAGTTTCGCATATGTCAGTTTACGCCGTCTCTGGTGTAGAGGTGACATCGGGCTATCGACCAAAGGGCGTGTGCACTGCTCAGCAGTCCGCTCCGTCCTCCTTTATGGCTGTGAGACCTGGTCATTGAGATCGGGAGACATGAAAAGATTAGCTGTCTTTGATCATAGGTGCCTGCACTCTATCTCCCGTGTGAAGTGGTATAATAAGGTGAGCAATATTGAGGTTAGGCGTCCAGTGAGTGCTAGGTAAGGAGGGGAAATCAATAGACGAGGCTGTGAAGGTACACCGATTGAGATGGTTAGGACATGTGTTACGCATGCATGCCTAGTCATTGCCTTCCTCGACAACGGGCAATGTTAGCTGACATAGGGTCAGGCTGGACAAGAGGTAGCGGCGGTCAAACCGAAACATGGCACCAGTCAATGAAATCTACAACAGTTAGTCTAAGCGACGAAGGAAGGTGTAGACTTCCTGACTGACTGGTTGGGGTCCTCAGGACGGTAAAACCCAATGGTTGGAAACAATTGGTGACATGGCTCAAAATCGTTCTCAATGGCTGGTGCAGATGCATCTACTCCTTGTAACTTATGATTCCCAATTAAACTTTTATTCTTCGTTATTACTATTCCCTTGTCTCACACCTCTGTTTACTGTCTCTCTATTAAGCATTTCTTCTACTTTCTTCTCTTGCTTTGTGTGCTACATGGGGGGAGTGTGGCAACTTGAACTGCCGCATATATGTGCAAAGTTCTATATCGAAAACAGACAGACAGGCAATTATCGATAAACGAACTCAAAGTAAAACGACTTGTGACTAGGTAGTGTGCTCAGGTGAGGATTATACTTTTACAACAGATTAAATGTCAAATTTAGTAAACAAGAATACTTTACAACACTTATCTGTTAACTGACTGGGGTAGCAAGCTCTAGAGTGCGCCTAGTGATAGGACAATGAGAGAGGAAGCTAGGTGCGAGCAGTCACGCCGGAAGAACAGTGAAGGTGTGGCGCCATATTACATGAATGCATTAAAACAAAAGTTCAAATATTCAAGGTGCATTACACATCTCTATGGATCAGTGATAGAAAACTTGCTAGCCACACACTGGACGAGTCAGGATTTGACTTCGCCCTGCCGAAGGGCATACTCATAACTCTGGCGTACTTCAGTAGCTGGTAGTAAGCCCAGAGATGTGGGAAGTTTAGGCTAGCGACAGGCTAGTAAAGCTACCACGGTGGTAGATGTAAAGACTGGTGACCACCGAGGGTGAACGCACCAATGTCCTTGAACGCATTCCATACCACTGTGTATTATACTCATCAAGAAGCCGTTTATTTAATAGGAAAAATGACATATTAATAATGATACACATTACACATGATATTTGCCTTTGACGTAACTGAAAAAAATATTTCCGAATTACAATGAAGGGGTTCAGTTTTCAAGTTTGATAGGTATCAAAGTGGTTTCAGCTGTATGAACAACGAAACACACTCTCCTCCAATTTATTTATTTATTAACAAGGAAGATACGGATAATAATCATCAGGCAGCCCAACCCTAATCCTTACCTTAATCCTAATATTAATCTTAACCCAATAATTTGCTATCAGGAAATTGTGGATACGGTACTTAAAACCGAATTCAGGATGACATTTCACCTAAGGTCGTGTACACCGTTCTTATTGAGAAACATCTGCTAACTAATCATCGAATGCGCATCAATTTCTTGTCAAAATTTAACCTACTGAAGAATGAAAAAAGTAGTATGGTAAATTAGTGATAAATTTCACCCATTTTATTCATAATTTTTGTTGGCTGTTAGTAATGGACAGTCACAAAACGGACTTATGTTTCCTCCTCACATGATGTCTTTGGACGACCAATCCATCGTTCAATTCCCACTACGGGTTCACACAACAGCCTGTCTGATGAGTGATGTCATTTGGAGGTCTACCCAATGTGACCGACTGGTTTCAACATAGGAACTTGTGCAGAAATACAACAGCGGTTCAAGTTGCCATATTCCACGTAGTGGAAAAAGGAAGGGAGACGCGAGACAAAAAAGATATTTAAAAGAATGACACTAGGCAAAATGTGATGGAAAAGAATAGTAACGCGGAAAAGCATACCACTTTAGTCAATATGAGAGATAATCTGCGTCATTGAGAACGATTTAGAGCTGATTTTAATAATAATAATAATAATAATAATAATAATAATAATAATAATAATAATTTGCTTTATTCCAAAACAGTACTTGTGATACAGAATGGAATTCTCAGCACTTTTACTACAGTATTGTTTCCAGTTAGTACATTATCAATAAATAAAATTCTACATAGATTAAGGAAATCTCAGTTCATTATTACAACAGCATATTGGGATGTCGGTAGCAAAGCCAAAGTTGAATAGTGTTTGAAGGTGTTAGAAAAGTAGGTGCTATCATATTTACTGGCGTAAGCGGAAGAAAGAAACAAACAGCACATAACAGAAAGATAGAGGGAGAGAGAAAAGGAAAAGAAAGAAAGAAAATGTTGTACCTACAAATGATATGAGTTGGAAAGACGAGGTCCAGTTGTTCTACTGACTATTTAATAAGTTATACGTATCACGCCTAATGCTTTCTTTATCGCACAGAACACGAGCTAAGTAGGATATGGTTGAGTTTCTGTACTTGCTAGTGTGAGCATATAGTTTTCTGCATAGGCTTCTGGTTTTGCCTGATGAGATACAAGAGGAGAGTTGTGAATGAAGAGGGTGGTGTGAGTTAGATAAAATGGATTTAGCCCATTTTTCACGTGAGTCAAAGTGCCTGTCAACCAGAATATTAACAAGCTGGTTAATTGGCACGTTACTTACCCTGCTGACAACCTTTAACATCCTGCGTAATAAGGTATAGTCTTTTATCAGTAGCCCGGGAAAAACTAAGGGTGAACAATAGAGAATAATAGGTAGAATGCGAGAGTTAACGAATTGTAGGAGTAAGGGTTGGTTGGGTTATACCAGAGTGTCTTAACTTCTTGATGTAGAAGTTAAGACGGAATATTTTCTTAGAAATCGTCAAGATATGAGACGCCCAGGAAAGATCAGCAGATAAAATGACGCCTAGGTATTTAATTTCCGACTTGCTTTCTATTTCAGTGCTAATTGTCTAATTGTCTCGAAGCATTGGTTTTTACCATCCCCAGGACGCAAACCAGCCAAGAAGTCTACATCTCCTTACGTGGCTGGCTGGCTTACACTAACTGCTGTGGATTTTATTGGCCAATGAAGCTACGTGTTTGGTTTGACCAACCACTACTATCTCTTTTCCAACCGGATCCATCCTATGTCAACTCACATTTCCCGTCGAGGAAGGTGATGGCTAGCTGGGCATGCATAAAACATGTCCTAACCAACTCAATCGATTCAGCTTCACAACTCCGTCGATTGACTTCCCCTCCTTACTTAACATTCACCACCTCAGTTTATGTCCAATCCATCTTTATTTCCATCTGCATATTAGTTGGGCAGCAATGAGCTGTATTGTAGTTCATTGCCTAATAGAGTTCCTTGTTGCATATCAATCTCAGTCGGTCATCGGATATTCAATATCGAGTGAAGAGAACAGGCATTGATGAAAGTGTGCAGAATAGCTTGTTGGAAATGCTCTTGATGATGACCCCAAAGGACACCAAAGATACTGTGTATTAAAAAAGATTATTGTTACTGTTCCCTTGGGTTCCTAGTGGAACATAGGGCTTCAACAGCACATCTTCACTTGCTTCTCTTTTCTGCTGTACTATTCACCTGCATCCATGTTAGTCCATACTGCTTCAACGCCTCTTCACACGATCACTCTTGGACGGCCAACTCGCTACTTCCCTTTCGGGTTCCACTCGAGCAATGGCCTGACGCGCGATGTCACCCAGCGGCCTCCTCAG